CTTGGCAACCGAAATCAACAAAAGACAACTCTGCATTAGTTTTGTTGTTGCTGTTGTTGCTGTTGCTGTTGTTGTTGCTGTTGCAATGCATAATAACTGTCGTGCTGTTTGTAGCTACTAACACACACAGACACACACACACAGACAAACATCTATGAGGGAGGGGGAGCCAACAAAATATTTCGCGCTTTTTCGTATGTGGCGCGCAATGGGCTAAAATATTTTCTGATTAACGTACTTAGTTGTTGTTGTTGTTGCTGTTGTTGTTGCTGTTGTAGTTGTTGTTGTTGTTGCTGGTCGCTGGTTTGCTCATTGGCTTCAACACGTTTCTTTGCGTTTTCTTTTGCGTTTTGTGTGTGTGTGTGTGTGTTTTTTTTTATTAGTGCTTTTCCAATTTCTTATTCACTTCATGTCTGCACAACGCGCTCCAACACTTTAGCACACGCAAACAAACACACACATTTAAAACACACACGCTCTGTGGTATCAACTTAGCGAGTACGCACTGTGGCTAAGCTTTTGATTTTGATTTTGATTTTAATTTTTCAACCGCGCCGTCAACGTTGTGCGCTCGAAATCTCGTTACTAACTAAAATAAACGACGCGAGCCGCGCAGCCAAACTGAAAACGGCAACAACAACAACAAAACTTAAATAAAATCAACCGTACACAACGTTGTCGCAGCGACGTCGACTTCTGGCGCTCGAGTGTGTGTGTGTGTGCGTGTTGTTGTTGTTGCCGTCGGTAACTAAAACAGACACCACTCAGTTACACAGACTAAGTAAGCGCGCTCTCTCATCCACACACGCACACATGCACAAACACTCAAAGAGCGCGACTTTGGATCGAGCGCAAGTTCAAGTCGCAATGTTAGCTTGAGCCGGCTGCGACGCCATCAACTGCAGAGAGTGTGTGAGAGAGATTGAAAGAGAGCATTCGCATTTATATGCAATGTTTGTGGCTTGAATGCAATTTGGAAAAAAGTAATTAATATCAGATATTCATTGAAGGCAAAAATATTATTATTATAAATGAAAAATTTAAATGAAACATTAAAGTCTAAAGAGAAAATGTTACCACAAGCCAAGAAAATAATTTCTATTTGAAAATTATTTATGTTGCATTAATAATTGGTTTGATTTGTTTCAAGGGTATGTAAGCTTCGATATTATGGTGACAGCGATCGTGATTGTCGACAAGTTCGAAGCGAACTCTTCAAGCTAAGCTCTCGCAAACTTATGCCGGCTATAAAGCGACTGCTGCTGCTCGACTTGTTGTTGTTGTTGTTGTTGCTAAAATTGGCAATGTTGCTGGCTGGGCTCGCAACATGTTGCTTCCGCTATGTGCCCGCAACAAATATATTTCAATTTAAATTTCTTTCAGTCTGCTGCTTCTCGCGGCCTTTGCATATTTTGCTGTTGCTTTCGAGAATTAAAAATTCCATTTAATATATATATATTTTTGTTAAAGCCCGTTGTCAAAGTGTCTGGTTTTTGTGGGAGATTTAATGTGCGGGCCCGACGGCATTTGTTTTTTGTTGTTGCTGCTGTCTCGCCTGCAACTTTGTTGTTTGTCGCCCAGCGGCAGTTGTTGCTGCGGTCGCGCCTGCTGCTGCTGCGCTGCTGCTGCTGCTGCTGCTGTTGATGACGTCTAATTTTGAACCGAACTCGTTTGCTTACTCACACACGAAATTATGTCAGGAATGTTGGCAGGCGGCGGCTGTTGTCTGACGCAGCTGTTGTTGTTGTTGTTGTAGACGGTTCTTGTTGTTGTTGGAGACTGCGTTGAAAGTCGACGCTTAGTTTCGTGAGAGCCAAAGCCGGTTAGCTTTTTGGTTGCTCAGACGCGTGCCAAAGTCGTATTCATTGTTATGCGTCTACCCTTCTAAAGGGTATTACAGTTAACTCACGAGCTGTGTCACGCTTACCATGGGACACATCCAACCACATAGAGTATATACTTATACGGTATAGTTATGTCGTATTCTTATGGCAGAAAAGTTTGCATAAGTTTGTCTTGCAGTCCTATCTATATCGGCCAGATCAATGCACTTTATATATGGTTGCCTTAGCAACGAGTTTGACCAAATCGCATAATACTTATGCTCCTTATGTGTACCACAATATCTTATAGTTCTATAAACTAGACTGCTTTCGGTCTTGTATAGCCACACAGAACCATGTAAATGGATCAGGCTCTATGCAAAGTAATTGAAATGATTCTATATAAAGTAATTGACAAGAACAATAAATTGGATTGATTTATATCAAGGGATTTTAAAGACATCTCGACCAAACTCAACAACTCTCCACACATATCTGGCAGCTGTACGCCTTAATGTCAGCAAGGGCATTAGATCTTCGGCGTGCCGCTGATATTGATGCAAGTTTCATGCTGCGGCCTTAGAACGTTAAGCTGCATTTGCGTTGGGGCGCAACCCTTTGACTAATTCAAGCTAAGTTTGATTTATCATTAATTTTTATGCCCAATTCATATCCATAGCTAATTTCGATGTATAAAAAAAAAAGGCAACAGATCACGCGATTGGGGTTTTTTGAACCCCATTTCGAAAGCCATTGACATGTGCCTGAAAGCATTTCTGGTGCTAGCTGCACTTTCAGAAATTACCTTCTGCGTGCTCAGCATGTTGGTTATCTGGGTAAAGCGTGTCATTAGCACCGCGTTCCCAGTATCGATTCGTGGACTAAGCAAAATGTTAAATTCAAGCAAACAGAACAGCATTTTGTTCGTTCCAGGTATTCGAAAATCAAAGCTCAGCTCACAAACTCAATCTTTTGGCCACGCGACTCGATTCATTTCAACGGAATTGACAAATTTTTATGAAAATGCAAACTTATGATTTCTTAGCAAAAGGTCAGTGCATGTACAAATCAGTCAGTTATTGCTAAATACACTTTATGACCATGTTACCATGCCTTAAGCACAATTAAAAAAAAAAAAAAAGAAAAAACTGCTGAGCATAGGAAATGCGAGCAGGGCAAAAAAGCGACAGCAAGTTTTTAGAAACGTGAACAATATCACGCAATCAATTTTTAAACAAAATTATATGACTAGAAGATATACTACGAGAAAAATATCTAAACTTTTTTACGAAATAAAAAACTTGAAAATAATTCATTCAACTCTTGAATTTCATAACTTATTTCGAGCACAAAACAACTTAAAATGTATATCGGTTGTGCGCTTTCTGCTTATCGATAGCTTTTGACAAGTTTTCCGTTTTAACTATTTGTAATGTAATGTGGTAAGACTGTCAAAATTTGTTGAAATGATTGTAAATACTTACTTATTATAATTTTAAGAAATATATAATACAAAAAAAAAGGTTTGAAATACTCTAGAAGAACGCTCTTTTAAGATATCGAAGCTAACGACTATCGATTATCGAATGATCGATTATAATTTGAAAATTTAAAGAATCATAAAAAATATAAATCAATTCAATACATTATATAATTTAAGAGCTATAAAGCTAAAGCAAGACGAGAATTATTTGAATTGAACAAATGTATATTGTGTCAAGTTGCCAATAAGAAATAGAAACAGTCAACAGCTAGACTTGACAAAGTTATATTCAAAATTCTTTTTTTTCTACATGTTTCAAAGTTTATATGTTTTGGCATATTTATCAGAGGCATGCGAGTGACATGCGCCGAGCTGAATGCCTGTACGACCGTGAAATATGAGAAGACATTGGGAGATATGCAATTCAGTAATCCAAATGTCAATCACAAGTCAAACCGCGACTGTTCAATAAATTTCCAATTTCCGTTTGAAAAAAGTAATAATAAAAGCAGAAAAATAATAATAACAAAAGTGGGGAAAAAAGTTCTTCAAACGAAACAAGAACCAACTGGAAGCCAAGCGAACGCGCACAATAATTCAATTTCAGCATTGAAATCAGATACACGACGAGGCTGGCAACCCAACCAAGCTAGTAGCCATAGGAGATACGATAGACCTTAGATGACTAGACTCCGTTTAGAACGGCTAACAAAGCTATTGACGCTTTGAAATCCAAGCGCAGTGGCAACCGCAGACCCAACACACAGATTGACTAACTGTCGCAGAGCCAATGGAATGTTGGCGCAGCCGCAAATAGAGGATTGCTATTTTCTTATATATATTGTATATTGTATTTGTGCAAAAGCCAAATGAATGTAACAGGCAGAAGGAACCATCTTCGACCCCATTAAGTATATATATATATATAAAATCAGCAAAAAAGTTTTGATTTTCGATTTAAATAATTTTGTATAACTTTCTTGTTAATTAAGCTCGTTTTTTGCTTAAAACCTAACAATTAATCAGAAAACCAACAGAAGTATTTTTCAATTAAATATTTAAAGAACAGTAAGTGCCAAAATATGCCAATATATACATATATATGGGAATACAATGAACTGTGCAAATTACAGGGTATATACATACCTAAAGTTTATTTTCCAGCACTCTAGCGACTTGAAATATTTCAGCTCGATTGAAATATTTAATAATATATATATGTTTTAAATTGCATTTTATGCACAATTTAGTAACTCTTAGCGAAATCCGTTCAATCAATTGGCCAATTCCATTCAAATTAAGCCGCTTAGCCATCGTCAACTGGCTTGTTTCGGCTTTGGCTCTTGTAAAATTGAATTGCAATTGAAAGTGCATTTAATGGAAACAGCTGGGAATCTGCATAGCATTAAATGGACCCCAGGCAAATTAATACTTATTTCAATTTATAGCATTTGATTTGATTTATTGAAATATATACATATATATATATTTATATATATATATGTGTGTGTGTGTGTACATATGTTTAAACATTTAGATATTTAAAGTTTTGATTTGTTTGTACATTAAGTCGAGAGATTTAATAAACTTTTCTATATGTATTATATTTGTTTTTATTTTTTTTTTTTTTGTAGTGAACAAAGCGTAAACTTTTAATTTGATTTTTAAACAATTGCACATATAGATATTATTTTTGCATATATTTTGATAATTTTCGTTAGCTTTAGTTTTGATTAGATTTAATTTCTTGTCATTTCAAGTTGTTTGCCAATAAATTTTGATATGAATTTACAGTATGAAGCTTGGACAGAAATTGGGCAAACGGTGGGTAATTTAAGATTAACAATGGAAAAACTAGTTATTGTTAATACTTTTTCACAAATAACACAATTTGCTGCTTGTTTTCAATTTGTTAAGTTTTAGTTTAAAGCTGTTCGCTGATTATTTATCAAATTTGAACCTAGGCAAAAGTACATTTGCTTAATATTTAAATAATTGGGATTTGCTTTAGCTAATTATTTATGAATATTGAATAATGCTTTGTGCATTTCGATCACTTTAGACTGTTAAATCTGAAACTTGAAGCCCCTTAATATAGGTAAGTCTCAAAGCAAGACAAATTCCGTGCCGCTCGAGAGTTGAGTTATTTCTGTTATCCTTACTATGGCTGCGATGCCATACGAATCCTTGCGGTCGCACGTGACTTTGTGTGTATCTCGGCTGTGCGCAGCGTGATGCCAAAGATGTCCTCATGATAGCGATTCTCGTCCTGTGTGTGCACGTGTGCACGTGTGTGTGTGTGTGCGAAGCAAAACAAATATATAAACTATTTATAAGTGCTGTACTGGAGTAGATAATAAAACACTCGCAATAAAAGTGTAAACGTCATCATATTTGTGGCTGTCAAGAGGGACAAACAAACAAAACAGCAACAAAAAAAAAAACAGAGGACTAAAAGGACACTTTAAACAAACTGAATAGCTGGCAGATACCCATTAATACAATTTAACATATATATGATAAATATTAAATATATATAAATGTTTAGGAAATAAATATAAATGAAAATATAGATAATATGATATAAAAAAAATTATTTTTGTAGAGGCATTTTGAGAATTAAAGCCTAATAATTTATGCTAGATAAAAATTATTAGCTATTATTTTATTTATTTATTTTTTTTTTTAATAAATGCCTTCATTTTGATGTAAGTAATATAAAATAAACTAAACAATGTTCACTGAGAAACATCTAAAGAGCAGTAATATTATTTTTGAATATAAAAAAAACAAAATTATTAGAAATAAAATTCAGAAAAGTCCCCCAGCACAAGGTTTGTAAAAAACAGTTTAGTTTTAGATTCATTGAAGAACTTTTAAGAAATATTACTTGATGTATGTTGCATCATATACTATGTAATTAATATGTTGAAAGATATTACTAACCAAAACATATTAAGTTTATAGTATGTAAGACATTATAAACTACATTCATCAAGTAATATTCCCTTACAGATCAAATATCGCTGCCTACGAAAAAACTTGTACTAAAGCCGAATATACCCTTTGCTCAGCTACAGGGTAGTCGTAGCAGAGCAGCTGTAACTGGCAACAAACGTTTGCAATTTTTTTTTTTTTGCGCAACACTAAAAAATGCATTTATGCAGCTAAAGGAGTTGCAAACAGCTGGCAAAGTTTTGCCTGCGGGCTTCCTGCTTCTCCCCTAACGACTAAGGTCACATAAAATGCGCATACGCCGCGTGTGACGGCGGAAGGCGGAACGCCTCGCACTCGGCTCGTCAGAGTCGAACTTGCCCTATGTTATTTATGCGTGCAGTTTAAGTTGGTTTTGTTAGAGGATACTTACGCGCAATGTGAGCAAAAATGTCTCAACTTCCGCCTCGGTCTTCTGCTCCTTGCCGGCAATACATTTCCTGTCGAGTAAAATTTAGTTAAGTATATGTAAGAAATGTGCTGGGTGCATAAAATGCAACGCTTTTGAGTGCTAAAGTTTGTCTGTTGTCATGTGAGCATATTTAATAAGTAAACGCTAATTAAGACCATTTATATAAAAAGCGTGTGTAACGAGCAGCTCAGGTGTAGCTAACGGCTTTGTTGTTAAAGGATATTAACTGCGCCACATTAAAAAGCACATTTCCTTAACAGCATTAACAATTGTTCTTTAGATCAACAAAAAAGATTCCTATAAGAAACAGAGTAAATGGAACAAGGACTCTATGATGTGTTCTAGTCGGGTGCTCCCAGCTAAAGGATACACTGAACCCTCTTCTTCCAACATCAAATGCATATATATATTTTATTTTAGAAGCTATATGTCAAGTTTGGTGACTCTAGTTCTTATTATTTACCAAAATTGCCCAAAAAACAGGATATCGATATCGATTCTTATCGATTGCTTGGAAACGGATTAAGTTATCGATTATCTGAAACAAACTAGATCTGCGCGGGAGCTAGGAGCATCTACATCTAAAATTTCAAGTCTCTAGCTCTTATATGTTCTGAGATCCTTGCGTTCATACATACGGACGGACGGACAGACAGACGGACATGGCTAGCTATTTATGCTGATCAAGAATATATATGTATACTTTATGGGGTCAGAGTTGCTTCCTTCGGCCTGTTACATACATTTGGCTTTCGCCTTATACCCATTTTTAATGGGCTCAGGGTATAAAAAGCCAAACTTCGTGAAAATCGGATGAGATTTGGCCGAGATATGGGGGTGGTAAATTTGACCCATGTCTATATACGAATCTTGGGGTAAGATTTGGACATGAATTTCGACTAAAAAATCGGTGTTCAGATTTGAATGCCAGATTAATCTAGAGGGAAAACCATGAAGAAAAAGCCAAACTTCGTGAAAATCGGATAAAATTTGACCGAGTTATGGGGGTGGTAAATTTTGACCCATGTCTATATACGAATCTTGGGGTAAGATTTGGACATGAATTTCGACTAAAAAATCGGTGTTCAGATTTGAATGCCAGATTAATCTAGAGGGAAAACCATGAAGAAAAAGCCAAACTTCGTGAAAATCGAATGAGATTTGGCCGAGATATGGGGGTGGTAAATTTTCACCCATGTCTATATACGAATCTTGGGGTAAGATTTGGACATGAATTTCGACTAAAAAATCGGTGTTCAGATTTGAATGCCAGATTAATCTAGAGGGAAAACCATGAAGAAAAAGCCAAACTTCGTGAAAATCGGATAAAATTTGACCGAGTTATGGGGGTGGTAAATTTTGACCCATGTCTATATACGAATCTTGGGGTAAGATTTGGACATGAATTTCGACTAAAAAATCGGTGTTCAGATTTGAATGCCAGATTAATCTAGAGGGAAAACCATGAAGGAAAAGCCAAACTTCGTGAAAATCGAATGAGATTTGGCCGAGATATGGGGGTGGTAAATTTTGACCCATGTCTATATACGAATCTTGGGGTAAGATTTGGACATAAATTTCGACTAAAAAATCGATGTTCAGATTTGAATGCCAGATTAATCTAGAGGGAAAACCATGAAGAAAAAGCCAAACTTCGTGAAAATCGGATAAAAGTTGACCGAGTTATGGGGGTGGTAAATTTTGACCCATGTCTATATACGAATCTTGGGGTAAGATTTGGACATGAATTTCGACTAAAAAATCGGTGTTCAGATTTGAATGCCAGATTAATCTAGAGGGAAAACCATGAAGAAAAAGCCAAACTTCGTGAAAATCGAATGAGATTTGGCCGAGATATGGGGGTGGTAAATTTTGACCCATGTCTATATACGAATCTTGGGGTAAGATTTGGACATGAATTTCGACTAAAAAATCGATGTTCAGATTTGAATGCCAGATTAATCTAGAGGGAAAACCATGAAGAAAAAGCCAAACTTCGTGAAAATCGAATGAGATTTGGCCGAGATATGGGGGTGGTAAATTTTGACCCATGTCTATATACGAATCTTGGGGTAAGATTTGGACATGAATTTCGACTAAAAAATCGATGTTCAGATTTGAATGCCAGATTAATCTAGAGGGAAAACCATGAAGAAAAAGCCAAACTTCGTGAAAACCGGATAAAATTTGACCGAGATATGGGGGTGGTAAATTTTGACCCATGTCTATATACGAATCTTGGGGTAAGATTTGGACATGAATTTCGACTAAAAAATCGGTGTTCAGATTTGAATGCCAGATTAATCTAGAGGGAAAACCATGAAGAAAAAGCGAAACTTCGTGAAAATCGGATAAAATTTGACCGAGTTATGGGGGTGGTAAATTTTGACCCATGTCTATATACGAATCTTGGGGTAAGATTTGGACATGAATTTCGACTAAAAAATCGGTGTTCAGATTTGAATGCCAGATTAATCTAGAGGGAAAACCATGAAGAAAAAGCCAAACTTCGTGAAAATCGAATGAGATTTGGCCGAGATATGGGGGTGGTAAATTTTGACCCATGTCTATATACGAATCTTGGGGTAAGATTTGGACATGAATTTCGACTAAAAAATCGGTGTTCAGATTTGAATGCCAGATTAATCTAGAGGGAAAACCATGAAGAAAAAGCCAAACTTCGTGAAAATCGGATAAAATTTGACCGAGTTATGGGGGTGGTAAATTTTGACCCATGTCTACATACGAATCTTGGGGTAAGATTTGGACATGAATTTCGACTAAAAAATCGGTGTTCAGATTTGAATGCCAGATTAATCTAGAGGGAAAACCATGAAGAAAAAGCCAAACTTCGTGAAAATCGAATGAGATTTGGCCGAGATATGGGGGTGGTAAATTTTGACCCATGTCTATATACGAATCTTGGGGTAAGATTTGGACATGAATTTCGACTAAAAAATCGATGTTCAGATTTGAATGCCAGATTAATCTAGAGGGAAAACCATGAAGAAAAAGCCAAACTTCGTGAAAATCGAATGAGATTTGGCCGAGATATGGGGGTGGTAAATTTTGACCCATGTCTATATACGAATCTTGGGGTAAGATTTGGACATGAATTTCGACTAAAAAATCGATGTTCAGATTTGAATGCCAGATTAATCTAGAGGGAAAACCATGAAGAAAAAGCCAAACTTCGTGAAAACCGGATAAAATTTGACCGAGATATGGGGGTGGTAAATTTTGACCCATGTCTATATACGAATCTTGGGGTAAGATTTGGACATGAATTTCGACTAAAAAATCGGTGTTCAGATTTGAATGCCAGATTAATCTAGAGGGAAAACCATGAAGAAAAAGCCAAACTTCGTGAAAATCGGATAAAATTTGACCGAGTTATGGGGGTGGTAAATTTTGACCCATGTCTATATACGAATCTTGGGGTAAGATTTGGACATGAATTTCGACTAAAAAATCGGTGTTCAGATTTGAATGCCAGATTAATCTAGAGGGAAAACCATGAAGAAAAAGCCAAACTTCGTGAAAATCGAATGAGATTTGGCCGAGATATGGGGGTGGTAAATTTTGACCCATGTCTATATACGAATCTTGGGGTAAGATTTGGACATGAATTTCGACTAAAAAATCGATGTTCAGATTTGAATGCCAGATTAATCTAGAGGGAAAACCATGAAGAAAAAGCCAAACTTCGTGAAAATCGGATAAAATTTGACCGAGTTATGGGGGTGGTAAATTTTGACTCATGTCTATATACGAATCTTGGGGTAAGATTTGGACATGAATTTCGACTAAAAAATCGGTGTTCAGATTTGAATGCCAGATTAATCTAGAGGGAAAACCATGAAGAAAAAGCGAAACTTCGTGAAAATCGGATAAAATTTGACCGAGTTATGGGGGTGGTAAATTTTGACCCATGTCTATATACGAATCTTGGGGTAAGATTTGGACATGAATTTCGACTAAAAAATCGGTGTTCAGATTTGAATGCCAGATTAATCTAGAGGGAAAACCATGAAGAAAAAGCCAAACATCGTGAAAATCGAATGAGATTTGGCCGAGATATGGGGGTGGTAAATTTTGACCCATGTCTATATACGAATCTTGGGAAGATTTGGGTTCAGGGTATAAAAATGTAATAAATAAGATGCTATTTTTATGAACAAAGTCTTTTGCTTATAAGCTGTAGAAAAGTATCTATAGTTTGTTGATTAACTTTTAGTACGCACAATACTTCCGAAAAAAATACGTATTTCAATTAACATAAACCGCTTAAGATTAGAGACGAACTCAAATAGCTCATCAGGCAAATGACCATATCCTGTCTGTCGATATGTATGTGAGTTAATAGTCCCCTCTGCACCCTAGAGCCAGTCTGCACCAACAATTGCTACAGTTGTACAAGCATATTTCACAATAATGCACGTAATCAAGAGCTCGTATAGAGAGCATAGAAAATAAAAGTCAAACAGCAGAGGGAAAGAAAAAAAAACCAAAACGACCGCAAAGCATTTGAAAATAAATTCCCTGCAGAGCAACGCCCATGGCGCTGGCGCTTGGCACGCCCCCGTTGCCGCCCCGGCCGGGCGCACAAAGGCAATCAAGCTAAACAGAAAACTATGAACTAAACTCAGTTCAATCGCAAACTCACCTGATGGTCTGGTAAACGTGCTCGGCCATTGTGACATCGCCGCACACATACACATGGCCCCGCTCCAGCACAATCAAATTGTACAACGCATCAAATTCCTGTTCAATCAGATCCTGTACATATGTCTGCAAGCAAAGAAATAAGAACAGAGAAACTCGCATCAAATGACAGGCTGGCAGGGTACCTCAGCCCCCCTGCAGACCGCAAAGGTGCAACAAAATGTTGGTTTAGGCCAGAAAAAATTTTAAATGTGAAAATATCCCATTGCAACGCATCAAAGTGCTGGGAAGTTAAGTTATATAAAACAAAGTCCATAAGAGAGAATATATATAATGTTTAATATGCTCAATTGCCTTCAATTCGTTGAAGCGAAAAATGGGGCAGTTGTCCTCAATTGTAAATACAATTGGAATTTATCTTAAAATATTCTCTTATTTTTCACCTCCTTTTTTGCCCTTTGAATTTCGTATTTTGATTGAACAGTTTTTGTTAGCCCAAATGAATTTAATATAACATTGAAGAATTATTGTTCTTTTAATTTTCACATTTTTCAGTATTTTAATCTCTCTTAAGGCAAAAAGTCAATCAATCAGTCAGTCAATCAAAGTTGATCCTCCTTTTTGTATTTTATATATTGATTCAACAGTTTTTCTTAGCTCAAATGAACTAAATGCAACATTAAAGAATTATTTTTCATTCTCAGATTTTCCAGTATTTTAATCCCTCAAGCAGTCAATCAATCAGTCAGTCAATCATAGCTTACGGTAAATATTTACATTAATGTAAAGTAACTTTTCTCTGTGATCGAATGCCGCATTTAATTATTCCTTATTTATTTCAAATCCCCAATCAGGTTGAACTACTTCTCCTTACCTTCAACTACTTCTAACTTACCTTGGGTATATCTGGTTCCCTGGAGAGTGCCAGGAATACACGATCCATGATTTGCTCCTGCAGCAGTTGGGCCTTCTCCTCGGCATAGAGATCCACATCGCGATTGCGACAGCCAAAGAAGAGCCAGAGCTTTGGCAACGTTGTCGCCGTATCCACTTCGCGCAGCACCTGAAACTCCTGCCAAAAGGAGCGAAATGGTGCAATGCCAGTGCCAGGTCCGATGAGCACCACAGGACGACTGCGATCCGCGGGCAAATGGAAGCCCAAGGCGCTGCGCACGAACATAAACAGCTCGTCGCCAGCTCGCAGTCCGGCCAAATAGTTGGAGCAGACGCCGAAGCGCTCTTCGCCCTGACCATCCTCGCTGCGATACTTGACAATGGCCACGGTCAGGTGAATCTCGTCACTGACGCGACGTGGCGACGAGGAGATCGAGTAGAAACGTGGCTGCAATGGGGTCAAATTGGCCAGCACCAAGGAGGCGGGCGGCCGGCACGAGGGGAACTCCTCCAGCACATCCAACAAATGCGGCAAACGCCAATGACGCCAATCCTCATAGGCCGACGAATCATTTACGAGCAGCTGCAGCCGCTCCCTGTCCGCATTGTCATCGCAGAAGCCGGAGAGCAGGGTGAGCAGCTGCCTCGATGGCGGTGTCGTTAGATCAAAGAAACGCGCCAACAAATTTCGCAGCGTATCGGCGGGTATTTTGTCATGCTGCTCCCAGCACTTGAAGATGCCATTCGAGGTCTGCTTCTCTTTGAGCAGCTGCAGCTGCAGCACCTCGTCGGGATTCTCCACGCCCACCAGGCGCTCCAGCAGCCCGTCCACCAGCTGTGTGCGGTTCGCCGGAAAGATGCCCACATGATCGCCAGGCTCGTATTCCAGGCCAGGTGCACATATCTCCAGCAGCATGGTGGTCTTGGCGCCCTCGCTCAACTTGGTTAGATTATGCGGCTGCGCCTTGATCTTGAGGCAGTGCACCTTCTTGTTGTGATACTTGGAGAGCGCGCTGTCCAGCGAGACCTTGCTGATAGATGGCACCAGTCGCACATTGTTCACGGTTAGGGATTCGTTTTGCAGCGCCAGCGATGCATCTGACAGACTTTGATCCGGATCCAAGCAGAAGGTCTCACAGGCTAGCTGCACAAAGAGATTCGAAACTCAAATCAAAAATGTTTTAATTATGTCAAATTATCTTAAGAATTGAATTTTGATTAATTCTGGTGTTGCACAGTATTATATTAGTTAAAATTCTTCTTCTTAGCGAAACAGTGTTGCATAACAAATTTTTATATGAACTGTTAATTGAAAAAATGTCTAAAATTCTTATATAAGACCAACTTTAATTGTATTGAACTCAAATGTTTTGAAGTACTTTCAAATAAATAAATTTTTAAAGAAATCTTTCATCATTTATTTAATACACTCACTCACCTTGAACACCTCGGGTGCCCACTTGCGGAAGGACTGCTCTTGTCCGCACATCTCATCGCCGTAGGCAACCTTGAGCAGACGCTCGCCGCCCAGCTCGCCCAGAATGTTGTCCACATACTGGCCAAAGGCGCAGAAGTTCGGATAGGCCGAGGAGCCGAGCGCAAAGACGGCGAATCGCACATTGGAGAGCGGACCAAAGGTTTCATCCGTGAATGTGTCCGAAGTGGAGCCGCGCAGCGAATCCCAGCGGTCGATCTTCTTGACTTGTTGCAGCGGCAGTTTCATGAATTCCTGCCTCGAGTTGGCCTTCATGAAGGACTTGGACGAGCTGACGCCCCTGCTGCTGAAAGAGACGGCAGGCTAGTTAGAAATTGAAATGTTGCATTCTCTTTTTGTTTTCGCAATAAATTTGACAAAGGCGGCCAAACAAAGGGCGTGGGCGTGGACGTGAGCGCACTGCCTCTTGTTATCCAATGACAAAGGCAAAGGACACGGCAAAAAGATAGCAACAATAAAAGCAACACACACAAACACACACACACACACTCGCATAACTGACAGCACAACATTTATTACGCTTGTCATTTGATGTAGCCAAAGCAGTAGGAGGAAGAACAGCCCATATAAAATGAGCACAAGAAGGCGGCCTCGCCTTGGACTGCGACCGACTGTGTGTAGCTCGGCTTGGGCTTGAATTTCAGACTGAGCTGGCAAAGCAATTGCTAAAAAGCGTAATCATCCGCTCGTCAGCAGCTCGTCAGCAGCAGCAGCAGCAGCAGCAGCAGCAGCAGCAGCAGACGCAACAGAACACAGCATGTGGCGCCTGCCTGCAGCTAACTGAAGATGCCCCCATCTTCGTCCACACGTTGAGTGATGATTCAACAATGAACAGTGGCAGTTTTTTTTTTTTTTTTTTTTTTATTTTAAAGAAGATAGCACCGAGAAATGGACAAATATGCGCCAGGAGCAACCCACTGCCAGCTGCAGCTGTCTTTGGCGTTGTCCTCGCTGCTGCCTCGCTCCTGCCAGGTCCTGGCCTTCGGCAAATGCGTTTAAAACTATTTGAGCTGCTGCTCAGCTTGGCTTTGGGTCAAAAGTTTATGGCTATGGCGCATCGTAAAAACCTGTTGGCCGCCACATAATCAGCTGCCAAGTGCTGCGTAGCCAGCCAATCCCAATCCCACCCAGTTGAACAAGAGCTTACAAGCTGTAAGAGCTTGTTAACAGAATGTTGCACTCTGATGCTTGGCCCTAAGCCAGCTCAAAGATAAAGAACTGCATTTGAATTGGCCAGAGAGAGAGAGAGAGAGAGAGAGTTTGCAATGTGTCAATAAATTACAATACCAAAGAACAATTTAAAGTCTTTTCTTTTTTATGATATGTCAAATCTTTAAAACGGAAACCTGACACTAAAATTAAATTAAATTAATAGTTAAAATTTCAGTTTAATTAAAATTAATTGTAAAAACATACGAACAGAAATCTTCTTTAGATAGCAAATATTTTCTTCTTCAAGTATTTAAAAAAAAGTAAATGAACATTTCTGTTGCCTAAAAAATATTTTCTAAAGCTTTTCAATATTTGCGATTGCTATTTAACACAAGAAGAAAACACAATAAAAGCTTTTTTGTGTCTTAAAGCTCAGCTGCTGATAAAAGCTTTCAAAAATTAGGCTCAAAATTAAGCTCAGATTAATTTCAGATTAACACTTTGTGGATACTGATTTCAATATCAACAATTAATTTAAAGATATTATCAAATATTTTCATATAAAAATATTGAAAATCCTCCATTTAATATTTACTGCGAAGTCATGACTAGATAATTTTTGAGTGCACATTAAAGCTTCAAACAAAAAAAGTTTTAATGTAAGTAACTTAAAAAAATTACTTTAAAGCAAAAAAAAAAATAAATTTTAGCAAATTATCATTCAAATACGATTTACTCAAAGGATCCTTGAGCTTACCCAAATTCTAATAAGTAAACCCTTACTCGGAATCGCTCTTGAGTATAAATTTTACTGAGAAGTATAGCTCTTCAGTTTAATCCAAAGACTTAATGTTTTTCACAAGATTTTCCACAAGTCTGTTAAAATTCTTTCCTATCAAATACTTGACTTGAGCCGGATTTACAAACTTGTTATTGCTGTTCTGGCTATTTTAGCTGCCAGCTCCATTGTGCCGCAACAAAGCATCACGCTTAGCCCACGTGCAATTCATCAAGGTAGCAAAGCGTTGAGTTGCAAAGCTGCGTGCTGCCTATCAACTTAATCGCAAGAGCAACAGCAACAGACACTCAGATACACAGACAGACAGACAAACAACGGAGGGTTATCCTTGTTATATCTCGAGGATCTCTGCAGCACAGGATAAAGCTGCTGCTGTGCATTGGCCAACCCAAAAGTGCAGCTTGGCGTGAAAAGAGTGTCGTAATTTACAGTCATGCAACAGCTAAGGCAACAACGACGGCAGCGCCAGGTGGCAGGTGGGAAAATCTCAGCTGCAGCAACAAAAAACACGGCGAGAGTAGAAAACGTAAGTGCATGAAGAGCAAAGGAGTAGCGAGTGAGCAAAGAGAGAGAGAGAGAGGGAGAGAGAGAGAGAGAGAGAGAGTGTGTGTGTGGCATAATTAAAACGCTGCCAAGCTCTACTCTAAATTGGCTGTTCCTTTTGCCGGAGTTGTTATCATAAATTCGCCTGGCGCCCAAAAGCAGGCAACACTTTTTGTTGCGTTCCTTTGGCGTTCCACTTGAGTCAAGTGGGGCCCACGGCCAACTTGTACTCGTAATAATTTTGTGCACTCGAAACGCTGTTGAGAAGTGTTCAAGCGTTTACTATTTGGATTAATTATACCCTGTAAAAGTCAAGCAACTAACTAGACTACTGAAATTTAGCACCAGAAGCGCAGTTAGTCGTGTGGAATTTGTGAGTTTCAAAAAAAGGCAGCTACGGTACAACAAGTGCAAGGAAAAAATGTAAAAAAAAAGTCCTCAAGGGTTAAATTAAATGTTCCCTTTAGTTAATAATTAAATTAAAGCAAGCGTGATATGTCCAATACTAAAACATGCTCGCAATTTGTAGAAAATGACTGAATTATAACAGCCCTTGAAATTTGTTTCACTTATATACATTTTTTTTTACAATTTTTCGAGTGTTTTGCTCTGGCGCATTATGTAAAGTGAAGTAATTGTCAGAGTTGATGGGTAGCAATATCATAAAAACTATGAGGCAACATCTGTGCGTTCCCCTTGCAGCAATGATGATCATAACAATAACAATAATGATGTTGATGCTGACGCTGATGATGATGATTATGTCTAACTGGCTAAGTGGCACTTGTGCGCTCAAGCAGCGGCAGTTGCAGCGTGCAGGATGCGGATGCAACCGCCAGGCACACACTCACACCCATACACACCCACACACACACAGACACACAAGCCGTGCAAATAGATAAGCAACCTGTACTGGTTGGCAGTTGAAAGGACACTTACAGGCGTTGATGGCATAATAGACAGCAATTAAGTGAGTCACTTAAGCTGACAAACACAGGACCCAGGCGACTGGTGACTGTGACAAGGATTACGGCAAGGCCACGGGGCAACTGATGATTGTGCACTTTTGAGCCATGGCCGATGATTACGTGTAATGTGTATTTAACGATTTGCACGCGCACACAATCAAATTAACGTCTTGCCTGTTATGAATTAAATGCAATTCATTTAGGGCAAGTGCATTAAATTCAAGTTGCCCCTTGTATGCAATTTGCAAATTGTAAATTTTGTGTGCAGCTGCGGCACTTGAACTATTTGTAAACTATTAGGCAACTAGTTTGTAAAAGTTTTTTAATGCCACTCAAAATGTTGCCACATGGCGTAACATGCAACACGAGCGCAACAAAACTTGCTGCAAAACTTTTCGCATTCTTGACTTCAAGCAGAAAATCAATTGAGCCAAACAATTAACAGCCAAGCAATTTCCGCAGCGACAAACGCCCAAAGCGCTCAATGAGCCGGAAAGGCGCCCAAAAAAAAAAAAACGACCGGAAACTCAGGAAGCTCAGAAATCATTCACAGGCGTTGAAATCTGTTCAGCTGTTGCTCATACGCAGCGTTTGCCGCCCGAAGGCTGAGGCACGGCCCGACTAAGTCTGGCGCAGCTTAATCGAATTGCCAAAATATGGAAATCTAACTAATTGCGAGGCTAATGAGTAGCCACTTCTCGGATATTAAATCAAAAATTGTTAGCCAGCTAATTAACGCCGGCGCCTTTGATTTGCTAAGATTGGATCATATAAAAGCCATAATAAATCATATTAATTGCTTCGGGCGGACTTCGCTTAACACAATCAAACGACCAAAGAGACTTTTTGTTAACATCGCAAAAACAAATTATTCAACAGGCACAAAAACAAAAAGCCGAATTATGCGCACATTAAATTTATTATTGCTTTGGTAATAAAATATAAAATACACATCGGGGTGAAATTTAAAAACGCGTAGCATTGCATTTCAAGCAGCCGCAGGACATTTTTTTAACTGATGCTACTTATCAGGTTTTATTGAATTGCCAAATATAAACACACAAGTATATGCACATGTGTGTGTGTGTGTGCGTGTGTGTGTGCGTGTTACTGCCAATATGTTTTACAAGTCTGCGCATTTTTCATATGAATTTTCAATTTCGTCTTCAAGAACAGCAGCACCTCCTGCTGCGTATAAATTTAGACATATGCGAGTGTATGTGCGTGTGTGTGTGTGTGTGTGTGCGTGTGCGTGTTTGTACAGCAAGTTGTCAAAGCTGTCAAGCGGAAATCCCCTTTACATCATATAAAAGAAAACCCAAGCGATACAGCTTTTTAGGCGGGCCAACTAAAAAATACCCTAGGAATAATATTGAGTACTATGCTGGCTATGATGGCTATGCTGGAAGATTAAGCAAGTTGATGGCTCAAGAAATGGCATGCAGCTTAATTTTTTGAAATTTAAGTAAGTATTGTTAAAAATCTCGAGATCAAGCAGGCAAAATGAAGAACTCAAGTGTTGACAATTTATTGCTGTCATTCAATATGCTCGACATGCATTTTGATAGAGTATAACTCATGTCATATAATACCTACTCACATACACAGCTCAAAAATATCGAAATAACAAAATTATTGTTATTGTTTGGGGCCAGGCGCGGTAGGCGGGGTAAATTGCGCGGATTTGCCGGCGCTCCCAGGCGGCACACACACACATGCGCGTGTATGTGTGTGTGTGTGTGCGTGTGTGTGCTTTAAAGCATGTGGCGGCATGGTTACCAAAATAAAATAAGCATTACGTTAACAGCCAGCAATGCCAATTAATAAAAACAAAAATGAAATATGTGTCAGCTAAATTGCGGCCCGAATACCCATTCAATAAATGAGTTTAACGAGTCCTGCGGAAAAATGTAATTACTTTTATTTGAATTTTCAATTGCCTTTGTCAAATTCCAAAACTATTTAAAGCAGGCAAATAATTAACGAACAAAAATTTAGATGACAAAGAAAAACAAATTAAAATTTAAACAAAACGAGCAAGCAGGACTAGCTGCGGCACATCGAAGAATTAATACCCTTTTAAACAATTGCATTTTGCAGATATGTGAGAATAGTGAAGCTCGTTAAGTAACTAAGAGCCTACTTTTTCTATGGCAGCTAAATCATAGTGAAACTAATAAATGAAGAGCTTGGATAGCTTGATTAGCCAAAGAGTATAGTAGTCCGATTCGGTCGATTCCGACATATGTAACGCCTGCGGCTATTGATGTAGGTATAGAATATATATAACTAATGGAGTCGGAGATGTCTCTTTCTAAGCATTACACATTTTAGGACAAAACTATAATACCCTTTACAAGAGTACATTTAGTTAGTCTTCTTTTTTTTCATGCACACATGGCAAATGGTTGAAGCTTTGCGAAATGTTGGAATATTTCGTTCAACATTTATTAAAGCTTGGATAAAACTAAAGGCCTATTTATTGGAGCTTCACGTTGGGCTCCGAGCCTTGAATTTTCTCGAATTTGTAAAATTTCGTATTACCATAGCTACAATAAGTTAGCCTACATTTCATATAATACTTGTAAATAACAAAAATTGTAAAACATCAAATATTTAATACTTTGTTTCGCACAAATATTTGAGTTACAATTAGAGTTCAAAATAAAACAAATATAAAATTGACAAGACGCGCTTTTTAAATTGCATATTGTTGGGCAGATAATAAAAGGTAAATGGCTAACAAATTATGCGATTCTTGCTTAAAAAGCAATTTAGTTGCGACCTCTGCAAACTCTCATTTATTAAACCTTGCCCAGCGAGCCCCTATGCCACCCCCCCTTAAAAGACCACATTCTGCTGCCAATATTGAGCCAAATTGATTTATATGAAATTTATGCAGAGCCGCTGTTAGCAAAAAAAAAAAGAATGTGGCCCACAAAGGACGAGGTCAAATTGAAAGGCCTGCTGAATTTATTGACTCAACACTCACCTGGAATCCTGCAGGCTGTGCTCGCCCGACTCCTGCACACGCATGGCATACAATTCCTGTGAGAACAGCTGTAAGCACAAAGTTCGCATTTGATGTCATTAGTAGGAAACTTCAATGTCGAATACATTAATTAAGTGGGCCTGATGATCAATGGACAACAGTTGTGGTTAGCTTACCTCGCCATTTTCCGGCGGATCTCCGTTGCCAAAGGTGGAGGCAACAACAATTAGCAACGCCTCGTGCTCAATGGAGGATATATCGTAATCGGACATGCAATATATCTAAATGAATAAACAAATTTAGTATACTAATCGCAATCAGACCGGGCAACATGCTTAAACCAACACTTTTCTGCTCATTAGTAACTTGACCTGGTTAAAACACGCAAACAGCCCAAATGTGCACGCTAACTGTGTGTACATGTGTGTGTGTGTGTGTGTGGGGTGTGTGTGTGTGTGTAGTTTGTCACAGGTGCCTGCAGGCTATCTAATTTTCGAGGCGATAGACAGCTGCTTTTTGTGCACAGCATCCGCTTCCGCACACACACACACACACTGACACACACGCACACACACACAGACAACACGACAGGAGCCTCGGCTGGACACTAAGCTGCCAAATTTCCAGGCACATTTTGGGCTTATGCTAATTTGTATAATGTGGCATTTACGATAGGTCGCAGGTTGCAGTTTATTTTCGGCTAGTCCGCAGCGACTTTTATAATGTCAAATTAAGGCTGTTTTTGTTTAAAATGATGTATGCTTAATATTTGCATGTGCCTCGCTTTCGATAAATTGCTTCAACTTTAAACGATTTCAATTTAACGAACCAACTATATATATTCTTGATCAAATTGTGCGCCTGCCAGATATCGGACAACTATATCGTATAGATCTATAATTAAGTAAGGAAACAAGCAGCACGAGCTTTACATTTCTCGTCACGTGAATGCAAACTCATATCAAATTGCACCTCAATATCAAGGACATTGAATCTTTGTGCTTGCCTTTTTAACTTGCTGGAAATATGAAGTTTATATTAGCTGTTGCTCATGTTCCGGCAATATCAGCTTGGTTAAATTTGTATTTTGTGTAAATCAATAGAGATTGCTTTTCAGTTGAAGCATGGAGTTTCATTTACGGAATATTGTTCTAGTCTTGCCTGTGCTTCATAACAGAAGTTGCCCTCAATAACTCACCTGTGCATTGAAGGCATGTCCCAGTAGTTCGCACAATTGCTTGGCATATTGCTCCGATTTGCCCGTCTCGGTGGCATATAGAACCGTTGCTTTGATGCGTTTCGACAGAGCGCGTCCAAATAATTTCGATGTAAATTTCACAGCACTGCAAAGAACAAGACGAAAGGACACAAGTAAAAGTGTGACTTATATAAACATCTATATGTTAGAGTATCTATATGGACTATATATGTAGCTAACTAGCTATGCATATTCATGCAGCTAGTTAGGAGTCTTGCCAGGCATTTTATGCATAGTCAGCAGCACAAACATTATTATACATCATAAAGCTTTATAACGGTGCAGAGACACACACGCACGCACACATAAGGACTGCTTGATTGACATGCCATATAATTGGAAAATAGTCTATAAGTATAGCATAAATTGCTTAAAAGACGTTCGGGCCACACACACACACACACACACACTCACACACACTCACACACTCACACACACACACATACACACACTTGTAGCCCTGTCAATAATCAAATGGCTGCAACACTTTTATTGCACAGCAGCAGCAGCAGGCTTTAGCCGTGTTCCGCATCTGTTCTAATCGTGGCAGCTTCTTCGAATTGCCATTGTTCTTGGCTTAAAGCGCAAACAAACATGAAATTTTAATGCAACATCTGAGAATGTGTAGCAAACAGGATGAAGGCACGCTGCTTTCAGCTAGCACAGTTTACAGCGTCTTATGCCTCGCCCCTCACTTGCACGGCCATAGCACGCCCCCAAGGGTCATGTGTGGGGCATGGCTGTTGTTCAGTTCAGCTGTTCGTGACGTATACTGAACTACTTGTGCTTATGTACACTGTGTGCGGATGCTTATAGGCAGTTTAACTGTAATTCAATATGGCGGTCGGGCTCACATTTCGCTGCATACTTTTGTGCGCAGCATAATTTGATTTTCATAAAGTTGTCGATGTCAGCACAGATTTAATTCCATTTCATCAGCAGCCGAGCCAGTCGAGGCAGCCGAGGCAGGCAGCGCGTGCTGAAACAATTAAACTTAATTATGGCCCTACATACACACAGACACATACACACATATATTACCTACACACACGCACATATCAGCGTGTGTATGTGTTGCGATTCATTTAAGCATTGATAAAAAGTTTTCACAAGCTCGTTTTAAATGTAAAGTATATATGTGTGAGTGTGTGTGTGTTCGCAAACGATTTAAACATGTTAATTGACAACTTTTTAATGAATTTCATTTTGCCATTTTGGCAGCTGGAAGCCGTGTATGCGCTGTGTATAGACCAGCCCAATTGCGACGAACGCAATTGCAATAAATTTAAATAAATTAACTTATGAAAATGCGCAAATGAACAAGTGCGCCAACAAGTTCATTAATCTGTAACCATTTTAAGTGCACTCATTAAATAATTATTATATTTATTTTTTTTACAATTCATTAAGCAACAATCTGTAGCTTTTCGTTTCGTTTCGTTTCGTTTGTTTATTTGTCAATTAATGAAATTAATTCTTGTTATTGTTAAATTGGCTCAAGTAGTAAAGAAATGTTTAACATTTGTTTTTGTTAATTCCAAATTAAAGACCTGTTAACTCACTAATTAGCGCGCATGAACGGTAGCGTGACGCCTCGTGCGCAACGTTGGGCGCCAATTTAAGCGACATTTTAAAGCATTTCGACACACGAGAACTATTCCAATTAGGATTTTTTTTAAAAGTACATTAATAAGAGATTATATAAGCCTAACTTGGTTTATGATAAAGACATTCGGGAAACGACAACAATTACGACTAAATAGAATTTCAAGACTGTTCCCAGTATTTTTTAATGTTTTGGCCAAGAGCCAAACATTCAAATTTAGAAGCCAACGTGAGGCGCCAATAAATAATGAATTTATTTATATTATTTGGAAAAGTCATTATTATTATATTTTCTTAATAATGATTTATAAGTTTAAGCAATAGGTTTTATATGTCCCACGTTAGGCGCCAATTACTGATGTGACCAAGAGAAACAAAATATTGTTTTGTAATTGCAGAACTTAAATAATTGGCTTTGCGTTAATTAAGACATTTACTTATATGTCCAAATGTAGCAAAATATTAATTTTAAATTGCAATAAATACTTAAGTATTATATTTAAGCGCGCTGGAACTTTACTAAGTCTTGAGTCATTGAATTGAGTGGAACTTAGGAGTTCAGATAAAGTAAAGTTATAGAGAAAATAGGAAAATACTACGGACTTTACAAAATATTACTATTATTATTATTCTAATTAGTTAACTGCAGAGCTTAATTAATAAGCTTTACATGTCCCACGTTGGTTTCACAGAGATGAACATTGTGCAACGCTTATGCATGGGAGGTATCTATTTCTATTGTTCCAACAACTGACTTTCATTGGCTTATTTTCTTAGTATTAACCCGACCATTTCATAAACTCTAATGAGCTATGCAACTGAAGCTCACTAGAAGCTAAAGCATACAATGCCGAGTGACATACATGATGCAATGCATCAAATTTTCCAGGCGAGTTGATGATGGGTAAGCGGAATGTGGCGGGAGTATGAAGACTGGCAACCGGTAGCAATAAACCAGAATCCATGTAATCTACTTAAGAGCTAATCCCAGCTGATGCTGTGTCGTGTGACACGCCACACACACACACACACTCGCACATATACACACTCACACACACATACACAATTACATGGCATGATGAGAATGCACACAAAGACACGAAGATGTCATCAGGCAAAGGTCGCTATGCTTAACGGTTAAGGTAATGGCAACAGTTGCGTCAACGTGCCATTGAGTAGCCGTAATCGTGCCCGTACTTACCGAGCGATTTGTTTAAAATTGAATTTACGTCTCGGCTTTTTGCCTTTGCTTTCGCCGCGTCCCTTTTTCCAGATGTGCGTGCGCCAGGCGGGATCCTGATACTCAAACGATGGCTTCAAATAGTACAGCGCCATCTCCTGATGAAAAACGGGCGTTATGGAACCAGATAGTGGCGGCACAATCCATATCCAATCCGCTGGGCAGCCATTCCTGTGAGTAATAGAGAGAATAGCAATAGAGAAAGGATGGAAATCATGTAATTGTTATGGACGCTGCTTTGTTTTTGCTTATTGGCTGTAATTGACATAACGCCACAGAGCACCAGCTCCAGCTAATGGCTGCCCCCCCCCCCCCCCCCCCCCCCCCTTCTGGCAACCGCTCTGTTTAATTGAAGCCAACAAGCAAGCTGGAGATAGCCAACGTTTATCTCATGGCAACGCTTTGTGCGGCATTAGAAAATGCAAATTGGCAGTAATTGAAATATGGCCACGTATTTTTAGACAGCAAATGGCTTAAGCCAGAGCGTATTTTCAGCAAGAGCTTAACTGTGTTTTTTGTCCAGGATTCAAGCTACAGCTGAATATATTTAACTTTTAAATGAACAGCATTTGTTAGTGTAAACAAACATAAACTTTGTTAAAATTACTTGGCATCAAATAATCGTTACTTAATCGCAGCATTCCGAAGGCTTGCCATTGAATTGTTGTTTCCTTCCCTTTATAGAAATGTAGACTATTAATTCAAACATCAAATCATTTAACTTGTATAACCTGCAGCTAATTAAATGACTGAAGAACAAGGGGAGCCTTGCATAACAAAAATTTCTATTGTTGCATAATGATAACTTAAAACGGAAAACTTTTTAAAAACAGCAAATGCTAGGTGTTAAATGTTTTGACATCCTTGGTCATAAATTTATTATAGTATGTTTAATGGCATTAATATATAATACACATTCAGTGCAACAATCAGATAATCAAATATTTTTACTCAATTAAAAATGTGTTAAATGCCAGCAAGAATTATGCATTTTAATTGCAAACTTTCAACATGAAATCAACTGTAACAAAAAATCCATAATAAAATTGGCTCAACACATATCCTTCGAAAAGTGTTGGCTTATTTATGGCATGCCCGGCCAATAAATGCGATAAAAACCAACAACTGTGGAAACAGTTGTGCAAATAAAATATGAATAATGATAAAATACCTTTTGCCGAGCTCAACTTATTCGGCAACTTCTCTTGCATGCTTGCATAGCCCGCAGCATGCAAACTTTCTGACATATTGTGCGGCATTTATGTGTCTCGTGTGCACTTTACATAAAACGCTGGCGACAGCAAATTGAAAACAATAAATTTAATTCGCACCTGAAACGAGTTTACCCACACACAGACTCCAACAGGAAGTCGAATAAAACACGTTAAGCCATAAACTTGCGGCACGGATATGGCACAGGGAACGCTCGCCCCGGGCATAAACAATGCGATATTGCGCATACGCCCCGTGTCGTGCTGGGCATTTGCCCAGTGCACATGTGATGCGATCAGTTGCCGTATTTATGCTTACCTTAGCTTGGACTCGTTCTCGAAGTGCTTCATAAAACTCTCGCTGGCCGTGTGATGATCCACAATGGTCACATTGCGACTTTGATATGAATGCAGCACAGCAATATTCACTTCCACAACGGCCTTGTCCTTCCACAGCGATGTCGGCGTTCGCGTATCCAAATTCATTTTCAGCGCCACAGTCTGTAAGGCATATGAAAAAAGTACTCACAATTATTCAGAATTTAATTCTAGCCCGATTGAAAGCAAACCAACTTATGCACTACTTCTGTATATTATTATTTTTTACTCTTCCTCTGACTCGCTCTCGAACTGCGGCGATGTTGTTGCTAATTTTCGATTACAGCTTATGGGTTTTTGTGGCCAAAATTGATTATTACCACGCCTCACGTCACGCCCAACGGCAACAAGTTGCTGCCAACGTTTGTTTTATAGGCCCATTGCGGTCACTGGACATCGGCCTGACAACATTTATCGATTTTGCTGCTGGCCATAAAACATGCATTTGTTACCTACAGTGGCTATCATTTTAGAACATTTCCGGCAAATGAAAAAGTTATTAAATTGCAAATTTTACTGCCAAAGAGAATGTTTTAAAATGTACATGACAAACGATTTGTTAGGCAAGCGCAAAACTAATAATTTATCCCTAGCTCGAAAACTATCTTTGTTAACCTCAGCTTTAAATAAATTTGATAACTTGTTTGAATTATAAGTGAAAGACTGCAATCCAATGTTATCCTTCCGAACAAATAGTCTGAGACAACAGCCTGTAAAGGACGAACTTAGGGTGGATTTTCGGATGTCCATTTAAATACTTACATTATTCCTTTATAATTAATATAATATAGAAATTAAGATTTATTGAAAACAAAGTTATGTTAACGTATATTTAAGAACATATACATATACATATATATAAAATCTAAAGTTGAGAGCGGAAATTATTTCAATTGAAATTATTAAATGTTAATATTTAATTAATAAAAAATAAAAAAAAATTGTCTTTATTTTAAAGGGAAAAAATTACTAACCAAGCATAAGACGAAAAGCCGCAACTTGCAAAATTAAATATAACAAAATTGGATAGGATTTTAAATTTCCCAAAAATATATATATTTTTTTAAAATATATTTTTATGCAATATTGTGACATGATATTGATTTGATACTAAATAATAATAAAGAAAAATCTGCAAATAATTATGGTATATTTGAGCTAAATACGAACTATTCAAAGTATTTAAATAAATAAATGAAACAAAATTTAAAAGTGAATATATTCCAATGTGCATTTACAACCCTTTAACTCTACGCCCTAAACTGCCCTCAAATTGAATCATGCTAATGGCAAGTTCGTGTTCCAAACTAATTATGCCCCCTAAATTGAAAGTGCAAATGCCTCAAAATTCGATGCAGTTCAAATGACTAAAACATCGCCGTGGAGTGTGTCCTGCCAGCAATTAGTTCAGGTTTTATGGTGTTTATACGAATGCATAAACGAGTACCCGTATGCAAATTGAAGGCTCATGAATCTGGTTTACTTTAAACGGTCTTCCGGGGCCCACAAAGGCACTTCTTGGTGCTCGACTGCCATGACAACCAGCTTAACACATAAAACACACAATCACTGAAATATTTACGAGAAAAACGCTTTATGCCGGCAAAGTAAATGCGATAAAAAACAAGAAAGAAAGGCTTTTTTTGGCACACCGACTTTTAAATACCCTGGCAGACGGTTTTGTGTAGCTCGTCAACTGCAAAGTTTGGCATCAATAAATATAATAATTACTATATATCCAATTTATATAAAGTAATTATAAATAGTAATACGATGTTAAGATTTTGCAAATATGTAAGAGATATATTCATTTTTGACTGATTACAAAAATATCAGCTAAGGAATATTCGAATGTAATCGACTTATGTGCCATAAAGCATCAAGATATGGTAAGTTTTGTAAAGATTAAAAGAATTTTAAAGCTTAGCTAAAAGGGTATAATAAGTAAAGAATGCTATAGTCAAGTGTGCTCGACTAGGCAATACTCAGTATTCAGGTGAAAAGTATTTAAAAAGGGTTTTATTATAAAGCTTAATGAATTATATCTAAAAATATATATATATATGTATATATACATATATTTTTTTCGAATCTTTTTTGTTCCCTTGCTGTAAGGTATTTGCATTCCAATTTGAGTTTACCTGGAAGCTATTACCATGGTTAAATATAATACCATGGTTAAGTAAATTTAATAATTTAAAAAATTCTATTATATAAAAACTCCAAATTTATGTTTCTTCTACTTTAACTAGCCGAATGTCTTAAACTTTTCGATAACAAGAGAGAACAGTTACAAAACCAAAGATTTATTCTTGATTTTTTTCCTTTGATATCAAATTCGACAACTATGTGCAAGCTCTCTGAATTAAACCAAGACAAACGCACTGACCACTGGAAAGTCTATGTGTTTCATGCCTCGTTTTTGAAGTTTACGTACAATTACACACCCGCATGTATTATATACCTTTTTGTTTAAGCATTATTAATGGTTACGGGGTATTGAACAGGAAAGTATCCTTATGGAAACGCGCCCATAATGCTGCATGTAATGAAATAAATGCCGGAACGCGGCACGCACGCGACAAAGGCAGCAAGGACATGCGGCAAGGACAGTCCGCGCTCTATCAATAAAGCAATTACAATATATATACGAGCATGTGGTCTGGTCTGGCCACGCCCCTTATTGAAAAACTTTAACGCTTTAATGTTGGCAGCGACTTACCTCGAGCATATTGCGACGATTCGTGTCGCATAAATTCCGGCAACCAATCTCCGTGGACATGTACCAACCGCTAAATGTGGTGGCCGTAAACTGTATGCCGCCCACATCGAAAAGCATGCTGGATACGGCGGGCAGGGCATACCAGCGCAGGCCCAGATCCGTGAACCATTCAAATCTGTTGGTAGGTTGCGGAAGGGGGGAGGTGGGAGGGAAAGCAAGATAGATGAGTTAAAATTTGTATATGCCGTGGCGATGCAAATCCGTTAAATACACTGCGTCATAAATGGCCAGAAAGCTGCTTTGTGAAATAGACATGCACACACACACCACCACACACACACTCACTTGGGATGACTCAGCGGAACTTCTAGTATCAGCTCCAGCGGGTAATCAAAGTAGTCCGGATCGTGACCATTGGCAGAGACCACCAGCGGCAATATGTCCCATTCCGTGCCCTTGCCCTTCCAGCCCAGTTTAGAGCAGACCTACAAATGCAAAAGTAGAAAAAAAAACATCAAAATCGAAAATCAACACGAGACGAACATAAAAAGTGACATGTGTACAAATATATGGCATACTTTCGGGCGCTTTTGCATGCAAATACATCAGAGCAGGACTCGCCACATCCTATACTGGCAACATATGTGTATTTATTGACGGCTTTGTTGTTGGTTCGGTTTGTTTTTTACGTATTTAAAATACAATTTATTACAACTTTTGTCCTGCCGCTGCCGCCCCTATATTTATTCCTGTAATTTGTTGTGTTATTGTGGACTCAGGGATTTTTCGACTTGTTGGTTTAACAACTACATATGAGCCTCGCTTAAAGGCCAGCAAGCAATTGCTGCAACATATATATATATTTATATAAATTGATAGCTAGATTATAAGCAATAAATAAACGCCAGTTCTTCAATAACGAAAACGTCTGTGGAAATCGCTTCGATTTCTATGGGACGCACCGCAGCTGTTCATCCACTCAGAAGTGGATCAATTTGTCTGTATTTTTAACCATTTATCCACAACTCTTTGCAACACATATATATAATTAATTTTTGGGTAATGTGGGTGAAGTTGATGGAAATTCAACCGAGCTTCAAGTAAACTTTCAACCATTCAAATGAAGCTCACAAATGTAGACCGGGACAAAAATAATATTATGCTAAAATTAGACGAACTCTTAACCAAGTTAATCTGAGCTAAAGTAACTTGGTAATTTAATATTTGTTACATTCCACGCAAATGCGTCTCTAGAAATCTGTTTTTAGTTTATATAGATAGGCCGAGAAAAGCCATAAAATATCTTAAATAAAAATATATATATCTTTATATCTTTTTGCATATTTATGTGGATCTAGAAAGTTATGTAGCTCAAGCTTTTATTGAGCATATATAAAAATTGTTTATTTTCACATTGGGCTCGTTAAATCCTCTTAATTGTGAACGTGTGTCTGAACGGTTAACCAAAAAAGTTTTCTTTTATAATTCCCAAGTGGTTTTTGTATTTTATGCCTTTAATTACTTCAAAATCTTCCATCAACCAATTAATTGGAATGCAGAATTGTTTTTCCAATGGATTCTTCTTCATATAATATTAAGCCCCTGCTGAGTAAATCAAAAAAAAAAATGTGACCCCCAATTACCTCTGTAAACTCCAAATTCATGGGATCGCCAATTATCTTGCCATCGGGCTTTTTATAGGCCGCATATGAAATAAGCTGATTGTTCCATATGCGATAATCGTGTCGGGCATCGGTGCGCTGTGGAAATATTGTGATGGCGGATCTGGAAGCGTGCAAAATATAAACACAACATTTATATTGAATTACCGAAGTCAAACAATAAATGCGAACTGAAAGTTTCAACCACGAGTCTAGCCAAGACTACCCGTCAAACAATTTATATGTGCTCAATTTTAGACGGGCTTAGGTTAAGGCAACTTCGGCTCACAGAGCTTAAACAACTTTGGCAACATAAGCGGCTTCCAACGTTAACAAAGTTAAAAGTGCAATTGATAGTCAGGTCGGCAACTTAGTTCGGTCTACCGAAAATTGCCAAATATTTGCCAAGCCCCTCTTCACAGCGCTCAACTCATTGCCAATTAGCATTGGGCAAAATATTTGCCAGTCGTTTCGGCCAAACAGCGTCAACTCATGGCCAGCAAAGCTAATATAACGATTTTAAGTGGATTAGTTCGTGTCAATGAAAATTGGAAATATGCATATTCCGACAATTTCCAATTGGCATAAACAGCATATTCAAAGACACGCAAAATTATGTGCTGCCCAAAATTGTTGTTGCTCCCAATTGGAATTGTCTGGGCTAATTAGTATAAGCTGGCCATAAAACGCCGTGTATGTTAATTATTGGAAGCATCGATAGACAAAAACTGCGAAGTGTAATTAAGGCAATTCATTTTAAATAACTGAACATACTGAACTTTCAGCTAATTTAATTTATATTTTATGTGTTTTTATCACAAATAAATTCTTTTATTTAGAAATGAATTCGGCGAATAATCAGACATGCAATGAAAGCTAAATTTATATATATTTATTAAGAAGAATTTTTCTTTCTTCAACTAAATTGTCTTTTAAGTATTGGTTGAAATGTTTTTGAGCTTTGGTTAAGTGTTTATTGATTCCATTGGATTTGCTCACTTACCTGAGATTTCCTTTATTTGTTGCATATTTGATGTGATTGCAAATCGCCTCAAACATTCCGCTCGTTGTGGTCACATAACGACAGTCGAAAACCTACAGGAAGAATGTTAGAATGTTAACAAAATAAATCTAAAATATCTTTAACAAATTTAAGCTTTAGCTAAGTCGCAACTCAGCTCATAATTCTACAATCCTCAGCAGGACCAACTGCAATCAGAGCGGCAGCTTCAACTGTGCAACGCCCAGTTCAAAAGTTAAAATTAACTAAAATATTCATAGCGCTTATGCAACAAGAAGACAAGACAATAACAGAAATCAGAAAAAGGATTCTTGAGTATACACGACTTACAGATGCCCTGTATGAACAAGATTTTTAAATTGTCTGTGTGTGTATAAGTGTGGCAACGCCAAGTCTATCAATGACAGGATTGTATATAGAGTATATGAAATTTTATACGAGGTGGCAACGCTCTGATGCTAACCAGTTGGTAAATGCAAGGTAGATTGCCCGCTTGGTAAATCAGCTTGCAAAGAAATTAAAGAATGTAATCAACATTTAATTTAACATCGAAATTTTTGATTTTAACTTGGTAAATAATTAACATTGTCAATTTCAAAATTAAAAAATACTGTTTTGCTAATATCCAATATGCAAATCTTGTTCTTAAACACTTGCAATGTAGATTAACCGCTTGGTAAACCAGTTTGTAAGAAAATAAAATCTGGCAACATTTGCAAGATCTAAATGATATAGAATATTTGAGTTTTTCAATCAACGTAATTACAGCTTTTGTTATTACGATTCGTCTTTTTCATTCTGGCCGTATATATGACCTTTTGAGCTTAGTCAATGAGTATAGGGTATAATAACAAGCAGGAATCACTGTGGAAAACTAACAGCCATAGCAATTGTACAACATGAATTTTAAGTGCGGCCAAACTTCACAGCGGCGCTGAAAACAATAAACTCTAAATGAAATCAGTTGAGTTCAGTTCAGTTCGGTTCAGTTCTGTTTTGCTATGGTTTTTCCCAGTTCTGTTTCGTTTTTGCCAGCAGCACATGGGGCGTATGATAAATGTGACGTAATACTCTTTGTTTCGATTGTTTAGACTGTTTTGCACGTTGAAAATTGTGAACACAGAAACCCTTTTTCAATGAATTCGCTTGAATGCACTTTCTAGATATTCCCATTTTACCAGTTCACCTCTCTGTCTCTCTCGCTCCCACCCTTTCTCCTTCTCTCTATTAACGTTGACCGAACAGTTGTTTTGGGCATTTTCACACCTGCTGCCTGCCGCTTCTATTTGTGGCTTATCAGCGACAGGTGTAAGTACTTACCCTGGCTTTATGGGCTTTCTGTGTTGCCCACTCAAATTTCTACACACTTTCCCGAAGCACATTTTCATTTTCAGTTTTATTTTTCTTTTTTTTTTTTTAATGTCATCCTCTCCTTTTGGTCACTTTCATTTGATTTTCTGCTGTGTTGGGTTTTTATTTGAATGCCAGCCCGGTTTTTTGTAATTAAGTAAGAACCCTTTTTCAAGTGGGAGCCCATAAACCAACCATTTATGCATGATGCGTGCATTTAATTTACAGCAAAGTTTTTGTTTTTCAAGTGTTATTGGATAACTTTTACGAAAAGTCATGGCGTTAAATGAATTTATCATAGCATACAAAACAGCAAGACCAAAAATGTTTATGCCGCATCATTTTTAAAGCCCGACTTAGCTTTGGCTTTGCCAGAACTCTGGACATAACTAGACAACAAGCCAGATAGATGATGCCAAGGAAACTTGACGCAGAAATACCCTGTACTAAAAATTAACCCATTTTAAATGCATTAAAACATCAATTACAATTGAAAATAGAAATATCGATTAAAAGTAAAGAGAAAGAGACATATTAAAAAAGAGCTTGAACCACACTCCATAATTTCAATAAATTACTTTTGGCACAGTCGATACTATTGCTTACATCCATACATTCTTACTGGTATTAAAATGTTCGCTTTAGAGATTCTATTTATTCATTTATTTGTTTATTTATTATTATAAAAGATTTACTTTGTGTCTGCCATTATGTGTGAGCAACTAGGAAGACCCAAAGTGTGATCGACTTTAACATAGCCTGTAATACATTATTAAGTATACAACAAATGAGACCTATAAATAAAGTTGTGTTCCATTTTCAAAAAGACAAATAAAGCTTAAGCCTTCAATTGTATTAAGCTCAAGCAAACATTTCAAATCCACTTGACTACAGGGTATTAAGAAGCATCATGTTTGAAGCCAAACTATGCTTAGTATGCTATTTCTGTTGGCATAAGTAAAAAGGCATAAAAAAGTCGTGCCACATTAAATATGAATGTATACACGTGACTACAGTGAACATATTTTGAGTGCTAAGTGAATTCTCAAGGTGCCTTCACAGACATCGAATTGGAAATTTGGGCATGCTTTAAGGCTCACAAACACACACACACGCGCACACCCGCACACGCAAATCATTGAAGCGTGTATGCAAATCTGTTCACACACAGCTAGACACACACTGGGAGCTCGTAATGCCAACTACAGATCATTATAATGTGTGTATATGTGTGCATACACACACATATATATGCAGAACTGTATTTGTGTACATGTGTTGTGTATATGCATAAATCTCAGTGAGGCACGCAGTGATATTTTTGTAAATTAAAATTTACGAAGATTTGCATTTCAAATTTGTGCTCGCTTTAGTCGCCGCCCTCTCTCTATCTCCCTCTCTCTCTCTCTCTGTCTCTTAGTTTGCCCCTCTCTCTCTCTCTCTGTCTCTTTTGTCTGTCTGGTGTCAGTTGGTGCCTTTTTTAACGCCTTTGGGCGCGCGTTTTCCATTTGTCATTTTGTTGAAACACGCATAAATCTTGAATAATGTTTCACACACACACACACACACACACGCACACAGCAACATATACATGCATCGCAGTAGTTTGCAACCCGCCTCTCCCCACAAAAGGCTGCCACTGTGATTTGTGCGCTGACTAATTTGCTTGACTATTTTGCGTATCTTTCAAAATTTTTGCAAATTACAAACATTTGCCTAATGTGTGTTGATGAATTGTTGGCAAATATAACAATCACTGGCTAACGCCTGACGAGAACTAATGTGTTGCCGCGATAAGAGTCAAGGCAAAACGAGTTGTAGAAATATGTTCTTTTTTTTTTGGAATGCAACAATTCCAAGTGACTAAAGTTTGTACATATTTAAAAATTAATTAATGAATTTCTCTAATGAATTGTTCTTTAATTTAAGGAAATATTTATTTGTTAAAGAAATTAATAATTTTGTACTGGCCTGGAAGACGAATGTCTGTTTTTGGAGGAAGCAGAACTAGTTGAACGTTACTTGGCTCTTAAGGATAAACTACAGGCTCTAATTTTTCAGGATTTTCGAATTAAAACGCACACTTCGTTTAATTTAATAAATTAAATTAAATTTCTTCGCTTATATGCCCCAATTTTGTTAATTTTATTTCAAACAATCTAAATTCTCAGTTAAACTCTTCTACTTTTAACTTTGACACAGTCTAATTAACTCTTTAATTAATCTACTAATTTATTTAATTAACTAATTAGCAGACAGTCTAATTAATTTCAAGCTCGAACTTCAAAATCGAACTTGCGAAGTGGGTAAATAATTGAAAAAAGAATAATAATTGAAGGTAATTTAGCTTCTGAACTTATCTTGAAAGGAATTTGTATTATTGTTTTTCTTTTTTTAGTTGTTAATTCTTGTTTAAATTAACCCCGAAAAGCAAAGACATCTTTTTTTAAATAGGAAGCACAATAAATTATCCAAGTCTTTTATAATTTCAAAGTTTCGGAATAAGTTGTTCATAAATTGTGCTCCGTAATTGTCATAAATCAAATGCGAGACTCACCTGGAGCTTTGACCATTGGATGCGACCAATGCAGCGAGAAGAATTGCGCCAGGCTAATTTGGCGCCATAAATTAGCTCGGTTTCAGTTAGCTGATAATGTCCCGTTGTTTCAATGCTCTGTCGCACCTGTTTCCAGCGCGTGTCGTGCGCGGCGGACGAGGAGCTGACATTTGAAAGTTGGCAATTTGTAGCAATTGTATCTTTGGCCATGGCCGTGAGTCTGTTTGCTTACCGCTTAATGGAGGTGAAGTATTGATCCAGAAAATCCTTGGCGTGCTCCAGCACCAAATCCGATTTGCGCGCCTCGACGGCCGCATTGCCGATGTTCATGATGCTGCTCGTGCAGGTTGCCCTCGAGCAGGATAATATCTGGCAAGAAAATGATAAATAAATAAGTCATAAACATGACACAAATATGACATGTGAATGGGGGCGTGGTGCATGGGGCTGGGCTGTGTCTTAACGTTTGGACAATTTAATTAAAAATTTAATTGCTTATCTGGATAATTAAATTTTTGATTGCTCATTTCGTTCGCCCTAATTGCAGCGACAAATGAAGATGAATGACAGAGCTGCCACAGCTATAAAAGAAGAAGACACCCACACACACCCAAACCCAACCGGCACCCACCCCCGCAATATAAATGAAATTAAACAGAAACGGCTCCGGGAGTCACATGAAGCAACAACTGACAACTTCTCGCCTTGAGCTTTATCTCCCAAAGTTCCCAACATTTTAACTGCCTTTCGATTGCGTTTAAAAAGCATTTCACTGTCAATTGCGAATGTGACTTTTACTTTGCTTTACATTCACAATTTCTTAACTATATTATATTTATCCTTTTTTTTTATTACTTATGACGCATGTCGCTGTAATTATACCCTGTGATGGGCAAAAAGAATGACTCCCATCAAAAATCAATTTAAGCAAGCAAAAATATACTCTTGTTTAAAAGCAAATACTTTAATACATAGAAACTAGATCAAAAGAAAGGATAAATAACGACTTTAGTATAAGAAATATTGCCAAGAGCACGAAAGGAATTGTTACTCGCGGCTAATAAAGCACTCTACAATTTTATTTTTGCTACAGAGTATTGCCGAATTGAGCACACTCCCCACACGGCTTGCCTTTCAATCTACACTTGCAACGCTCAATTTATGCTACTACCCCTGCCTGTTGGCTGTTTTTCTTTTACCTTGGCTTACGGTCTGTTTTCGTCGACGGTTTAATTTACTCAACGCCAACGCGAACGCGAACGCCTTGAAGCGCCAGGCAATGGCAAAGCAACCTGCGGTCATAATTAGTTTGTTTTCACAGGCAGTTGAGCTTTTGAATTGGCTGGAGAAAAGCGAATTGGCCCCCACCATAAAGGAACTCAAGTGCTTTTACCTTCTGCTAGTTACGGTTGTGGCTCTGGCTCTGCGACTGCGACAATTATATTACACATACGCCGTGTCTGACAAGACCATTTTTTTACGTTTGCTTCATAGGCAGCTGCCTATTATTAAATTATTGTAGGTGACATTGAAGCACTTAATAATCCTTTTTTTGAAGATTAAATTTTACAAATTCGTAACTGGCTGCAAGCTGACGTCTTCAACAAATAGAAGAGATAACTAAAGCCGCATTTTAAATTTTGATTTAATACACAAGCCTTGAGTGCACAGCTGCTATAATATATCACAAGACACTCATCTGTTGAAATGTTAGCTGTCTGGTTAGCAAATTTTGGCACTCGAATGAAAAGCACCCAGAGATACATCAGCTCTGACATCATTGAACCTGGGCTATAAGAGCATGAAGGTTAAAAAGAACAGACGTCCTCTATAATACATCTTATCAAACAGAAGTCCTCAGTTGGAGTGTTATTCTTCTTCTCCGAAGCTTTAGTATGTATTTAATTATTTGTTTTAATCAACTTTCTGAAGAACTGTCAAAAATATGAAAATTTCGTCTCATGTTACTAAAAATTCGAATTTAATTTCCCAAAATTTCCACAGAATATATTCTAGCATTATGTCCTTTGTAAAAGTTTTTTGCACAAGCTGAAGTTAATAAATTCGGGTTTGTTAATTTATGAGGCCCTCAAGCAACCCAACCACAATAAACTGCACACATACTTTTCTCATATCAAATACTGAGAAAAAAAATTATTTAGTTTCCCACGCGGCTGGGGCATAAACTTTGCCAATTTTCACTCAACTGCACAGGACAAATTTATGCACAATGCAAACAGCAACTGGAAGCAGCACACACAAACACACACACACACACACTCCCAAGAACACACGCACACGTGGTGTACATTACGCAATTTATTTGCAACAACTTGAAAATTATTATTCTAATAAGTAAAGCTTGCCACACACACGCACACACCCTCGCACACGCACACCTCATTATGGTACTGCAGTATGTTTACCGTGCTTGAAAATGAAAATGTTCCCTGTCAAAGCGGAAAAATCTCATAAGGCAGCCGAAAATTGTGGCCAGACCGCATTACATTTAAGGAGAATTTGGCTGCTAGCGTCAAATGTAAATAATTGCGAGGCTGCAGCTACTACCGCATGCCACGCCCATTAACTGGTTATAGCCCCGCCGAACACCAACACACAGAAAGTTCTTCAAAATTGTTTTATGTAAATAAAAACACAAAGCAGCAGCAACAACGCAACGCAACGCAAGTGCGCCGGAAACGGAAATTGTTGCAGCTGCAAAGCGTCAAATAAATACATATACAAACACACACACACACATTCAAAGTTTGCCCAGGGTCTTTCTGCGGGTCTTTCTCTGGCGTACGACAAATTTGCACTTTTTTGTAAGTTTTCCTATTCAATTTTCAAGTTTTTTTTTTGTTTCAAAATTTATGCGCCGCTTAAGAAGAAGAGTGTAAAAAGTGCAGCCAGCTGTTGTTTCTGTTAAGACGAATCGCAAATGCGCTTGCGTTTGGTAGAAAAATGCATAAGAAATATGAAGTTTTTATATGCTAAACTCATTCTCACATTTAATGTGTTATTTACATCGATAATACGTTTAATCGATAGCATTTCGTTAAACATTTAACATATTTATTGATATATTTTAACTTCTTTATCAATCGATAATACATTTTATCGATAGCATTTCGTTACACACTTAACATATTTATCGATATATTTTAAGTTCTTTATCAACCGATAATACGTTTAATCGATAACATTTCGTTACACATTTAACATATTTATCGATATATATTATCTTCTTTATCAATAGATAACACATTGAATCTATAGCTTTTCGTTACACATTTAACACATTTATTGATCAATTTCAGCAATACAATTTAACTATCGATATCGATATATGCTTCTTTCAAATATATCGTAAATTATACGAACTAGTTCATAATTAATGAACATAGTTAATAGAAACGGAATTTCAATCAAGCAATCTTTAATAAACATTTAATCTTATTTTCTTATACATGCATTTCAACACTTTCAGTTAAAAGTTTTCAACGCCCCAAAACTTTGTTAGTAGTTCACTTGCCCTGCTGCACCTGAAGTGGCAATAGAAGTGAATAACACTTGAAATAAACATTATTTGCAGTTCTTAACTTCAATTACTACCTTGGCATGAACTTTAATACGCTAAGCTCTGCCACCCAGCTCCAGCTACTTCTGGTCTCGCTTCTTTTTTTTGGCAGAGAAAATTTAATTTCATAATTCCAGCGAACTATTGCATTTAAAAGCAGCGCATGAAATTAAAATAAATTTTTGGCAAACACAAAACTATTTAAAAAAGTTTACCAAATAGCGCAATTTAAAAGCCACGTTATTATTTATTTACTTGCCTGGTACAAATATAACAGAGGTATGCTCTTCTTCTACTCTCTAAGATCGAGCAGGAAACACTCTCCAACTGGGCCTTAACAAACTGTTTATTTGTTCATGATAAAGTTCATGTTACCGCCTTAAAAGTTGGATGGAACTTTAATCTTTCTAATTTTAACGATTTGCTTAACATTTTTTAAAGGCTTGCAACATAAGGTCCATACTGGGTAAAAACTTATCGATAAATGGCGATAACATGCATATCGATTATAAAATTTATATCCAACAGTCAATCTTGATGTTTAGACTTTTTGGCGAGAGGGTCTTGGCGGGTAAATTGCAAGTTGAACAGATTTTTGGCTAATAACAATATTAACAATTGATTGCGAGCTGGTAAAACTTCTATCTTATATTATTATCGATTATTTAAAAGGAGGATAATCCTGATGTTAAACTATTTAACCTTGATAGATGATACATTCTTTTGACTCTTGACTGGGTCCCACTTAGACTTTGATGCATATCATATTTTATTTTACTATCGGTTATTTAAAAGGTGGATAAACCTGCTTTTAAAACTTACCTATCCAATATAGATTAGTTAGATAGCTGATACTCATGTCAGTCTTCTGACGGGGAATAACTAAAAGTTTCAGCATCACATATGTTTTAATAGCGAAAGCCCCCGCTCATAACCATAAAAGTTATGAGACCCGCAATTGAGGGTTCGTATTTACATAGACGAGCTACATTGTGGGCTTTTTAATTGACGGCTTGTTAAGGCACTTAAGCCGCGCATTCAGAGCTGAGGACATAAAGCTTAATTTCCTTTAAGTGGCGCCATAACAACTGACAGCTTAAAGCTATGAAAAGAGCTGAATGGGGTTTTTCTCTAGCGCTTTTTTATAATTAGCAGGTGTGGGCGAAATTTGCATGCCAATTGGCAAGTTGAGTGTTTTCCCAAGGTAGCCAAAGTCGAGGACGCTACTTGAACTGAAAATGGCGGCAAGAGCAAATATTTTGCATTGCATAATTTTATGCGCTCGACGCATTAAAATTCAACTGATGCCGCCTGCTGGGGCGGGAACGATGGCATTGCAATGAAATTTGATTGCAAAAAAAAGGATTCGTAGCGCCATTTCCGACGCCAACTGTCGGCGTCGACGCTGACTTAATTAGCCAGCCAAATGCCGCTTGGGGTTGCCTCAGCTAATTGAGGTTAGTTGCCAACTTTAATGCCAACACGTCGACGTCTTTCCGCTCTTGCAACGCACCCCAAAACTGCTCTTTTGGCGGCCTAATGAGTTTTAAATCGCATCCACAGTTGCAGTTGCTGAATCAGTTTTGGTGCCCAGCCGCTTGCCTCATCATGTGCAGCAATTAATTTAGGCAGTAGCTAAATCATTTCTGAATTAAATTGCAGAAACAAAATAAAATAACTGCTAAAACTTTGAGAACATAAATGAAAAGATAAATACAAATAAAAATCTATGATATGAAATGATGCTTGTATAAAAATGCTCTCAGCTTTAGATTTTATGCACTCAATAAATTTACAAACGCTTTAATGTGCTTTCAGAGACAGCTTATTCACACATACATATATTATTGTTGATATAAAAAGCATTGAAGTTTAGACTTTATTTAACCACCAAATTTAATAGTTCCTTAATGTGCTTTTTAATGTGCTTTTAGAGCTAGCTTTAAGCAATTTTCACAGACCTAATGTGCTTTTAGAGACTGCCTTCAAATCACACATACATATATTATTGTTGAAATGAAAAGCATTAAAGTTAAGATTTTGTTCACCCATTAAACTTAAAATTGACTTAATGTGCTTTTAGAGCGAGCTTTAAGCAACTGTATCAAACTAAAAAGCTTTATGCTTCTTTTATACAGACTTAAAGCATTTAATGAGCTTTGGAAACTGCTCTACCAAAATTGACTTATCCCAGAACTTTTTGTACCCTTAAGCCATAGATTATGGGTAAAAACGTTGCGCCCGGAACTCTTAATTATTTTGTACTATACAACGTCCCTTAATAGTTTGATTAAAAACCAAAAACAAAAAGAGATCTGCCCTCAACATATAAATAACTTAAGGACCCAGCCAATACAATCATCAAGCCATTTTGGCAAAAAAATAAAATTTAGCCCGCAACTTGCATATGAAAACATTTAGATTTTGCAATATTTTCAGGGCAACGGGCGAATGCATGTAGAAAATTAATATTATATAGAATAATAGGTAAGGAACAACAAAAATTGTAATTGCAGTGAAAACACATTAAAATAAGTGCAAATCAGAATTAATTAAACTTTCTTAATAACTATTAATGGTGTGTCGCATTTTATTTCTTTCGGGATTGTTCTGCGAATTGTGAGACGCGTACTCCAATAAGTTTTAATTCCACATTATTAAACAAACCCCTTCTCTGGTATTTTGGGCTGCTGTCAAAGTCTGTGGCAGCAGTTTTAAGTTAAGCACAAGAGAAAACTTTGTTTTGACCCTGCTGACCGCAACATATTTTACAAAAAAATAACAACGCACGACAGTTTCAACGGAATTTCGTCGCACGAGCACTTTGCAGCCTTCCCACACACACACAAACAGACTAACTAACACACACACACATGCATAAAAAGAATTTCCAGCTACTTCATTACGCTGAGCACACTTGGCTCTAAGCGTCAATGGGGCCAACAAATGCGGGGTCCCTTAATCCTGGCAACAGGCACGCACTCGAACAACTTTTACATAACAAACTGCAGTAAACGTTAAAATTGCAGGCAACAACAACAACAACGAAGCACGGACAAACAAACAGCCAGCACACCCACACACACACACACACACACACTCAAACAATTACATGGCCAACTAGCAGCATCATGAGTATTAAATAACTCCTACAAGTATGCAATGGTTTTTTTTCTCTGCGCTCGGCATGTCAGAACAAACTTTTTTACGCTCTGTAGGAAAAGAGAAAACATGCTGCGAATTGTTTTACTGCCTTTTTATTGCACATTCATTCGTGGGACGCAGGGCGCAAGGCAGTTTCTTAGCCGTCGGCCAAAAGGCGCCTACATTTGGACCTAGCATTTGGACCACGTGCAAACAGCTAATTATGATCTGTCGTAAGTGGCTGGAACAGAAATGGAAACGTGACTTACCTCGCGTCCTTTGCTGTGCAGCGTATCGTACACCTCCGGCCTGCCCTCGATGTTCTTCAGCCGCATCGGCTTGCGCATCAGCAGACTGCGGCCCTCGTCGTCCAGGTGCATGAAACTGCAATGAATTCAAAAATCAATGTAATCAAGCTACAAATGCATATTGAAAAGAAAATTAAACATGAACATTTCAAGTAGCAAAAAATAAGAACACTTTTATGCTTAAACAGGGGGAAAAACCATTAATTGGAAAAAAATAATTCTGACAAAATTTGATGTTCAAATTACAAATTGAATAATGCTTAAAAATAAAATCCATCAAAAGTAATCAACAGAACAAAAGAGATATTTCACGTATTTAGTTTCAGCAGAATTTTTAAGTTATAATTTTACTTATTTTGACATTGATGTGGATTGGCAGAATTTAAATTAACATAAACGCATTTTTTCACGCTCAAATTTTTAGCATGTGCGTTGGACAAAATACATAAAAGAAACAACACCAATTATATATAGCCTAAAAGTTTGAAATATGATGAAGCGTTTAAAATTTTAATCTATCAAAATATTTTGTAATAAGTTGGGACCATGTGAAAATGCTACCCCCAAATATCCTATAAAAAAATAGGTCAACATTTCCCACTCCCATAACTCGGTCAAATCTCATCCAATTTTCATAAGGTTTGGTTTTTTGTTCATGTTTTGACCTCAAGCTCAAATTGGCATCTAAATCTCGGAACATTATTTCTAGTCAAAATTCATGTGAAAATGATACAGACATAGGACAACATTTCCGACCCCTATACTCTCAAATGTCCATAGACATTATTCAAAATTTCCCTCTCCCATAACTCGGTCAAATCTCATCCGATTTTAAAAAGGTTTGGCTTTTCATTCATGGTTTGGCCTCATTATCAATTCTGCATCAAAATCTGGCAACATCATTTTTGGTCAAAACCCATGTCAAAATGGTACCCTCAAATATCCTATATAGACGTAGGCCAAACTTTCCATTCCCATAACTTGGTCAAATCTCATCCGATTTTCATAAAGATTGGTTTTTCATTCATGGTTTGGCCTCATTATCAATTCTGCATCAAAATCTGGCAACATCATTTTTGGTCAAAATCCATGTCAAAATGGTACCCTCAAATATCCTATATAGACGTAGGCCAAACTTTCCATTCCCATAAGTTGGTCAAATCTCATCCGATTTTCATAAAGTTTGGTTTTTTGTTAATGTTTTTACCTTAATTTTAAATTGGCATCTAAATCTGGGAACATTATTTTTAGTCAAAATTCAAGTGAAAATGATACAGACATAGGACAACATTTCCGACCCCTATACTCTCAAATGTCCATGGACATTATTCAATATTTCCCACCCCCATAACTCGGTCAAAACTCAACCGATTTTCATAAAGTTTGGCTTTTTGTTCATGGTTTGGCCTCATTATCAATTCTGCATCAAAATCTGGCAGCATCATTTTTGGTCAAAATCCATGTCAAAATGGTACCCTCAAATATCCTATATAGACGTAGGCCAAACTTTCCATTCCCATAACATGGTCAAATCTCATCCGATTTTCATAAAGTTTGGTTTTTTGTTAATGTTTTGACCTCAAGCTCAAATTTGCATCTAAATCTGGGAACATTATTTTTAGTCAAAATTCAAGTGAAAATGATACAGACATAGGACAACATTTCCGACCCCTATACTCTCAAATGTCCATAGACATTATTCAAAATTTCCCACTCCCATAACTCGGTCAAATCTCATCCGATTTTCATAAAGTTTGGTTTTTCATTCATGGTTTGGCCTCATTATCAATTCTGCATCAAAATCTGGCAACATCATTTTTGGTCAAAATCCATGTCAAAATGGTACCTTCAAATATCCTATATAGACGTAGGCCAAACTTTCCATTCCCATAACTTGGTCAAATCTCATCCGATTTTCATAAGGTTTGGTTTTTTGTTAATGTTTTTACCTCAATTTCAAATTGGCATCTAAATCTGGGAACATTATTTTTAGTCAAAATTCAAGTGAAAATGATTTCCGACCCCTATACTCTCAAATGTCCATAGACATTATTCAATATTTCCCACCCCCATAACTCGGTCAAATCTCATCCGATTTTCATAAAGTTTGGTTTTTCATTCATGGTTTGGCCTCATTATCAATTCTGCATCAAAATCTGGCAACATCATTTTTGGTCAAAATCCATGTCAAAATGGTACCCTCAAATATCCTATATAGACGTAGGCCAAACTTTCCATTCCCATAACATGGTCAAATCTCATCCGATTTTCATAAAGTTTGGTTTTTTGTTAATGTTTTGACCTCAAGCTCAAATTTGCATCTAAATCTGGGAACATTATTTTTAGTCAAAATTCAAGTGAAAATGATACAGACATAGGACAACATTTCCGACCCCTATACTCTCAAATGTCCATAGACATTATTCAATATTTCCCACCCCCATAACTCGGTCAAATCTCATCCGATTTTCATAAAGTTTGGTTTTTCATTCATGGTTTGGCCTCATTATCAATTCTGCATCAAAATCTGGCAACATCATTTTTGGTCAAAATCCATGTCAAAATGGTACCCTCAAATATCCTATATAGACGTAGGCCAAACTTTCCATTCCCATAACTTGGTCAAATCTCATCCGATTTTCATAAGGTTTGGTTTTTTGTTAATGTTTTTACCTCAATTTCAAATTGGCATCTAAATCTGGGAACATTATTTTTAGTCAAAATTCAAGTGAAAATGATTTCCGACCCCTATACTCTCAAATGTCCATAGACATTATTCAATATTTCCCACCCCCATAACTCGGTCAAAACTCAACCGATTTTCATAAAGTTTGGTTTTTCATTCATGGTTTGGCCCAATTATAAATTCTGCATCAAAATCTGGCAACATCATTTTTGGTCAAAGTCCATGTCAAAATGGTACCCTCAAATATCTTATATAAACGTAGGCCAAATTTCCCACTCCCATAACTCAGTCAAATCTCATCCGATTTTCATAAGGTTTGGCTCTTTGTTCATGTTTTTACCTCAAGATCAAATTGGCATCTAAATCTGGCAACATTATTTTTAGTCAAAATTCATGTGAAAATGATACAGACATAGGGCAACATTTCCGACCCCTATACTCTCAAATATCCATAGACATTATTCAAAATTTCCCACTCCCATAACTCGGTCAAATCTCATCCGATTTTCATAAAGTTTGGTTTTTCATTCATGGTTTGGCCTCATTATCAATTCTGCATCAAAATCTGGCAACATCATTTCTGGTCAAAATCCATGTCAAAATGGTACCCTCAAATATCCTAAGTATATAGACGTAGGCCAAACTTTCCATTCCCATAAGTTGGTCAAATCTCATCCGATTTTCATAAAGTTTGGTTTTTTGTTCATGTTTTTACCTCAAGATCAAATTTGCATCTAAATCTGGGAACATTATTTCTAGTCAAAATTCATGTGAAAATGATACAGACATAGGACAACATTTCCGACCCCTATACTCTCCATAGACATTATTCAAAATTTCCCGCTCCCATAACTCGGTCAAATCTCATCAGATTTTCATAAGGTTTGGCTTTTTGTTCATGGTTTGACTCCTAGATCAAATTGGCATCTAAATCTGGGAACATTATTTTTAGTCAAAATTCATGTGAAAATGATACCCTTAAATACAGACATAGGACAACATTTCCGACCCCTATACTCTCAAATATCCATAGACATTAGTCAAAATTTCCCACTCCCATAACTCGGTCAAATCTCATCCGATTTTAAAAAGGTTTGGCTTTTTGTTCATAGTTTGGCCTCATTATTAATTCTGCATCAAAATCTGGCAACATCATTTTTGGTCAAAATCCATGTCAAAATGGTACCCTCAAATATCCTATATAGACGTAAGCCAAGCTTTCCATTCTCATAACTTGGTCAAATCTCATCCGATTTTCATAAAGTTTGGTATTTTGTTAATGTTTTTACCTCAATTTCAAATTGGCATCTAAATCTGGGAACATTATTTTTAGTCAAATTTCAAGTGAAAATGATTTCCGACCCCTATACTCTCAAATGTCCATAGACATTATTCAATATTTCCCACCCCCATAACTCGGTCAAAACTCAACCGATTTTCATAAAGTTTGGTTTTTCATTCATGGTTTGGCCTCATTATAAATTCTGCATCAAAATCTGGCAACATCATTTTTGGTCAAAATCCATGTCAAAATGGTACCCTCAAATATCTTATATAAACGTAGGCCAAATTTCCCACTCCCATAACTCAGTCAAATCTCATCCGATTTTCATAAGGTTTGGCTCTTTGTTCATGTTTTTACCTCAAGATCAAATTGGCATCTAAATCTGGCAACATTATTTTTAGTCAAAATTCATGTGAAAATGATACAGACATAGGGCAACATTTCCGACCCCTATACTCTCAAATATCCATAGACATTATTCAAAATTTCCCACTCCCATAACTCGGTCAAATCTCATCCGATTTTCATAAAGTTTGGTTTTTCATTCATGGTTTGGCCTCATTATCAATTCTGCATCAAAATCTGGCAACATCATTTTTGGTCAAAATCCATATCAAAATGGTACCCTCAAATATCCTATATAGACGTAGGCCAAACTTTCCATTCCCATAACTTGGTCAAATCTCATCCGATTTTCATAAAGTTTGGTTTTTTGTTAATGTTTTTACCTCAATTTCAAATTGGCATCTAAATCTGGGAACATTATTTTTAGTCAAAATTCAAGTGAAAATGATACAGACATAGGACAACATTTCCGACCCCTATACTCTCAAATGTCCATGGACATTATTCAATATTTCCCATCCCCATAACTCGGTCAAAACTCAACCGATTTTCATAAAGTTTGGCTTTTTGTTCATGGTTTGGCCTCATTATCAATTCTGCATCAAAATCTGGCAACATCATTTTTGGTCAAAATCCATGTCAAAATGGTACCCTCAAATATCCTATATAGACGTAGGCCAAACTTTCCATTCCCATAACTTGTCAAATCTCATCCGATTTTCATAAAGTTTGTTTTTTCATTCATGGTTTGGCCTCATTATCAATTCTGCATCAAAATCTGGCAACATCATTTTTGGTCAAAATCCATGTCAAAATGGTACCCTCAAATATCTTATATAAACGTAGGCCAAATTTCCCACTCCCATAACTCAGTCAAATCTCATCCGATTTTCATAAGGTTTGGCTCTTTGTTCATGTTTTTACCTCAAGCTCAAATTTGCATCTAAATCTGGCAACATTATTTTTAGTCAAAATTCAAGTGAAAATATAGAGTCAAATTTGGGAAACAACATTCTTCTATTAAAAAAATTCAAATTATTTGCACACAATTAATTTACGTACCAGAAAATGAAATTTGAATAAAATAAAAAAATAATACTAATAAATAAATTTGATAAAAAATCTAAGATATGTGTTTGTCTTTTGTTCCACCCAGCTACTTTCTTGGAATTCTGAGCTATTCTCAGCCAGACTCCTTCTTCTTTTTTTAAAATTTATTTATTTATAGTATTTCTTGTTATTTGCGATACGTGGAAATGATGTATGTAAGCCTTACCTGCCGGCACGCGAACGATAATCCTGTGACATTTTTCTGGGCTGTTGGTTTTTCGGTGTGGGCGAAAGCTCCCGTGAACTTTTGCTGGATGCGGTGCCGCTGCCCGATGCGCCCGCCGCATTCACGCCGCCAACCCTGTCATCCAGCTCCACAATAATGCTCGTATTGGTGCCGCGTCGCTCCCGGCCCGCCTGTGGCGATGTCGTCGATATGCTTGTGCGCTTATGGTGCTTCAATGGCGTGCCGCCGCCTGCGCCTGCAACAGCTGCGCTGGCAGCAGCGGCTCCCCCGCCTCTGCCTACGCCTGCGGTCGCACCAGACGCGCCTCTGCTGTGGTCCACTTCAGGACAGGCAGCCGCCGCGACGCCCTCAAGATTTGTGCTCAAGGGTAGCCCATTGCCGTTAAGCGTTGGCGTTGGCGTTGCCTGTGCCTTGATTTTGATTTTATTTTGTTCGGCGGGCGTTGCTCTCGGTGTGGGCAGCGGCGACTGTTGTTGCTGTTGCTGCTGTTGTTGCTGCTGTTGTTGTTGTTGCTGCGCATTTGTCGTACGTTTGATGGTCACAAAGCGCAGGTTCTCAAATATCGATGTGAAATGCTGCGACATGATGTTTTGGGCTTCTGCTTTGCTCGCCAAAAGACTTTTCCACTTTTTTTTTTGTTTTTGAGTGTTTGCCTCGTTTATTTAAACTGCAGCCAGGACAGGTGAACTTGAAACCCTCTCGAGCTCTGCACAACTTTTGATTAAATTCTCTTTAAGAAAAAAATAATAAAAAAAACTTTGGCTTTTGGTTTTCTGGTCGCAGGCCACAGCCAATTGGTTTCCAGTTGTTGCTCGACTTGCTGGCGATTGAAAACTTTAAGAAAACATTTATTAGACAATCGCAGAATTAAGCGAAAGGGCAAGCTGTTAATACAAGACGAGATGCGATCAAACAAAAGATAAGTATTTAAGGTAAAGTTTAAAATGAATTCCAAACATATTAATAATAAAATTTAGAATTAAACATAAATTGGGCACTCGACGTAAAAAATGTAACAAATTATTTTAAATAAATAAGTAAAAATTTAAGCAAGAAATAATTTATGGTTCCAAAATTGTTTAAGACTGTGCTAAAATTGATAAGAAGTCGAAATGGGCCTAGCATCGAAATTTTGCCTACCAAAACATTATAAGCTTTAGCCAAGTGCCCTAAATATCATTGAAGTTTGTTTTAGCGATGTTTTACTGTACCGTTAAATCATTTGGCATCAAATTAAATATGCAAATATGTTTTGCTTGCTTAATTAATCGAATTTAAGCAGGCGCTAACCTAATCATAGTTGCCTTAGGCTCTAGCTGCCGCAATGATTTATGAAATTCCGTCTTATCTTTTATCTCACTCAAACTCCAATTCAAGAGCAATTCGCATTGGATTGCGTTGCTTTCACGGACTTAAGAACGCGCTCAATTGTACGTAACTTGTACAACTTTATTGCCCAAGCTTCCTGCCAATCCCTGCCAATCGCAATCCATTCCACGTGCAGTTTTAAGTCCTTGCCGCAGCCGTCCTGGCAATGCGTAGCTCATTAACTTTCAAATCAAGCAACCTACATTTACTTTTCCAGAACAACAACTCCCGCAACTATAACTCAGCTCCGGAGCACATCGTTTGCCGGCTGGCGTTTGCCTTTGGAGACTTTCTGGCTTGCGAGACTTTCGAGAGATTCGTTTGCCTTGGGCTAGATAAGTGCGACTCTTGGGCTCTGCCGGCACTTAGTAGCAATTAAAAGTATCTTTATGGCAATTTGCCAGCTGCTGCGCAGCGTAAGCCACAAACTAGATTTCCACAATCCAGCTGCGGCTTAATTATGTGCGGATGCACATTGTACAATTTCTTAATCAAAAGTCACGCCGACTTCAACTCTACGTTAATTCGATTAGAGCACCTTTAAAATGTACGAAAATGGTTTCATTTTAAGCCATATACTATACGCAGGACCATTTGCAGGCAACAGCTGTGAAAGCCTTTTGTTTTCGCTAAGCTGTATTTGAAAGACACGAACCTTAACCTTCACATTAACATCATATTCCGAGAGCTTTTCACGCCCAGTTAACACCAGCTGTCGCAATTTTTGAGACAACACGCAAACTTTCATCAAGAGCCTCCCATTTTGTTAACTCATTCGCGCCTGATTCCGTTCGGCTGGCCGCAGCTGTTCTCGCAAATACATCATCAACAATTGGCCAGGTAAGGACTGGGCGAGCAGGCCAAAAAAAATATACAAACCTGGCCAAAGCAGCAGAGACCTTTGGCACAATAAAGAGTTGACAGTATTAGCTCAGATCTAGTGTATATTGCATAGAGATCCACTGCAGTCAATCTAATTACAAATGCCAAATGCCTAATTCCCTTCATATTATATTAGAAGAACTTAGCATCGTCTGAATAACTAAAAGAAAAACTCGCGGCAGTCTCTGGCATTTGTCTGCTGCTGATTTGAACTATTGACCTATCGCTTTTTAGACAGTCGCCCAGAAAACTAAGCTAAGCTCAGGACGTCACATTTCTGGCTCATAACCCTTGCCATTTAAGCTGGGCGTTGATCAACCATCCGTCAATCAGTCAATCAGAACATAACATCCGTCGAGTTCCAAGCTGCGAGAATAGGTCACATAACCAAATCTTATAAGCAACTGGCAGTAGCTCATTTGAACATTGTGAGCGTGATATAATTACACAAGAGTATAAAAACGCTTTATCAACTTTCGCCATGATTGATGCAACTATTTTCCAACTGGGCAACCTCTGACCGCATCTTGTTGTGAGTCTATAGCATCAGCAATCAGTCGCATCAACTTCGTTTGCGCAGTTCGTTTTGGGTTAATTAATTATTGTTCAACATCATTAAGTATATAAATCTAGCATTTTAGAAACAGCAAATCACAAACAGTTTATAATGTGATTTATTAATACGTAAGAGTGCTCGAGTCGGAAGCGCTCGCCTAGAAGATACCCTGCCCGGCCATTATAACGTGTAATGAGGTGTGATTATTTTAATCTGTCTGTGTTTTCTTTACGATAATCTTTTTGCCTTTATACTTTGCTGTACTCAAATTACTAAATGTACTCGAGAGCAGAAATAGACAATAAACAAGGTTTTATTTCAAATTTGGAATCCCTAGCTTTTATGGTTTCGAAGAGCGACCCCTGCCCACACACGGACAGACAGACATGCGAAAAATGTATATGTATATTTAACCTAAACAGGTTACCAGAAGTATTCTTCTGCCTGTTGCATACATTTCCATAATGCACATTTATAATAAGTGCTGGATTGCACAAGAAAATGCCAACACCAAACACGCACGTTTCCCATATGGAATTTTGTAGTCTACTTTTGTGCGCACGTTTCCCACATGGAATTTTGTAGTCTACTTTTGTGCGCTAATCTGTGACCCGCTGACTGAGCCAATAATGTTTGGCCAAATAACACATGAAAAATCACACACAATGATGGAACGGCAAATTGTTGACCGCGTACTGAATTGGTTGAATGAATCGGCATCCATTATACAAATTCCAGCTGGCCTTTGATTTGCAGCTGGCGCTGTCATGAGTACGAATGTGTTTTGTTTTGCTGTGTTTTTTTTTTTTGTTTTTGGTTTGCGAATCGTTGCGAGTTCTATAAACATTTTGATGCTGGCATAAAACAAAGCGTCGGCAGGGGAGCAGAGATTTGGCATTTAAATTCAAATCACACGCATAAACATTCGCTTTGATTTGCAAACACAACACTACACAACACACACACACACACCCATGTGTATCTGCCCCTTTCTGTTTCTTTGCCCCATTCTCTTCCGCATCATTTCGTCTGTTATTGTTGGCCTTTCGAATTGCTTAAGCAAATGAAAATAATGAACCGCATTTTGGTCTATTTTGTTGAATTTGTGCTTGTTGTTCTTGTTCTTGTTGTTGTCTATGTGCGTGTGTGTGGCTAATCAATCAATCAATCAATTAATTGACCGATTTGATATGGTCGTATGTAAGTTTATTTTTATTGCTGATAGCCAACAGTTGTTGCTATTTTCTTAGCCTTTGGCGACTTTAGCACTTAGTCAAAGTGATTGAATATGGTCAACTTAGCTGCTGAGTATCAGCTGCGACTAGGCATGTCCTTTTGGAAGGATTGTAGAAAAACATATGTCCGTCTTACAGGTTTCATTAACATGAAGAACATAGAGGATGTTTAATTTCAAGTTTCGCACCTCTTGAATTCATAAGCTCAAATGGAAACTTGTCTTGCATTTTACTGGAGCTAAGCATTCATTCCCTTTATCCATACGAGACATTTGGTCCGGAATGAAGCGAACTAGTAAAAGATATAACCACTTACGCTTCAACACGTATTCCAAACCACTTAACACACAACTGCAATGGCAGATTTTCTCAATCATCGTTTCAAATCCAATCAATTGCTTTAAAATAAACTTGAATACAATCAAAGGCGAAGCGCAACAAAAGGACAAATGCTGCAAAGCCTGAATGCTTTTCATATTATCTCAAATGACAACACAGAAGCGACGAAAAATAAAAAAAAAAATATAAAAAAAGCCACCAACTACAAAACAAGAAATCGCAGCAATGGAAAGAGTCGCACAATTGGAAGACAAAAGCACAGGCAATGCCGAAACAGAAGCTGGCAAAAAAAAAAAGTATCACAAACACAAAAAAAAAGGGGGCAGAAAGTACAAATCTGTTAAGAAAATCCATTTAAATGTTTGGGCCAGAGCCAAACAGCGGTAGCGGTTGAATAAAAAAAGTGTAGCATACTTTTGCGGGCGGGCCAGCAATAAAGTGTTGCCTCCTCTCACAGACACACACACGCGCGCACAAATTTATAATGCACGCCTGTCATAAGTTTAATTCAGGCCAGAGATCGTTTTCAGTTCATTTTTCCTTATGCAAATACACAAATTGAAAAAAAAATATATGTGAAGTGCGGCCGTCAAAAAATAAATAATAAAATTGTAAAGCGCTCAACTGTTGGACTTTGAGTGGGAAGATATAGACACACATATATATACAGGCAGCTAGACAAGCGCTGGACAGCGTGCCTTTGCCTTTGCCTGCGGCTTGCCCTTTTTGTTCGCGACCAGGTACACCAAGCTGGGCGACTAACTGACTAACTGGGTAATCCGCTGCACAGCTGGCTCAGCTCTCTATGGGATTAACATATGAAAGGCTGGCGCGCGCAAAAGGTTCATCCTTTGAAGGAGCGCCGGCTGCTGCTGCTGCTGCTGCTGTGTGTTATTCACAAACAGCATCAAGTATGCATGCTTGCCGCTGTAAAAAAGTTATACAAAATAAATATTCACACTTTGGCCACACATGCCCACATGGAAAATTCATATTTGCTTCGCCTTCTTGGATCATGTCAGTAGCAGCTGCGCCTGTTTTGCTTGCCCTTGTCAATATTTATATATTGTTATTATTTGAAATTGATATGTAAAAGCTGACTGGAAACATTCATTATACCCGTCACCTTACATGCTGCAAATGGCTGGGCAAAGTCAGCTTGTTCGAGCCGCAATGAATAACGAGGAAAATCGCACAATATTGTGTAAGTTAGGCTTTCATAAAAGCAGCAAGCCATAAATTAATTAACATCGACATGATTTTTAAAAATGATTTAGATAACTTAGCAATAAGCATTCGGAAAACATTAGGGCTGGAATCCTATGCATTAGATAAAATTAAAAAAAAAATAATAATAATAATAATAATAATAATAAATATAATATATTTCGGCTGCACAGCAATCATCTTCAAGCCAATTTTTTTATTTTTATTTTAATCAAATGAAATGAAATCTTTATCATGAGCGTCATATCATATCATATCATATCTCTCTTCCACTTGACTTAACTGTTGACAGCTTAATATAAAAGTCAAACCTTTGTATATATTAAAAATGCATAAGAAAGAACTCAAAGAAGACTCTGTTTCTTTTAAAAAGATTCTGCAATTAATTAAAAATATATTATTTATATACCCTATTGAAAAAATACTTGAGAGTTAAAGGCAAATCGGAGATTTCTGTGGCATTTAAATTGAAAATGTTCTTTAAAGAATATTTGAAGACGTTTACGTAAAATGGTTTTCAAAACAAGATATGTATGTATTAACAATATATTCAGTATTAAAAACTTTCAGGTATTCCGAATTTGGCCCTATTTTAGCCGACTAGGGGATACCCTAAGCCGATAGCTAAAAAACCATGGACGGGCATGGCTAGATCGCCTCGGCTGGGAAAGGAGATGCTTCCTTCAATATTTACCCATTTTTAATATAACAATAATAATAAACACAAACACTTTGGGCCGCCTACATTCTGGCTGCCAGCCAAATGACTTTAAAATTCAAATTAAATTAAACCAAATGCCGACCACATTTTTGTTTAACTCTCATGTAAGTTACAAAGTATTTTATTATTAAATAATTCAAACTATTTTTGTCTTTGCGGACGACAAGAATGCATAGGTTGAGCTTTCAAAAATTTCATTTTTTTTTTTTTAGGAAAATACAGAGGAAAATCTCTTTATTGTCATTTAATTTTAAGAAACTGTCTCTGGCAAGAACTATTTTTCATTTTAACTTAAATATACAAATGACATTCTCACATTGAAAGAAAGCATTTTTCATTTAAATAGAATAATAATCAAAAGACATGAGAACGTCAAAGAGAGGCGCACACACACACACAGAAACAGCCAGCGTGGCGCAAGGATGCGAAAGTGGGGGGCAGCTGCTGCTCTAAAAGTGGAGCAAACTTTGCTGAGTTGTCTCAAAATTGTAATGTGTTCTAATTGTTTTTCAATTTATACACTGACACTGTACGGGGCAGGCGGAAATCGAGTTATGAACAGCGCTCGGCTCGCTTCAAAGTTAATTATTGTTTTCCTTAATGCTTCAACTCTTTGCTAAATGTTTTTGCTGATGCCAATTTTCTCAATTTAATCAGAGGCCCATTGCGGCTAACAGTTAAGTGCTTGACGCTGTCTTCGGCGCTCCAACATCATAATAAATGATTTATTTTAAACGTAATTAATTTGATTTGAAGAACAAAAAGTTCATTTGCATTAATTTGACAGCCACAGCGCATTTAAAGCCCAATTTGCAGTCTGGCCAAAATCATTTCATTTCGTGATTTATTTAATTGGCATTGGCAACATTAATCAATTGCCTTTGAGGCTTTGCGTGATTATTGCGGCTCAACAATTGGGCAATATTTATGCAATTATAATTAAATGTTGCACAATTTCGGGCTCCTTTACAGAAACAAACATTTAGTTGCAAGATCTTGTTAATTATTTCAACTAATTCAGTCAAGAAAGTGAACATTGAGTTAACAAAGCTGGCCAACCGGACGTATACTTAATTTATGTGCAACTTGGCAAAGTTTAGCTTAAAATTGACAGAAAATACACTTAATGCTTAAACTATTTCTAATTGCAAGCAAAAAGCTCTCAAATCAGATGTCCATAGGGATTTTTGAAACTTTAAAATAAATATGATATTTAGATTTGAACGGAATAATTTATTTTATATATTCAATTAAATCTGTTTGCCTTTAAAGTAACAAATAAAATCACAAAATGTGCATTAAGTGAAGTTTTTTATTTCTTCCTAATATTCTTATTTCTTCACTTAAAAAAAAATTAGTTGTCATAGAAGTTAGGATGTTTAAAAATTCTGTTCATTTTCCAGCAAAGTCGGGCTAACTGTATTTTTAGATATTTAATTTTAGGTAACTTTCACTTATCCTGCTGCTATATCTTTCTTCAAAATGTCAGTTCTTGAGTTTCATCAGCTAATTGTGTTCTTATTAAAGGTTCATAAAAATAACGCCAAAAAATAATAATATTTAAATGGTTTATGAAATTAGTGCATAATTTGCGCATTCGTTTTTCAATTACCTTTTAAGTGAAAAGTATTTAACAAATAACCTTTTACGTTTCCTATCGCACAATTGCAGTCCTATGCTCTATGCTTCAATTATAATTTTTATTTACATTTGCATTTTCATTCCTAAATGTTATTTTGATTAATTTTTTTGTTGTTGCTTATTTGATACTTGTTTTGATTTTCAATTTGTATCTGCACTGCACTTACAAAGTTTTTGCTAGAATCTATTATCTTTTGATTATCATGTTGGTCCAAATTGAAGTTGAGCTGGAATTTGTATCTTTAGACTTTTAGCTCGATCCAACGAACTCAAGCGCCGCGCGTTAACTGAAGCTAAGGCAGCAACGCAGCATCCTTAAATAGTAGTCGCTCCCCAAGGACTGCCACACGGTCGTCTTCAAAGTCAACAACCACACAGCATCCGTTCACCATTGTTGAAAGCTTTGCTTTTCACCAACACGACAACCACACGCTCGAATCGGGAAAATCAACACTGGTTTGCGTCTTGGCTAAAGCTCTGGACTGGAATTTGCATTTTGACGGCAACGTTAGCGCAACAGGTGTTACTAGTCCCGTTGTCGATGCCAATGCAGCAGGTGTCTGGCTGAGAGCAGGGCTAGGGAGGCCCGCTTTAAAATGAAAGTCAATCCGGTTTACTTTTTTTTTTTTAATAGATTTAAAAAGCGCGTTTTTATTTCACTTGCATGCAACGGACGCATTTTTTTGTGATTAGCAGCTGAAAAATGCGTTGAAATTCTCAATTGATTTCGATTTGATTTTTTCAACATTCATCAAAATTAAAAAAAAAACTACAACAATTAACCTTAGCATAAATGAACAACAAAAAAGTTGTGCTTACAACTAACCTAATCTATGTGAATAAATATATATATATACCCTAGATGGCCCCCCACTGAACACAAATTAACTAATATAGCCAATTGTTATTGCTATTCATAAATTTGTGATATCCATTTGGAATCTTCTATAATCTCACTTAACATACATATTATATTAAACTTGTTTTTGTTTTTTGTTTTTGTTTGACAGTTTAAAATTGGAAGAGCTTACAAGTCCCGGGCAGTTGCGATTATTGCTGACGTCGACGTGATGATAGACTTTGGAGTCCGCCGTATGATAGCCGGATAGTTGGGAGGTTGTTTTTTCGGCGATTGTCTCCATGCTGTTGCGATAATTGTTCTTGTTGTTGTTGTTGTTGATGATGTTGGTTGGATGATGGTGTTCGTGATGTTGTATATATACAGGTATACAATAGAGAGACAAGACATTAGTGGAAACCTTTTTTCAATAATTTAAACAAATAAACGTTAAAGCTAAGGCTTAAAAATAATTCTTTTAAATATGATAAAAGGGGGTATTAAAAAAAAAACAATCAAAAACAAATATCGGCATTGTGGCCAGCCGTAATTGTTTAGACTCTGTTTTGAGCCTGCATTTTTTTTTTTTTGTTGGATGTGTTAATTGTTATTTGTTGCAGGTGTTATTTTTTTTTTTTTCATTGTTAATATTATGGTTAATAGACTTTCACTTTTGCTTTGTTCTTGTTCTGTGTTCAGTTTTTAGATAGGTAAGGTTCACATTTTTATAACTTGCACTTGAAATTGTCATTGTTTCTTTCTATTTAAGAAACCCATTTAAATGTTTCGTTCAACCTGGAGGTTGATTATTTTGATGGATTTCACTTTAGCTTCTTATTTTTGCATTTGTAGGAACCACTCCTAAAACCTGAAAAGATGTTCCGTCGTTACGCTGGCCTTCAGTTACGAGAGCCAAACGGATGCCGCATTGCTAAATTGTTATTTAAAACGGATGAAGACGAATCGGCAAAGCGGGCGTCGTTCAAAGATTTGTTTGAAGCTCAACAACGTCCTCTGGACGGTTGATCGCAGCCTTCCTGAATGATACATAATATATCTTTGTGGTTATCAGCGTGCAGTGTTCATTGCATTGATCCATTTGTAGATCCTTTCTATGTATTCAGGACATATTCCGAGAATCCGTTCTACTGATCTCAGGAGCAACGATCCGGTTGCCGTGAACTACTTTCAGTGCCGAGTCCCTGTTGACTTTGAGCATTTCCAGCATCAGTCGTTTAGCATTCAGCTACATCGCTATAAAACCAATGCGAAGTTCCAGGCTGCTACCCAAATGAAGTTCATTAGATAATCCATGCGAGGGGTACTCGACGATGTTCAGCGAAAGCAGAGTGTTGAGGCTGGACGTGGAATTTTGACGAAACGTTTAAGTGCAGATGAGACAGTAATTGCAAATCCATGAGAATGTAAACCGACGAAATATTGGGCGTGGTGTAAGAGTTTGCAGACACATTTGAGTTGGATTAAGGAGGGAAAAACCTAACTGAGATACATTTTCATTCTAAAATGATGCATACATAAAAAAAAAGACATCCTAACATTAACGCAAGGTCACGCACACTAATAGATCGTATATGTACAAGGGTGCAAAAGGGGCCAGGCTAAAAGAGAGATAGAGAGGCAGGGAGAGAGAGAGAGAGAGAGAGACAGGGAGGCAGCCGCGTCGATTCCGTGAAAAATGCTCGCGCTGCTAATAAACAGCTGAAGAGTTTTTCAAACGGATATCGAGTATGGATCATTTGTTGTGTATTGTCTTTGATGGTGCGCTCGCTGCCAGCCCAAGCTGTCACGCTCCACACCTGTTTGTAGATTAGTTTAAAAACGCCCAACACACTTTTTGAGTGGCTTCAAATGGCAATGGAAGCTGCATTTTTGCAATCAATTTGAGCGCCATCTGCGGCATAGGGCAAACTGAAGGTGTCTAGCCATTCTTTGCACTTCTCAGTGCTATCAAAGGCCAAAACATTTGACACATATTCGACGCTAATGTTGGGACGATAACTGCAAGCAAAACGGAAACATAACTTAAGCACAAATAGCTCAAACATTTAGTTTACAGTCACTTACGATTTAATAATTATGCGCAGTGCCGCCTTGCGCTCGCGCTCCAAAAACCATTCAATCATATGGCCCGACATGAGCGGCGCCCTTTTATACAAATCGAATAGTTTGCAATAGTTGCCCAGCGACCAAGCGGAACGAAACTCTAGAGCGTGCGCAATGGCAGGATTCTCGCGCTGATCAGCTGTTATCGAACGCAAAACAGTTGTGATGTCTATAATATAATAATTAAGCGTAGAGTAAACAGAGAAAGCATTAGTTGTGAGTAAATAATAAATTTAAATAAGCTACAAATATATAAAATGCTTTCTTGATTTTCAAGCCTATATATAAATGGCAAAACTTTTACAGCTGGATGGCTCCCAGAATATTTCTCGATATTCTCGGCGGAAGCAGTAGCCATCCTAAAAGCTATAAACTACGTTCAAGGATAATTTGGAAAATTTATTATCTGCACCGACAGTCTGTCTATCTGGGCTAGCCGAATGCAGCTAAATCCATGTCAAAGTATCCCACCTTCACGGTAATCCCATTTGCTGAAAAAGACATGCAAATTCTCTCTCAACTTTTCTCGGATCTGACATTGCGGCTTCACGCCCACCTGCTGACCGGAGACTGCAAACCTAATTGTCCGCAATGTGGTCGTGAGCTATCGACCACCCATATTCTAAATACCTGCCGATGACTGGAAAAGATAACAACCCACTTCGCTAACACATTACCATCGACCTACCTATCCTTAGTCTCGCCCTCTAACATAGATAAGTTTTACAACTTTATAAAATTATGCAACTTAAGCAGTCATAAATGTATTATAGTTAATCTTAATAATGATAAAATATATAAAAACTTACCCAAGGTATTTTTTGTAAAGATGTAATAGATAATGCGATAGGCTGTAAACTCGAGCGAATTGCTACTGTTGCCCAATTCCAAGTAAAGCATCTTAAGCTGTGTCTGGCACTGATTGAACTCTTCATGATCGCCCTTCTCCATGGCGATGCGCGCATGCGTCTCATATACCTCAACTGTGAACTTATCGCGTATACCTTGGACCTAGACAAAGGAAAGGAATACCAGTTGAGGTGAGTTTTAAACTAATAAAGGGGTTTAGATCTGCGACTTACAGTCAAATCCTGGCGTATGGACTTCAACTGATCACACGCATAATGATAATCCTGATTGGCACGCCATTTGCCCTTCACATTGGCCAGCGAATGAGTGAGCACCTCAACGGGACGCACTTCGGATGGTGATGGCGCTTTGGTAAGGCGCAAGAATGACTTTTCTAAATCCCTACATGAGCCTACAATATGCAAATTGAGTAAATCTAAGCCCGCCGCACCCGCACCCGCATCATCCTCGTAGAACATGGCCGATGACGCTGAACGGGAAGCCGCCGCCGCGGCCTGCAATCTCTTCTTGTGCTTGGCCGTCGTGAGACCAAACGGTGAGCTTGCAATTGCGACGACAGATTTCTTAGACGAGCCGCTGCTCGACTGTGAGAAACGTGCCGCACGCTGTTGCAAGCGCGCTGTGTCATCATCAACGGCACCGCCCACCGACGACGAATGCGTGGCATAAAAATGCGGCGTTTTCTTTTTGCCACCGACGGCAGCAGCGGCAGCGGCTGCACGCTTATTCCTCTTCATCAGCATTTTCTGCTGTTTCCTCGACAGATTCGAATTGATTGGTATAAAATCGCTGCCCAGCGTATCATTCAAGCCAGTCTTGCGAAGCACCTTACGAGCTGGTGGACTGCTGGCGCTGCTGCTGCGCGACCGCGAATGGGAACGAGAACGCGAACGTGGCGAACGAGAATAACGTTTCCGATTGTTATATTTTGATGCCGAGGACGTGGACGACGTGGGCGAACTGCAAAATGCAAAGCAATTTGAAAGGGATTAAAAATTATTCTTTTTATAAAATTAGCTATTATTAATATAAAAGATTAGCTGCAGCTAGTTCCAAAACATGCCAACAATCAATTATTTAATTTTTCTCTTGTGGAATGCAAATAGATAAGTCTATAAGTTCATCTTACAAGGTGAAATTTTATCATTTGTGTATGTAAAAGTTTTAAGGATTTGATTGCTCAATAAATAAGAATTACACCTGACCCTGATGTGTTCTAAATACCTAACTACCATCGATAATATAAGGTCGTGTATATATTTACGTGAGCTATCTTTTTAGTTATTTGTTTTTAAACTTACCGTGAACGACTCCTAGAGTAGCGGGACGACTGCTGCTGCTGCTGCTGTCCGTAACCGCCATTGGCGAACTTGTTAAAGGCATTGCCCTTCTGTTTGAATTGATTTACATTTGGTGTTTTTTGACTAGGCTTTGGGGTTGTCTGTTGCAGCTGCTGTGGTTGCAGCTGTTGTGGTTGCTGCTGCTGCTGCTGCTGCTCCTGCTGTTGTTGCTGCTGTTTTTTGTTAAAGTAGTTGCTACGTTGCGGCTGTGGAGGCGTTACATTACTGAGCACCACGTCTATGGCGTCGCGTTCGCTGTGCACGGTCGGCATGGGCTCATTGTCCCAATCGCGCGTCCAGAGTTCGTTGCGATTGGCGGCGGCAATAATTTTACCCTTTAGGCAGATATCGATTTGATCCTTATCCAAGTCGGTTGTACACTTGGAATAGCAACGTGCCACATACTGATTTAGAGAATCTGGCCACGAATCATTCGAGCCCATTTGGAAGCAGCTATTAGGACGCTTAAATGCAGCAGCTGCTGCTGCCGCTGCTGGTTGCGGCTGAGGCTGCGACTGCTTTGGCTGCTGCGGCTCCAAAACAGCTAGCGGCGGCTGCGGCGGAGGCGGCTGCTGCTGTTGTTGTTGTTGTTGCTGTGGGGCAACAACGGCAGCTGCTAGTGCTGGTGTTTGTATTAAGGGTAAGGGGGGTGGTGGCTTGCTTAAATCCGGTGTGGAAGGCACTGCTGGCGCAGAAAATGGATTTATAGAAATGCCAGAAAATCCAGCTGGCGACGGTTCATAGGCAGCAGCCATTTGCTGCTGTTGTTTGTTCATGTTGTTGTTGTTATTATTATTATTATTATTGTTTTTGTTATTACGCTTGCGCTTCTTTTTGTTAGAATTGTTGTTGTTGTTGATCATGTTATTATAGAGATTTAGCTGCTGCATAGCATGCTGTTGTTGTTGTTGCTGTTGTTGTTGCTGCTGTTGTTGTTGTTGTTGCTGCTGCAGCGGATTTGGCGCATTTGCCAAACGTTTTTGATTCAAATTTAAATTAAAACGTATGCCACCAAAATTTTTCTGCTGCTGCTGCTGTTGTTGTTGTTGCTGCTGTTGATTTTTATTACCCGACTGTGCAGGTGGTGGTGGCGGCGGTGGCGGAGCCGTAGGTAGCGGCGGTGCCACCAGCGCATTGCTAAAACCAGGCGGCGCATTTGACGAGCTGATGGTCGATGTTACCTGCTGTTGTTGTTGTTGCTGCTGCTGCTGCTGGTAGCGCATATAATATTGATAATATTGTTGATATTGCTGTTGATAGGCGGCTGCGTTGGTGCCATGATGATGCCACCAGGCGTAGTTATTCCATTGCTGCGCAGTAGCAGAGTTTGCGGCCTGCTGTTGTTGCTGTTGCTGTTGTTGTTGATGGTGATGCTGTTGTTGTTGTTGCTGATGCATCTCTTGCAGCTGGGGTATTAATGGCGGCGGTGCGCTCATCGCATCAGACATTTTTGTTGTACCGTTTCGTTTGGTATTAACGTGTTATGTGTGAGGACCTTTACCTTTTGGAACTTACCTTTACATCAAATTGCGTGCCGCACCTTTTTGCGTTGCAAAAAAAGAAAAGCAAGAGAATGTGAAAATGCCATATATGGTACAATGTGCAACATTCGTGCGTGTGTATGAGTCTGTGCTGGCATGTGTCCGCCTATACGTTTACGCCATTTTGTTTTTTTCTTACCCAAGAATGTTTCCGTGGCCTATATAATTGCAGTTTCACAATTACCGCAAGAGGTAGTTGAACTAGTTGATACACTTGCACAAGCTAACGCGTAAACTTTTATGCTTGCTGCACGTAGGAGAAAATATTGCTTTTTTTTCTGTCGCACACACAAAAATTAAATTTTCTTAATCACGTCTACACAATGCGTGCTCATTTTTTTGTGACAGAGACAGAGGTGTTCGACATAAAACTTCGATTACATATGAATGTCGATATCACAGCTACAGAGTTGATGTAGGGAACTATCGAATTGATAATATCGTTTAAAACATCGATAAGAAAATTCTTCGATATGTCGCAATCCAGTTTAGTTAATGGCAAACCTGTTTACAATAAGCCATTTTATTTATAATGCATTCTAAATTTTCCACAAAAGATAATACATATTTGTATAGTTCGTGAAGTTTGAAGGTCATCGATTGTTAGCGTGCCCACAGAATTTCCTTTAGCAAAGTATCGGCTACAAATTAAAATGCAACGAGTAGTATCGAAACAATCAAGTTGACATTCGAAAAAAACGCGCAAATACCTGTGACGCTACATTAAAATCCGCAAAAAATATAAAAATTTCACTGCTTTTAGAATATTAGTGAAACCAGAATACTGCAATGGCGTTTGTTCGCACGAAGCACGCAACACGAGACCATTTGCCGCACTTGATGAGCAATGTGCCAGAGGAACATCAAGACCCAATCAAACAAATGTGCCTCAAAATGATGTCGCATGATGCCTATGGGAAACCGTAAGTTTTTTTGTTGCAAAAATGAAGGTGCTTATATGTATATTTAATGCCACATCGCAGCTATCAGTGGAGCACTCGAGACTTCGAGTTGGGCGCGCCCTTGGGACGCGGCAAGTTCGGACGCGTCTACTTGGCACGCGAGCGTCACTCCCACTACATGGTTGCCATGAAGGTGATGTTTAAGGAGGAGCTGCGCAAGGGTAACGTGCAGCGGCAGGTGCTGCGCGAAATCGAAATACAGTCGCGTCTCAAGCATCCCAATATACTGCGCCTGCTAACTTGGTTCTATGATGATTCCCGCATTTATTTGGCACTGGAAATAGCGTCCGAGGGCGAACTATTCAAGCACTTGCGTAATGCGCCCAAACATCGGTTCGATGAGCCACGGTCAGCGAAATACACCTACCAGGTGGCCAATGCGCTTAACTATTGTCATCTCAACAATGTCATACATCGCGATCTTAAGCCAGAAAATATCCTGCTGACGGGCACAGATGATCTGAAGTTGGCGGACTTTGGCTGGTCTGCGCATACGCCCAACAACAAGCGCAAAACCCTATGCGGCACCTTGGACTATCTGCCGCCCGAAATGGTCGACGGTCGCTCCTATGATGACAGCGTTGATCAGTGGTGCTTGGGCATTTTATGCTATGAATTTCTGGTAGGCAATCCGCCCTTTGAATCCAACAGCTCTGATAATACGTATGAGAAAATCAAGCGCCTAGATATTCATTATCCATCGCATATGTCATCCGGCGCAAAGGAAGTTATTTCAGGAGTAAGTTGATATATATCTTTAAAACAATCCAATTTTACCATGTCCTTTGTGTGAGATCCGTTTGTTTGTCTGCTTCCGAAACAGATAGATTTTCGACCGGTTTGTTCGATCGTAAACTGACTTAAATGCTATATTAATATCAGACTAAAGGTCCCATAGAAATATTTAAATATAAGTGTATCTCCCCTTTGATAATTTTTGCTTCTCAAGTTATCTTATCCAGTGACTACCAGCTATGCTCCTAGTGCATAGCAGCTAACCATTTACTATTATAATCATGCGAAAAGCAGAAAATGTATCGCACAGCCAGTTTATGACTGCTTAGCTTCGGTATTCCGAAGGAATTTCTTATATTCAAAAATATTAAAAATATATAGATGGGTTTCTTTGCCGAAGACTTTAATATACAATTATGTTACTTCCATAAAAGCTGTTGCGTCGACAGAGTCAGGGTCGCATCAGCCTGGTGGAGGTTATGACTCATCCGTGGGTGAAGGATGGCATGGCCAAACGTGCTGCTCAGCTTCAGCAGAGGAACAACGAACGGGGCAAGGAAAATCTGGTTAAGAATTAATCCAAGCCCACAATACTCTTCATTTAGATTACATATGAATTTTGTCTCTTGTAATAAATTAATAAAAATGTTTTAAATTAAGCCCTAAGACTACATGATATACCAACTCTATGCTCTCCTTTAATGGGATCTTTAAGCTCTAAGCCCACGTGGTACGTAATTCCAATGTTTTCTGTGAGGTTTAACTGGTAGACTAGACCCAAGAAACCATTGTCGCGCACCGTGGCCTTAAGCAGCGAGTTATCATTGATCTGGTACTGTCCGCCAACAGCATATTGTCTTGGCTCCTCGGTGTAAAGGTCCGCCTTGAAGGCAACAGCCCAGCGCTTACCTAAGCGCTGAAATATGGAGCCACGCCAATCCTTGAAGTCCTCGCTGCATACGCACAACATTAAGGCTACTATCGGAAAAGATTTTTCAAAACGAATCTTACAACTTAAGGCCCAATTCGGTGCTTCCATTATAATAGCCCCCACATATTGCATGCTTCTGAATGGCCCTCTCGGCAATGTCATAATCCATTCGAAACGCCAACAGCCAATTCTTGGCGATATGTAAAAGCGCATAGCCCATTAATCTTGGAACATTCAAAACTGGTATAATCAAATCAAACTTGATGGGCGATCGCTCGTAGCCGGAATACACTTGAAGCTTGACACCAGAACTAGATAAGAAAAAAAAAAAACATGTTAGAGCCTTGCAATCGGGTGCAACTGACTGACTATACTCTGTTCACAGACTAATGTCACAAAGAGGCTTAGCTAATTTGTGTGAGGATGAAAAATTGATGGCTAGCTCAAGAACTGAGGGATATATATATATTCTTTTGCACTAAACTAATACATTATGTAAACCTAACAATCAGTAAGATCTCGAATTATCCTTAGATATACATTTATTTATATATGAATATATATATTTATTATTATTCAAGACCTCAATTTGATTCCTCCTATAACCTCAGACTAAAGGACATGGCTACTTACCCGTCGTGTGGATTATATATGGCCCACAACATAGCATTTGCCGTACCGCCAACTAATTTAGATTGTCCACCAACCGCACCCATTATGTTATCGGTCTGCCAAACCTGAAACAAGTCCCAGATACCCCATTTCTGGCGCATGCCCACGCCGCCCCAGACATTGTCAAAGTTAGGTTTACCAGATCCATAACTAAATAAGGTGACTTTATCTTTAACTTTTGTAGTGCAATCGATATGCCAAGTGCCAATTTTATAGCCGGATATCAGGCACTGCTTGGCCAATGAGCCGATGTGAAAAAACGTCGGCATATCGCCCTCCGCGGGAGGGCCGGGTATTATCTCCTCATCAGTTAAATTATTGCTGGTGCCGCCATCACCATTACCTTCCTCGTTTGCTGCCCCAGGACCATTTCTCCTTTTTTTAAAGCTGAACCTTTTCGTTAATGATGGCATTACGTTAAAATGGAAACCGTTAATTTAGTTAAAAAAATAAATATCTAAAGAACCAAAAAGAATTTAAAATTGTTGTTTTTATTTAACAAAACCATTTTTATTTTTATTTTTTTTGAAATATTGTTCATGGTGTGCTAGAAAGCAGAACGAAAACAAGAGGCTCTAATCGGGAGTCGCCGACTAAAGGATACCCTGAACCCACTTCTATATATAATATAAAATTGCTCCCTTTAAAGGACTCGAACCCGTAACAGATAGCGATGCCAGGAATTCCATTTATGTGAACCAAAAACCGGTTTAAAAACCAATTCTCGGACTAGGCTCACCAAAGTTGACATATAGCTTCTTGTGCAGCAGACACAGGTGCAGCTCATATCGTTTTAGGGATAACGCCCTTAAATGAAATACAAATTCTAATTGGAGCCATTTTATTACACAATTTAAAGACTTTTTTGAGAACATTCGAAAGTTCTATTGCACAATAACATCTACTGCCGAAAATTTCTTCATCAGAAGTTATCCAAGAAAACGTTAAACCAGACACCTGGCAGCTAGGACAAGGCCTGGAAACTTCAGTCTGTTGATGGTGGAGCCAGTTTATAAGGTTCATCAGGTTATCTTGACCAAGATCCAGAGGACAAGCCATGAGAACAAAGACGCATACCTCGTGAGAATCGGAAGAGATTTGACCGGGTTAGTTTAACACAAGTTTTTCACGATTTTTCCACACATGCGGGTGGATTTGACCGAAACCGCGCATTAGCGTGCCGAAACCTTCATCACATAAGGTAACTACAGTGAAAATTGCAACTTCCAATCTGTCAATCAATCAGTCAATCAATCAGTCAGTCAGTCAATCAGTCAGTCAGTCAGTCAGTCATTCAGTCAGTCAGTCAGTCAATCAGTCAGTCAGTCAGTCAGTCAGGGCAGTTAAATATATAGAGATTAAAGAGAAACAGCTTTGTTTTGCTTGCCAAAACGATTTTAATGAACAATTTAATTTTCTTTAAAATAGTTTCAGCATCGCCGGGGCCTCATCAATCTGGCGGAGGCTATGACCCAACCTTGGGTAACCGACCAAACGTTCTGCTACATACTCAACTGCAACAACGTTTTACTACATACACAAAAGGGTTTCAGCCCTTTATACTCCACGATATACCAACTTTATGGTCGCCATTGATAGGCGAGCCGACTTCTAAGCCAACGTGATACATAATGCCAATATTCTCGCTGACATTAACCTGGTAGACCATTCCCACAAAGCCATCGTCGCGCACCTTGGCCTTCAACAGTGCATTTTCATGGATCTGGTACTGGCCTCCAATGGCAAATTGGTTTTCATTTTCACCGTAAATATTCGCCTTCAAGGCAACCGCCCAGCGTTCGCCAATGCGCTGGAATATCGAGCCTCGAAGCTCCTTGAAGTTCTCTCTGCGTGTGCACAGTATTTAGGGTGATCAATTGATTAAAGTTCATTTTCAAAAGAATTCTTACAATTTTAGGCTCAATTCGGAGCTACCGTTATTAAAGCCCACGCATAATGCGTGCATGTCAAAGCCCATATTGTCAAAATCGTAGACCGTTCGATAGCCCATTAAATAGTTCTGGAGCGGTTGTAGAACCACATAGCCCATTAGTTTCGGTGACTTCAAAATTGGTACGATCACATCCAACTTGATGGGCGTTCGCTCTAAGCCCGTATGTAGATCAAGCGTTACTTCAGGTCTAGCGGAGATTAAAACAAATGAGAATGTTGCAGTCGCATGCACCCGACTGTGCTATACTAAAGTGTAAAGGCATAAGGAGTGACAAGGAGTAACAACTCTTTGGAAGTTTCTACTTTGGCCGAAAGTAAGAAATTGTATATCCGAGATATTCTAAAATACAGGCATGCATGTTAGTTCTTATTGCTCTTAAAGTGAGAAACCCAATAGACCATAGATTCCAAATTTCTAGTTCCAATAGGAGCTCATTTAAACGAACAGACATGGCTTGATCTGGAAGAAAAATATTTCTTCATAAACACTAACATTCTAACGCAACGCAAAATGTCTAGCCTGGCTTTTCATCTGGCTTTTCCCACAACACACGACATTTGCCAGCCGACTAGCTGTTCGCTCTCTAAAAGCCAGACCAGCGCGGCTGACACGTGTTTATATTGTCTGCCTCCTCCTTTTGCCTTTGACATGGTTTTGCAGAACAATCAACTTACTCGTCGTGGGGACCGTATGTTCCGCGCAGCATGGCATTGGCTAAACAGCCGACGACTGTGGAACGCACTCCAAGCGCACCGACGTAGGCATTGGTATGGTAAGCCTGACACATATGAAAGATTCCCAACTTCTCGCGAAGACCGACTCCGCCGGAGACACCGTAATAGTTGGGCTTGCCATTGCCAAAACTATATATGCCAAATTTGTCGGTTAGTTGTGTAGTACAGTCAAAATGCCAGGCACCAATTTTATAGCCGGTTATTAAACATTCCTTGGCCCATCCACCGATGTGAAAATATGTTGCCATTTCCCCCTCTAACGGGGGTGGAGGTATAACCTCATCCGAAACTTTACTGTCTTCTTCAGTTTTTGAGGACGCCTTGTTTTTAGACTCATCTGTTTCTTCTTCGACTACTGGCTCCTCCTTTTTCTTTTTCTTGAAACATTTTTTTTTCCATATGGACATTTTGTATAATCTATTAACTGTTAATTTATATAAAAAATCTTAAAAACCAAAAGAATACTAAAATTTCTGTCTACGTTCTGAATTTATCACTACAAGTCCTTTGAAATACTGAGCATTGCCTGCCTAAAAGCAAAGCGACATCACTTTTTTTTGTCGAAAAATTCAAACTAAAATAAAGGTCAAGCTAAAAGTTGACAGGTGCTTGTCATAGAAATGTCAAAATTCTGAGGTGGTTACGTTTCAGAACTTGATGAAAAACTCAATACCAAATTACTTATAGCAATTGTTATTGCTCCAGTGGGTTATGCCCGGCTTGAAGATATACCAAGCCAGAGACAGGCGCCAGGCCAAGGCCACGAGCACGTCGGACTTTCTGCGGGTTCGAACCCAAGCTCATAAGCCCAAAGAACAGAGCAATGATAAGCTCCGCAAGGGCCCGATGAGACATTTGGGCAATTATTGGTAATCTCTATCCAAAATTATTAAGAGATATAATTCGACTTCGTTATAATAAATAATTCTGTATAAATACGAGGGAAATTTAAATTGATTGTGAGATAGAAAACTTTTCTACTCTCTAATGATCACCAAAGATCGATCCACGTATTCTTTATACTTCCATCTCCCAATTGTAAGCATGGAAAATGTCATGTTCAAAATAATTTAAAATTTGTGCTGAATTTGAACCAATTACTGCTCTCTTACCAGTCCGACGCTCGGATTTCTATGGATTGGTAATCAATAGATTGATTTAGGAACAGCAGAATTTTTTATATATATATTTTATGCTATTTTCATATAAGAGCGAAAATGGGGGCGTGGTTTTATTTTATAAAACTTATATGGCAGCTTTGATTGGGAAGGATGTTGAGGGGAGGAAGATGTTTGGCATAATTTATGCTTCCAAATGCTATCCCATATATCTAGCACAAAATACAGCTCTTCTTTACTTAATCATTTCATCAACTATTAATAGCAACTAAACTTGATTTTATACTCCTAAAAACAGCTAAGGCGTCACCAAAGTCAGGGCCAGACGAGCCTGACGTGGACCCCTTCCTTCTATGCCCAGACTAGTTGCATGGCCACAGTAGAAGAGCATCGGGCGGGGCAAGGCAAATCTGGCCAGAATACGTTTTTCATGTACAGCACTATTTTATTTTAATTTTATAATTGAGTTTCAAGTTGACATCTAACACCTAAGACGCCAGGAAAGACCAATTCTGTGACCACCCTTGATAGGATCTGAAACGTTCAAGCCCGCATGGTAAAGGATCGCAATATTTTCGCTGAGATGTACTTGGTAGGCCAAGGCCAGGAAGCCGTCGAAGCGCATCTTCATCTTGAGCAGTGCATTTTCATGGACCGCGTACTGGCCTCCAATGGCAACTTGCATATCGGCCTCCTCAAAATAGTCCGCCTTCAGGGCAACGGCCCAGCGCTCGCCTATGCGCTGGAAGATGGAGCCACGCCAATCCTTGAAGTTCTCGCTGCAGGCGCACAACAATTAATCGACTATCGGAAGAGATTTTTAAAAAAGGAATCTTACAACTTGAGGCTCAATTCGGTGTTGTCATTATTAAAACCCGCGCACAATGCATGCTTCTCAAATGCCGAGTCGTTAAAGTTATAGACCATGCGATAGGCAAACAGATAGTTTTCGGCCAGCTGAAGCAGCACATAGCCCATGAACCTTGGCACATTCAACAGCGGTATGATCATATCGAACTTGATGGGCGTATGCTCGTAGCCGGTATAGAGTTCCAGCTTTGCAGCGTCACTAGATGGGAATAGGACAGGTGAGAGAGTGCGATTGTGCTATACTCCATGCCATATTACTTACCCGCCCTGTATATCGTATATGCCACGTAGCATGGCATTTGCCACGCCCTCAACCAATGGAGTGCGCAGCCCAAGCGTACCCATAATGCCTTCAGATTGCCAACCCTGTGACATATTGAAGATACCCACCTTCTCGCGAATGCCCACACCGCCGGAAACATTGTTATATTCGGGTCTGCCGGCTCCATAGCTATAAAGGCCAATGTTGTCTCCAATACTTGTGGAGCAATCGATGTGCCAAGCGCCAAATTCGTAGCCGGCTACCAGGCATTGTTTGGCCAATCCTCCGATGTGGAAAAATGTGGGCATTTCGTTCTCCAATGGCCGCGGTGGAATTGTTTCCTCCGGATTTGGAGATTTTTCTTCGGGCGATTCTTCATTATTTTTCTTTTCAGCATCTCCCATTTTGGCAAATTATGAACCGTTAATTTATGTACAAAATATCTGGAGGGCCAAAAAACTGCAATTATAAAAGTTTATTTCAATTTGACATTACAATCAAACTGAAATTTGGTACAAAGTTTACTAGAAAGCAAAGCCCAACCCAAGACCATAAAAATTAAGACATTCTTGTTGGTCTACACCGAAGATCAAAAAGATCCTAGAAGACATAATAGCTGATTCAAGGCTTATATGAGAGACTTCAAAGACCCGATGGTAATATACAAATATTTGTAAATGTTCTTAAAAGAATTCATTTAACACTAATATTAAAGTGTACCAGAGTAAATTACCCGGCATTGCTCGGCTCAAGGTAAAAATATAATTATTACTCGACTCCTTGGGAACCATAACTCCTCTGGACTCGCCTGATCTGGACAGAAAAAATCTTTCCAAATGTTCAGAACTTAAATATGATATGAAAGACTTCTAGTCTAGACTAGACTAGGATCGTTACCTGACAAAATATCCAAAAATCCAAAATATGGTTAAAAAATGAAACTTATAATCGACTTCTATAGATTTCGTGAGAGCAAGAGTTATATATATATATATTTTATATATAACCACAAAAGTCAAAATATAATTGAGTGCACATTTGAATTTCTTTAAGGCCTCAAATACAATTGAGCCTTGTTTAGAAAACAGTTTTATTTAGAGTACAAAATGTCGAGCATATAAATCGATAAAAAGTTATTTAATTAACACTTCAAGCTCCACGCAACACCAAATTTATGGTTGCCATCGAGAGGTGATTTGGCATTAATACCGACGTGGTACATTACGTCAATATTTTCGCTGAGTATCGCCTGGTAGACCAAACCCATGAAGCCATTTTCGCGCACCCGCATCTTGAGCAGTCCATCCTCATGGATCTTGTACTGACCGCCAACCGAAAAATGCCTTCCCTGCTCTCGATACAGATGCGCCTTCAGGGCAAATGCCCAGCGCTCGCCCACGCGCTGGAATAAGGAACCACGCAGTTCCTTGAAGTTCTCCCTAGATGGGGACAACTTGACAACATGAACAACTATTCAATTTGGGAAAGCAAATCTTACAGTTTGAGGCCATATTCGGTGTTCTCATTCTGATAGCCCACACATAGCACATGCTTCTCGAACTCCATGTCGTTAATATTGTAGACACTACGGTAGGCGAACATGTAATTATCGGCCAGGTGTAGCAGCACATAGCCCATAAACTTTGGCACGTTCAACACTGGTATGATTACATCTAACTTGACCGGCGGACGCTCGTAGCCGGTATAGAGTTCAACGTTGACACCATCACTAGATGGGAATAAAACAAGTAAGAGGAATATGCTTGCCAGATCGACATAGATCTTGGTCTCGATCTGGAATCTACTCACTTGTTCTGTGGAATATATGTGGCCCGCAGCATGGCATTCGCCAGGCCACCAGCTGCTTCGGTTCGTACGCCAAGCGTGCTCAATAGGCCATTAGTCTGCCATGTCTGATACAGATTGAATATGCCCAGTTTCTCTCGAATGCCGACGCCGCCGGCAACATTTCTGACGTCCGGCCTGGCGGACCCAAAGCTATATAGGCCAAGCTTTTCGCTAACATTGGTGGTGCAATCGATATGCCAGGCACCGAAGTCATAGCCGGTTGTTAGGCACTGTTTGGCCCATTTGCCGACGTGAAAGAATGTTGGCATTTCGCCCTCGAGCGGCTGCTTTGGTATCACCTCGCCATCTGAGGAGCTACGAGGTTCATCATCTTCTGCATTGCTGCCTTCCCTCTTCTTTTTCTTGAGGGTGAATCTTTTATATACAGACATTGTGATTAAAACTAAGCCGTTAATTTAAATAAAACGTCCAAAGGATAAATATAATTTTGCTTGTTTAATTTTTTTTTTGTTTTTCTTCATTTATGTAAATATCGATTTGAAAGTTGATTCATGGTTTGCTGACAGTAAAGCGAACCCAGACTATCGGAAACTAAAAAGTTAAAAGTCCACACCGTAGATAAAATACTCCAAAAACATGTCCGATGCAGCTGAACGTAATAAAAATTGTTCATTTTTACAAATGTCCAGATCTAGATTTTCGAAATGTATATGTTGATTTTAATTTAAGAAAATGCTTGGACCTATTTACTAGGATCATGCCGCTGCTCTATCATCTTACATACATGCTCAACTCAAAATTGCTTTGATAACTTTCTTGCAACTCTTCATCTCACATCTCACCTGCCATTTCCTGGCTTACAAAAACTTTGCTCAATAAATTTTCCAAAAGTTTTTGGTAATTCAGAAGGTTTGCCGACTGGAATTGATATTCTCAACATATGCGTGAATGTGCATATTCGAACAACTAACTTCAACCTTCTGAACCTTCGTGCATGTTTTTATATATGTGTATGTGTATGTATGCGTGTGTATGTATGTATATGTCTATGTATGTATGTGTGTATGTATGTATGAATGTAGGTGTACGTATGTGTGTAAGTATGTATAAATGTATGTATGCATGTGTATATGTGTGCATAAATGTAGGTATTCGGGCATGTATTCATACATGTTTGCATGCATGTTTGCATATATACTTAACAAATATGTATATATTTATGTATAAATGTTTATGTATGTATGAATGTATATGAGTATGCATGTGTATATGTATATATTTGTATGCATGTGTACGTATGTAGATATATATATGTATATGTATGAAGTATGTATATATACATATATGTATAAATGCTTATGTATGTGTGTATGCATGCATGCATGTTGTGCATGTTTGATTATACATGTGTGTATCCGTGTGTATATTGTATCATTGTTACTACGTATTTATGTGTGAGTGCGTGTATGTGTGTTTGTATGTTTTGATACATGTATGTACATGTATGTATATATGCGTGAATGCCTATGCATATTTGTAATTGTATAAATGAATGTATGCATATAAGAATTTATGTATGTTGCATGTATTATGCATGTATATATGTATATATATATATCAGCGTTTATATATTTATATACAAGACCAACTTTGCCCCAAACTGCGCCCCACACATTCCCTTCTACGCGATTCTCATGCATTCAAGTAAGTCTCATTGGGTACCCTTCAATTAGAGATGTACATATGCCTGCTCTACTACGCGATTCTCACTGCGTTTTAAAACTAAGCAAAATTTCTGCTTTTATGCTCTTTCAGTGATGAATTTATATAAAAGTTCTACTCGTTTGTAAGACAATTTTTTTTGACTATCAGATCGATTTTGCTCAAATTTATTTGATTCATTCTGCTTGGTGAAAATGGCGGTCAGGGTATTGCTGGGCGAAGTCTGGCGTTCAAAATCATTTCTTTATGAAAAATAATTTAATACGGGTTTCACCTGCCTCCGATTGGCTTCATTCATTAACGGGTTCTTTATTTAACGGGTGATTTAAATTGTGTTTGGGTGCAAAAAGCGGGCCAAATCATCCCAAATCCCAGGGAAACCGGAATTTTGCAATGTTTTCGGTAAATACATAACTTAGAAAATCGATTGTTAAAAGAATAATTGTTAAAGAATAATTGTTCAATCAACCTGAAAATAATGCAATCCGACTGATTCCAGAAGTCGTGCGTTTTGCAGAATTTTAAAGTATCTTTGTCTTGATTTAATTGCCGCAGATACTAAAACAGGACATTAATTTAAAACTGTAAATTGGTAACAGAAATAAAATAGTGGCGATAGGGACAACTGTTAACACTCCAAGGAAAGGCCAACGCCAAACTTGTGATTTCCTTCGGTGATATTTTTGCAATCAAGAACTGTTGATATTGACATGGTGATGCCTTCGCGTAGCTTCTGCTGGTATCCCAGGCCCAGTTCGGCATTGTTGTTAATTTTGGCACGTATCAGGGCATCACCTGCCAAATGATAGATCATTCCCACACCTATGTTCAATTCACTCTCTGTCGGTTCCTGGCCTTCCTCGGTTGCTGCTTCTGCAGCTGCTTTGCCAATCTCAACAGCGGCATCTATTTGTTCGTTGGCCTTGTGGAATAGCGAGAGTAGCCAGCCCTCAGCATTTATTCTTCAAAGAGTAGATTAGCCGCATAATCGAATAGTTGTATATACACTTACAGTTCTGCGTGCAGCGTTGTCGATTCATTGGTCCAGCCAAGCGCAACCTTCCAGGATACATTGCCGCCGTTTATATCGCAGTCAACGGCAACTCCGCCCAAAAACTCTTTATGACCTAGCACTAGCGACAGACCCACTAATGGGTCAGACTTAATATCTATTTTGCCCAAAACGTTATAGCTCTCCTGGGCATAACGAGCCATAAATCTGCCTTCCTTGTCGCTGCATAACAAATACATTTACTAGAATCAGTAAGAGTGAGAGTATATGCCAAATATACTTACCCCGATGAGGGCTGAAAACGTCCCTCCAATGCCAGCAATAGTCCCTCGGCTAACTTATCCTTTTGCGCAATCTCGCCATACAGCAGATTGTCCGTGTTCCAGCGTTCCGTAAGCGTTAAGCCATAATCCTCTATATTATATTTGCTCTGCAGGGAGCCCATCACTTTGCTGGCATCTTGACTGGCGAAGCCAGTCGTAAAAAACTCGATGCCTGAGCTGGTCATGGTCTTGCAGTCTAACTGCCATAGACCTGGATGGTAGCCTCGCCTGAATAAGTCGCGGGCTAATTTGCCTAAATCAGTATAAACAGGTGGCGGCGCCATTTTCGGCCAAATAAATAATTTGTAGAGCTGGAGCGAATTATATCGTTTCGGAATTTTATAAATTAACAGTTGTGTTGTATCACCAGAATTTTTTTTGAATATGAAAACAATTCAGCTCTGTTTGTAACTTGTCGTAGCCAATATTCTATTGAAATGTGAGGCAACGTATGCTATGCTGACAGCAGCACTCTTTATCCATCAATAAATCTCGATTCAATCTGAAAACTCTATGGAAGCTTAGCCTAATACCATAATCAAATCTAACATGAAATCCGTTTAAGCTGTTGAACCCAATTACCGCTACTTCCTCCTAACTCATTCGGATCGCGTAGATCGATAGCCAGGCAATAACATCCGAGACGTTGCTACGATGGGCTAGCAAGACGGCAGTTCGAAATAAATGTTCTCCTGTTTTGAATTTTAAATGCACACCGCTACAGTGTTAATGTATTTATTTGAAAAAAAGTTTGCCTTCTATCTGGTGCTCATCTTCACTCACTTTACTTCTGTGCAAAAATAATGCAGAGCTTGTTTAACACTTTGTTTTTTTTCTTTTTTTTGTTTTAATAGGTAAATTATGTATTTCACTGTTTGCCAACAATAAATATGTATTTAGCTATGTACTAAACAAGACTACGTCCAACGTTCGATAGCAAGCTCCGATCCCGGGCCGATTTGTTGGCAAATGCTTTGCTAAACATGAAGATTCTTGTGTTTTGTGTATTAAATTTGGTTGTGTTTTATTGTTGTTACACTTTTAATTTGTTTCTCTTTTGTTTGTTGTTGTTCTTGCTGTTATTTTTGTTGTTAATGTTTGTTGTTGGGTGTTTTTAGTACTGTATGCATATTGCTGGCAGCGCATTCAGCTATTTATCTTGAACTAACTTAGGCTTCCAATTCGAGGCCAACGCCAATCTTGTGGCCACCGGCATTGAAATTCTTGCCATCGACAAGCGTGGACAGCGTCAAGGTGATGCCATCACGCAACTTCTGTTGATAGCCCAAGCCAACCTGGCTGGCATTGTTAACCTTGGCGCGCACGCTGGCATCATCGTCCAATTGATATTTGGCGCCAATGGCGAACTTGGTGTTGCTGGTGCCGCTGGCCCAAGACAGCTGAACGCCCACATCCAGTTTGTCGGAAGTGCGTTGGAAGATTGAGCCGCTGAACTCCTGGCCATCATTCCTGCAACACAGAGTAAATGTTGATAGCCACATATAAACAATCTTAACTAATTAAATACAATTGTTGATTGTTTACTTACACGGCTGTGTGCAGGACAAAGTCCTTGGTGGAGTAGCCGAGGGCAAAGTTGTTGGTGGTCAACTTGGACTGTTGTGTATCGAATGCGGTCTGATAACCGGCCAACCAGCCCTGGTAGCCCAGCACGGCAGAGGCATTGATCAAGGGACCCTTCAGGTCAATATTGACATCCGAATCGGCCTTGACATTCTCATGACCGTACGCAACCTTGAACTTGCCGTTCTTGTTGCCCGACTGTGGCGCAAAGTTGCCTTCCAGCGACAGCTTGAGGCCCTCGAGCAACTGATCCTGTACAGCCACCTCAGTGAAGAGAGTGTTGTCTGTGTTCCATTTCTCCGTCAGGGTTAGGCCATAATCCTTGACCTTGTACTTCGTCTCCAAGGAGCCGAATACCTTGCCCGATTCCTGGTTCGAATGGCCGGCTGTGTTGAATTCAATGCCCGACGACGTCTTGGTCTTCAGATCCAGCTTCCACAGGCCAAAGTTGTAGCCTTTGCTGAAGATGTCGCGAGCCTGTTTGCCCAAATCGCTGTATGATGGAGGTGCCATCTGTTAATGGTCAAATAATATTAATAAATAAAATGTACAAATGTCTGCACATATATATTAATGAACAATTTCATATGTAGAGTCTGCAATTGCGTGAAACTGGAGATTAGATTAGCAGCTCTTATCTTATCGAACACAATTGGGCAACAAACATTTAATGAAAGCAAATATTTGCACAGTAATAAACACCATTAAACAACTATTTGAGTAGCCCGAATTTGCGGCTTTCTCTCTTCAGTTGCATTTTTAAAAATAAACGCAAAAGTGAAAGAACTTTTCAGAAATTTTTGCTGTACTTTGGCTAAATGTCAATTTATTTTGCAAAACCAAACAAAAATCAAAAGAAATTGGTTTTCAAGGTGAAATGTGTATTCACTTGTTAAGTGTGCCCAAATTTGGCAAAGAAACTGCACAACTATCTCTGCTCTCTATCGCCCAATGCATGAGTGTCGTGTCTGTGTGAATGGGGGTCAATGCACGTCTTCGGTGATTGGATGAGTAAAATCGAGAGCGTGCGAGGCAACTGCTAATGATCGTGCAATTGATGACGCACCGTGCGCCACAGTCGATTGAAAAAGATTGCAAGTGATTTCAACAGCCACAAAATTGTGTATGTATAGAAAGTGTATGTAACTGCGGTCTCAGCCTACCTCCTTGCGTCTTAGTTTCTCCCTCAAAACATTATAAGTCCAATACTTCTTGCCGTGATCAGTCATTTTTAAAAAAAAATTAATTTAAGTAAATAATTCTTATAAAATTCAATTAAACTTAGTCTGTTATCACTTGGCCTACTGTGCAGCATATTTTTGTATCTCTGTTTACACTTTGTTGTTGCTGCCGTTCCGTTAATTACTGTCAGCAAAACGTTCAATGACCACTTGACGTGCGCACACACACACTCGCACGCACACACATATGTACATAGAGCTAGACAGTACATCGCTGCTTTGGTCTCATCGCTACTTGACGTCACATATGCAAGCAATCGCAAACTACTCACAGGCGTGGCGAAAATAGTAATACATGTGCCAAAACAGCGGTAAAATATGAAAGGCAGGCAAAAGCGAAATCTTTTTATTATTGGCGAGATTGGACAGCGGCCAAACGGCACGGAAATGACCAACAACATAAGAAATACAGACGACGGCGTGTGAAATCATGCGCTTTCCCGGCTAAGAGAACACAAAGAATTTTAGCAAAAACTATGAACTCGGAAAAAATACATACATGTGTCGTGATGTAATGGGTCAAAAGGATGGAAACCAGCGAATTTAAAGGTATAAATGATATGCTTGGTTTGATTTCACTTTGGGTACTAGTATTTCATCAGCACGACCTTGACACAGTAGATAACATAAACAATTTATTCGCCTAAGTGGATTGCTTCTGCGTGCCATGACTGAGTTTTCATCTCAGACTGTGGGCGTGTGCTGTTACGCAACACTCTCCAGCAAAAACAAGTTCAGATCCAAGCATAAACCCACTGCACCAGCTAAAAGGTGTTACAAAATAGGCGATTTATCGATTTTCCATGATGTCACACTCACCCCTAACTCAAATTAAATAAAATGCATAGTTGCTCCCCTCTTGCTGCTCACATGACCAGCGGCCAAAAAGCAAACAAAACAATAATAAAGCAAATAGCAAAAGTTTAACAAGCCAAAATTGATAAAACTGCTGAGATAGATGCATGTGATAAAGCAAGAAAGAAACCAAAAGGTAGGTTCCGATTTAATCAAAACAAATTTCAGCGCAGCGCAGGCAACATGTTACGTAACAGGAAAGTACTCTATTGCCGGCAGCTGCCATCGTGCAAATCAAATGTAAAACTCTATGGCCGCTTGGTGTTTCCATGTGTTTGTCTGCCGGTTGTTTTATTTATTTGAATGGACACAAAATCATTATCAATTAATTGATATTAAGAACAGTTCGCACAACAGCATAAACACAATGGAAACCCTTTGGGTGTATGTGTGTGTGTATATGTGTGAGGGCTTCGTGTCTGCTTGCAAAATTTTCATTTCGAGGTTATGAAATCACTTGTAACGAAAAACCATTTACACATACGGATTTTCATGCACATTTGATCTGTATGAAACCGGGACAGATTTTTTTTAGTGTCTTGGGTAAGTTTTACTTACTTTTGATGAGTTTAGTTAGATTTTAAAGTAATGCGAAACGCAGGAACAAGACGACCACGACCACACAACGTACACCACAAAATTGATTTGCAACCGAATGTCAGTGTGACCAGCATTAAAAATGGCTAAAATACGATTTCTCTTTGGGCGCGAATATACTGAAGCAAGAAGAATAAAACTGGAGCACGGTACACATTACTTGTTGTGTGTTCACCATGAACCTATAAAATAATAATAGTAATAATAATAGATCCTAATATAACCTAAGCCACTTATAAAATAAATTAAAAAGCCCCATTTTCATCAATTTAATAATTGTAAAGAATTAACGTTTACATTAAAATCTTTCTGATTTGCATACTAACCGTATGCGATATGCAACGTTGTGGCGAAAGCATCGATACTTTTTCATCTATATGGTTTTAGCGCCAAACTGGCTGTCCACGATCTTTTAACCGTTAATTGCTAAATACATATAATATACATATTTCCGTTAAATACGGAAATTTATATTAAATCTAAAACTTACAATTATGATTAGCTTAAAATAAATACATTTTTTAATGTAAAAATGCATATGCATCGAGTCAGTGAGCAGAATGCTTGTGTTGTATATTATTTTTAGCTACACCAGAAGCTCGCTGAAAACGTGAGAGCTCACGTTCTCTGTATTTAGATTCGAATCTCAATTGCATTTAATGAAAATCTCGCATTTGGGAGCGGCAGCGGCGACGTCATGTTGAAAGCGCGCTTGGAACACGACCCAGTCTACGGCCGTTGCCTGGCCACATCAGAGGCAGTGGAGAGTGGCGACGTTGTTGTGGAGGAGCTGCCCTTTGCCTATGGCCCCAAGCGAGAGAGTGGAATTGTGTGCCTGGGCTGCTATCGTTTCCTGCAGTTTGGCGAGGACGGCGACTCGCTGGACCGCTGCGAGCTGTGCGACTGGCCAATATGCGGCAGCTGCATGGATGATGCCGATGATCATCGGGGCGAGTGCGAGGTCTTTGCCGCGGCACGTGTCACATTTGCCGGCAACGTCGGCGAGGATGGCGTCTGTCCACAATTGGATTGCATAACACCATTGAGGTTAGTTTGTGGGTGCCCACGGGGCAAGTGGTGCGCGGTTCACATAACTCAAAATCGCACAGAAATGTTGACAGTCGCAAATGGCCCAGTTGAACGACGGCCAACGACTTGGCCAGCTGGCCGACTAATGTACGCAAGTCAGCGGCCGTTCATCTTTGAGGTTTTGCCAAAATGTATACGAATGATGACGAGCTGTGTGCGCATCATCCCGCTTCATGTCAGTGAGCGATATGACAGCGACGCCGGCGCTCGAAGTCAATCGCACGGCAGTCGAATGGAGCCGCATTTATGGACGCTATCTGGTTGCCAGCGAGCCAGTGCAGCGCGGCGAGCTGTTGGTGCAGGAGCAACCCCTTGCCATTGGCCCCAAGTGCAATGGATATGTTCTATGCCTCGCCTGCTATCGTCCAGATGTCCAGGAGCGCTGCTCCCTTTGTGGCTGGCCGCTGTGCAGCATATGTAATGGAAATGCGACAAACCCACATCTGGAGCTGGAGTGCTCCGTGCTGCAGTTGGGCAAAGCACGTTTCTATGAGATGCCCGCCGGCAGCCTGCACTGGCCCCAGCTGGACTGCATCATGCCACTGAGGTGCTAGACAGACGCATAAAAATAGCTACACATTCAAGAATTGTGCCAATTTTTGGCATGCATGCATCAAATATTCATGTGTATACGAGCGAATGTTAAAGTGACGCTAACATTTGTGCAAATGTTAGTGCGTGACGCTAACATTAAGACAGAACCTTAATGAATAACAGCTGTTATAAATTAATAAGAATCCAATTTAATATTTAAATATTTCGTTTTTTAAAATGAAATGTCTTGAAATCATGTACAATTCATTTTTTCCAATGCAAGGAACTGCATATAATGCCTTTATCTAATCCTTTTCTCCTTTTCCCCGGCATAGAGTGTTGCTGGCAAAGGAAGCACAGCCGGAGCGTTGGCTCAACGAGGTGGCGCCCATGGAGCACCATGAGCAGGCACGCCGCGAGAATGCAGATGTGTGGCATGCGGATCGGGTTAACATAGCCCAATATTTGCGCGGTCCCTGCAAGCTGGCTGAACGTTTCAGCGAGGAGCTCATCATGCAAGTGGTGGGCGTGCTGGAAGTCAATGCTTTCGAGGCACGCACCAGCCAAGGCTATCCGTTGCGCTGCCTGTATCCATACACGGGAATCCTAGCCCATAATTGTGTGCCCAACACGGCGCGAAGCATTCATCCCAGCGAGGGCTACAAGTGAGTTGGCATCCACCCAGGGCAACAGTTGCCAAGATTAATAGCTTTCTTTTTTGTCCAGGATTCGCTTGCGCGCTATGGTTGCTCTGGAAGCAGGCCAACAGCTGCAGCACAGCTATACCTACACCTTGGACGGCACCGCCCAAAGGCAGGCGCATCTGCGCGAGGGCAAATACTTCTCATGCAGCTGTGAACGCTGCTTGGATGCCAGCGAACTGCAGACACACTTCTCCAGCATGAAGTGTGGCCAGTGCACGGAGGGCTGGCTGCTGCCCAAGCACCCGACGGGTAATTGGCTATGTTCTGCTTTCTCTTATGTTCCGTATCAACCAGCCACAATATAATACTATTCATAAAAAATTTCGGTTTTTATCCTTAAGCTTCTTTCGATTGGTTTTTTGCAGCTATGAACAGCAGCTGGAACTGCCGCGCCTGCGACCACAGCACAAGCAGCGTGGAGGTACGGCAAATTGTGGCCGCGCTGCAGGCCGAGGTAAATGCTGTACAAGCTCTCGATATGGGTCCAAAGCGCCTGGAGGAATCGGAACGTTTGCTGCGCAAATACAAATCGCTGCTGCATCCATCGCATTACATAGCCACCAGTTTGCGGCAGCTGCTCATCGAGATGTACGGCCGTGTGCAAGGCTATGAGATGGTCCAGCTGACAGATCAGCTGCTGGAGCGAAAGGCGTCGCTGTGCCGCGAGGTGTTACGTGTGCTGAACATCTTTGAGCCGGGCCTGAGTCGTGCGCGTGCTATGAATCTCTATGAGCTGCATGTGCCGCTGGTGCTGCTAGCTAAGAGCGGCTTCATAGCCAGCAAACTGAGTGGTGGCGAGCTGCGTGCCCGTCTAGTGGATGCCATTGATCTGCTCAAGGAGTGCGTAGAGATACTGCAGCATGAGGATCAACGGTCACAGGAGGGCATCCTGTGCGGTGTGGCCAAGCAGGCGCTCCAACAGCTCACAATAAGCGTTGAGGGCTTGGGCAGCGAACTGGATTAAGTGGAAACGAAATCAATTTGTACTTATTCATATGTATATCATTAAATTTATTGCAAACTATACACATAGTTGAGGATACGCATATGTATTGGCTTTGTGGCTTCTTGAGACCATCGAGAGAGTTGCCTGTTCAATAGAAACAATTCGCTTAATTCTCAAATTGGATTCTGTGTTTTTTACATAATTGCATATTAAGGCGTTCTTTAGATTGGTTTCAGTTGATTATGCTGAAATGGGACTAGCCAGTTTTAGGTCAATTTCAAATTTAGTGGAAAATTTTAAAAATTAATATATTTTTGGAAATTTGTTTTACAAAAATTTGTAAAATTTATAAACGTATAAATGTTGCTGCACGACTCCTTTTTATGTTACTAATATTATTTAAATAAGCATTTTTCGAAAAGGCTAGTGTCATGCCAGCATAAATCGAACTGTTATTAAAATATGTTGAACTTGACCGATATGAAATTAAGAGCATAAACAAAAATTACAATAGTTAAAACAACATATTTAGCTTTGTTTACAATCAAACTAATTACGCCTTATAAATAATACGAGCTATTACCGCATACACAATTGCCTGGCATTAATGTTTATGTTTTTGGTATATGAATGTGTTTGCTCTTAAATGCTTGAATGTTAGTTTGTTATCTGTTTGTTTTTGTTTTTTTACACACATTTTTATATAGCTAATTATCTGATCTACGTATGTTTATGAAAAAACTAGTTTCTTTTAAAAAAATATTTAGTTTCTGTTGAGTATGTTTTGGCTCGCCTGGTGCAATAATTAATTATTAACTAAAGTGTTAATTAATTATTGGAATCTTTGCACTTAATACACACAAGCAAAATTGTAGCTTGAAGTCAAGGTGAGAGTGATGGGGACAGCTGGGTGGGAGCTTCATAACTTTTCAGATAAAAAAGAAATCACACGAAGATATAAATATAAAACAAAAAAGAAATTGATTTTGTGGGACCGTCACAAATACGAACACGCGCTCGCGTACATAAAATACATTTATAATACATACAAAATAATAGAATTTATCACACGCCTTCTAAACATCGTGGCTGAGCAGCGGGGTGTCGTGATAGCGTGCGGCGTGATTTAGACTAGCGCAGGGCAGCAGCCAAAGCGCCGGATGGCCGCGGCCAAAGACATCTGCCAACAGTTGATATTTACGTCGGTTCGGCCGATAGGCACCCTTCTGCTGTATCGCCTCAACGGCCGTCTCATCGTACAAAATGGCATGCAGCTGATCTACCATAATTGCCGTCACAAACAGTCCAAACAGCGCCGATTCCAGCAGCAGGATGACGGAGTGAATCCTAAGTAAGGAAAGAGTCTATCAATCAGCAATTCACCCATCCATCAGTTGTCAAAGCGAGACCAAGAACTTACATGCGTAGCTGCGAATCAATTACATTTTGACTGCATTCCGTGCAGGGCGATACCCAAGAGCCGAGTATCAGCGCGATCGAATAAAGGGAAAGAATGCCCACATAGACGAGAAATTGCAGAAAATACTTTTGATTGCGTTCGCCCACACAATTGTTTATCCACGGACAATGATGGTCCATGCGGCGTATGCAGCGCTTGCATATGCGACAATGATGGGCACGTGGTGGCCTGTAGGTCTCGCAACGGGTGCACACAGTCCATTCGCTGCCATGGCCATTGCCGGATATCTGTTTTGTACCGTTGTTTGTGGTATGTAGATCGGAGAAGTCCAAGCGATTGGCGGGCAGCGGCACAATACCCGGGTCTGAGAAAACAGCCTTCAAATGCGACATGCCAAGCAGGAAGACGATCGTGTTAAAGAGCACAACGTGAAAGGGCGCCCAGATGCTATAACCAACATATTAAACGTATGTATATTGTCGTCATCACAAAACAAGAATCGTACTCACCTCAGCGGCATGGTTGTCAGTATAATCCAGCGCATGACCACATAATCCGCATAGATAACAGCGCCATAGGTGAAAATCAGGCAGACAATGCCACAGGGATCGCGAATGAAAACCATGTCCAATATCGGCTTTTTATTTTTTTTGTGTGTGTGCCCGTAATTGAATTACAAATCGAAGCTATCTCAGCCCTTGCCCCTTTCCATCTAACGTATCCAGTAACACTAAAGTTGCTACACTGCAGCTCAGCTGCTGGCAGCAACTCTTAACACTTCACACTTGATAATTTTCACTTGTGATGGCTATGTGACGGTCAGTATAATTTAGTATCTCATTTTAATGTTTCCAAAAGTTTCATTCATTTATTTGTTGCTATTTTTCGATTACAAATTTTTCACCCTAAGCCTCATAGTGGGCATACACGATACAACTGGTTCACAGACATAGTTGATCGGTCCCACACACGTCACAGATTGTTACGTTTCGCCAAACATAGCTTGTAAGCAAATCAAATAGAAAAAATTAAGGGAAATAAAGTGTTTTAGTATAGGCTTAATATAAAACCGCGTCGCTATATATTCTTGCCATTGTTGTCGAAAATAAACGCGAAAAACGTGTGTGGTCTGCATGATAGGCCACTTGTACATACGATAGACAGCGAAAGCTATACGATATGTGTAATCGGTTGTCTGAGATTGACACATCACATCGATAGCTGCCAAACATCGATATATTCATTAGTCATTTTTTACACAAAAGCAAAAGAAAAACGGTGCAAGTGATTATTCAGCAATTTTATTGCAGTATTTCGATTTAATTAATGCAAATTACAAAAATTTCGAGTCACATCAAATCGTCAGCCTCGTGTTGGCAGCTGCCTTATTAGGGAAAATACAAGACAATACGGGATACTGTATGTGTGTTGTTGTGACGCATGAAAATCGATTGCGTAGCAGACGAAAACACCACACAAAAGTGCAAGTGCAGCTACAATAACAACGAAAAGCTTAAAATTAGCGACATAATTAAACAGAATTACAACAATTACCCAAATAATTAATAGGCAGCTAAGTGCGCTTTTGGTCAAAGAGATGGGCATATTTGGGCAATCGTCGCCGTTTGACGCCGATGTGGGTAAGTCTCTGTCCATTTCACCCCCCTCCCCTCCACGCCTCCCTGCCATGACCCAACAATGACAAGTCCAATTGGCCGTAGTACTGCCCGCTTGTAATTAGCAGCTGGTGCTATTTTGCTTTATCTTATCTGTTTGCCTTTGAACCACCCCCTGTCATCTCGTTAAGCGCTCAGCAGACACAAAGAAAACTGAATTCCAAATCGAGTCACATGCGTCGCTCTGCTGGGAGGCTGCGCAGCTGCTGCGTCTGTTCATTGAACTTCTTTGGAGTTTTGTCTGCAGTCGCTGACCTTGAAGTCAGCGACACCACCCACCCCCCCACTTTCGGACACCCCTTATAATTCAGAAATGTTGTGCGTTCTAATTCCCTTCACGGGAGGTCTGTTAATAGAGTTATTCCAGATACCTATATGGATGTAAGGCTTCCCATTCTTATAAGTGCGAACTCTTTAATGTTTATGCACAATAATTATAATTATTTAAATTAAACCCATTCAAGCTTTAAGTTCAACCCGTTTTGCGAAATGAATAGCTGCCTGATAAGCTTGTAAAGCGTATACATTATTCGTTGTTGGTTTTTTTTTGTTGCTGCTCATTTTAATGCGATTTGCTGTATATTCTATTGATTTTGCTTTGCTTCTTTGCGACGCTTATCAGACTGAGTCAGCATGCTGATTCTTTCCCTGCCAATGATAAGCAAATAGAACCGTATTTCAACAGAAGTCGTTGCTCTATTTGTTGTTGTTTTTACTAGTTGCAAGCGTGGACAGAGCATTGTCATACAACTTATGAATGTTTGCGATCGATCCACAGAAAAGGCCACGAGCGAGACGAATACGAATGATAACTGGTCCTTTATAATGGATGTATGCGACAAGGTGACAACCAATCCTCGTCTAGCCAAAGACTGCCTCAAGGCGGTGATGCGGCGCATGGGCCATGCCGATCCCCATGTCGTCATGCAGGCTATTACACTGCTGGATGCGTGCGCCAACAACTGCGGCAAGCCGTTCCACCTGGAGGTGGCGTCTCGTGACTTTGAGACCGAGTTTAGGCGCTTGTTGACCAAGGCGCAGCCGAAAGTCTCATTGGTAAATGGCAAGCAACCAGCTGGAGTTTCAAAATTAAATCGATTTTGTTTTGCAGAAAATGCGTCAAGTGCTGAAGAACTGGGCTGAGAATGATTTCAAGAATGATCCTGAACTGAATCTGATACCTTCGTTGTATGCCAAGCTGCGCAGCGAGGGCTACGACTTTAGCAATCTGAACGATAAAAGCAGTGCCAAGTCAGCCGCAGCCAAAGCGGCGGCCGCTACCTTGGCCAAGGATCCAAATGTGGTCAGCAGCCAGCAGGAGGAGGATGATATAGCCAAAGCCATAGAGCTGTCGCTCAAAGAGAACAAAAGCAGCCCCAAGCAGCAGCTACAAAGTGCTGCAGCAGCAGCTGCTTCAACAACCAGCAGTGCCTATCCCTCGTTATATCCCTCGTTTGGTGGCAGCTCTGCCCCCACAGCAAGCAACGGGAATGGAAATCCCAGCAGTAGCAGCGGCGCTGCCGCTTCATCTCGCACTGTACGCGCTCTTTACGACTTTGAGGCAGCCGAGGAGAATGAGCTGACCTTCTTTTCTGGAGAAATCATACACGTGCTGGATGACAGCGATGCCAATTGGTGGAAGGGCTACAATGAGCGCGGCGAGGGTCTCTTTCCCTCAAATTTTGTCACTGCCGATTTGTCTGTAGATCCCGAACGCTTGGACATCAATCAGCAGCACAAAAACAATGCCCAGAAACAGGCAGCCGTCGAGGAGGAGGAGGCGTTGCTACAACAAAAGACTGAAGCGGCTGCCGCACAGCCCGTGGAAATTGATGAGGCCAAAATTGATCGTTTGCTGCATCTATTGCATGAGGCCAATCCCGAGGATCCCTCGCAGGATAGCGACGAAATGTTGCGCTTGGAGCAGCAGGTTCATCAAATGGGACCGCTCATTGATGCCGAACTGGAGCGTGTCGATCGCAAGCATGCACAGCTAACACAGCTCTCCAGTGATCTGGTGGATGCCATTAATCTATATCATACGCTCATGCGTGATGATCGTGCAGCTGCTGCACAGTTTGGCGGCGTCGCTGCATATATGCCTGGGAGCTTTCCGGGTGCTGCGCTCTACGGCGCACCTGGTTATCCCAGTGCTGCTGGCTTCCCGCCAGGCCAAACCTATCCGGGCATGCACTCAATGCCGTATACACCACCACAGCCTAATAATGCAGCTCCACCCACGACAACTACGGCTTATCCGGGACAAGTACCCATGCCATACCAAAACGGGCATGCGCCGCAGTTAAATTGTAATAAAATTCCATTAATTATCATTGAATCATTGGCTAATGCATTACCGATCTCTTGCAGCTTTGCCGCCTCACATGTCCCAGTCGCCTGCAGTTGCTGTGGCTCCGCAGTCACATCCAAGCCACTCCCAACCCATCTACAATGCCCAGCCCACACCAGTCACCACTCAACAGCAGCAACCGACGCCTTCTAATTATCACATGCCAATGCCTGTTGAGCAGCAGCAGCAGCAGCAGCAGATGCCGCCCTCGACGCTTCCGCCGCAATTTGCCGCCGCACCACCATCAGCCACACAAATTCAGCAGCATCAACCACAGCCACATGCCTACATGTCGCCACAGCATCAACAGCAACATCCACAGCAGCAACAGACGGCGCCGCCGCAGACCTATTTGCCGGCGGGCGCTACAGCGCAGCCGCCACAGTTTTTTGCACCAAACGGAGCTCCACCAGTTACACAGAGCTACATGGCGCCACAGCAACAGCAACAAGCACCACATCCCCAGCAGCCACCACAACAGCAGCAGCAACAACAACACAATCACAACGATCATTTTAGTCAGCTACATCAGCAAATGGCCGCCATGTCGATGGCGCATCTTGGTGGCATGCCACCAGCCGCGGCAGCAGCGGCGCCAGCATATCATATGCAAAACGATGCCGTCAAGAATAACATTCCTATCTATCAGCAGCAGCGGTAAAACCGTTAACTAATAAGCCCGCTGTAGTTTCCTTTACTTGGTTTTTGATTAATTTGCCAATTCTATTCTAATATAAACCCCATTGTCAACTTGTTTCAACTGGAATATTTATTTTTATTTTCATACATCAGAATTTATCTATTAACTTCCAGCCTTTATGCTAAAGTTGAATGTTTGTTTATCTTGTTTATTTTTGTTATTCGATAAGCTTTGTTTGTAATCTCTAAGAAAATGTCGGGCAAATGTTTGCATTAGCGCCAAAAACTAAGTTTTTAAATAAGTGAAAGGAAATCTATTTATATACCATATACCCTATAAATATTATATAATATATTATGTATAACTCTATATATTGAGCGTTGAGCGAAGAACACAGTTTGACGGAAAATCAATCAGAATTCACTATCACTATTATGTATTATGTTTATTTTACTATTATAATTATGCGTTGATAAAAATAACAAGCGAAACGAATCACATTTATTATGCTGCAAACATTAAAAAGTTGATCAGCCGCAAATGCCGATTAAACAATATAATATATAAAAAGTAATCATAATATAATTATAAACAATTTGTTGTTTTAAGTGTATTTGGCTCAGCGCGTGCGTAGTTTTATATAGCGCCTAATGTAATACTCCTCATCGATCTTGTCCAGCATTAGCAGACGCAACTGGAGCATCTCCCTGCGATGCTGAGACTCCACTGCGCTTAGATTGGGCGCATTAAGCCAGGCCTGCACCTCCGTATATAAGTCAATATATTTGCGCCGAGTTTGTATGGCATATGCAGGTACTTCGTTCATGTTGTTTATTGATCGCGAGTCGTTTACGAACTGTGTTGACCACCTGTTCATTTTGTTTAAAAATCCACTTAACTAACTTTGCTACAAATTTGGCGTCTTGAAGTTTTATCGCAGAAAAAGTTTATTGTAATAGTTGAACACCTGTCAAACGTAACTTCCCAATGTAATTGAGTATAGTATTTATTAAAAATTAACATCACAGAAAGCTCTCGATAAGCGCGGGTCCGTAGATTTCCATGAAATGTATAAAAACGGTTGTTGGTAAAGTTTGACATTTTGATAGTTATGTTATATGATTGCAATACGCATTCTAAATTTGGCAACGTGTCAAAACTTTTCTTTATTATTTGTTTTTTTTTTTCCGCCCATAAACAAAATAACGAAGCTGGCATCGTAAAAAGTGCGCTCGCATTTTATGTCTTCGTCAAAGTAACCACTGCGTATACGTAATGCATGTGTTTGCGGTATTGTGCTGTTGCTCTTTAGTTCTCGTTGTAAAGCCGTGTAAATGCATACAAGAAAATATTCATGCTGCTCAGTTATTTAATTGGATTGAGCTCCACACGTTTTAAATTAACATTATTAAAACTTTAAACGCAATAAACAAATATGTGGCACCATACAAGTGTAGTTAGAAAATAAATAATAATAATAATAATAATTATAAAAGTGTAGCTGAAGTTAGAAAAATAACTAAATCAAAAGTTGATAACATTATATTCAAACATTGTTTGCGTTTGATATAATATATAATAATCAGTTTCTTTGTTTGGCAGTTGCAAATTTAAGGTATTCAATATCTCTTTTGACGATGTATCGTTTTGTATCAATGTATCGATAGTTTTACTAGTCGTTCCTTTGTGTTGCGTGTGACGTCACAGAGCAATATTCAAGGTTTCTGCCGCTGCTGCTGCGTAATCTTCCAAGTGCCATTGCTCTTGTGGGGCACCTGAGGAATCAGCTGTTTGCATGTAAACAACATTCGTTGACTTCTTGGTGGCTGTTGCGTAGAATTGTTAATCAGGCCGTTGGCAAGATTGCTATCACGTAATCGAACACAAAATGTGCACACTTCACATTGAGGAGGAGACACATTTAGCTGCCATGGGCAGCAGAAGCAGCCGAACGCGAACGCCCAGCCCAATGCAGATGCTAAGGGCAAACGATGGAGAGCTTACATTATTTGACATTAGCTGGGACGATGTGCTCATACCAAAAATGTGCAACTACCTGTCAGTCAAGGACCTCTTCAATTTGCGAAGTTGTTCGCGCACAGCATTGCGCCTGGCGGAGGCAGCTTTGGAAAAGCACCAGGAGCTGCATTTGTCGGGCAACAATACACGCAATATTGAGATGGGTTTTATGGTCCTGGCGCGTTGCTGTCGTCGCTTGGAACAACTGCATTTGGCCAGGTGCCAATGGGTTACAGATGAGCTGCTTTTGCCGCTGCTGGAGAACAACAAACAGCGACTGTTCGCCGTCAACCTGAACGAATGCGTCAACATAACGGCACTGTCCCTGCAACCCATCATTGTGCAGTGCAAGGAGCTGCGCATTTTAAAGCTCTCCAAGTGCCAGTGGCTAACCACAGGTGCTGTCGATGCTCTGACGCTGCACCAGAGCAAACTGGTGGAATTTGATATCTCATATTGCGGCGCCATTGGCGAACGCTGTCTGATAATCTTCTTTCGCAAGCTAAACAAACTGACCGTCCTGTCGCTGGCCAACACGCCCAGCGTTACGGATCAGGTGCTCATACAGATTGGCAACTTCTGTCGCGAGCTGGAGCATATTAATCTGATTGGCTGTGCCGCCATCTCCGACTATGGTGTCCAGTAAGTACGGTTATTCAATTAGCTATGTATTAGTGCATGTGTGTGTGTGTTTGTCAGTGTTGCCAATTCAGCAATTTTCTAGCTATTTGACGATTTTTAGAAGCCTGAACATAATTGACATTTTGCACTGCGTTAGCTTTTTTAATTAGCTATATTAATTTATTCGAACATTGGAGGACATTGCATAATATTTTTAAATCTGTCGGCTGTTTTTAACGGCCTTTGCAACATTCGATTCGGCCGCTATTTTCTGAAAGCACTTGGCAACACTGGTTTTTGTGTGTGGCGTCCCTTGGCCGTGACTCAACTGCACACAATACTCTGCATTTGCATCTCTTTCAGCGCACTCAGCGTGCACTGCAAACGTTTGCAATCGCTCCGAATCCAACGCTGCCATCGTATCACGGAGCGCTCGTTGGCGCCTTTGCGTCAGCGGGTGCACATTGATCGACCACGTCCACGCCAGGATGCCCACAATGCCTACAACTTAAACGATTTCTATCCCAGTGACTTTCTTGTTTACTAGTTCCACATCACTCTCTCTCTCTCTCTCTCTCTCTCTCTCTCCCTCCTGTCAACAACAGTGCGCTGACCAAGAGCTGCCCACTGCTGCAGTCCCTGATGGTGCAACGTTGTCCATTGGTCACAGAGCGCGTGCTGGCGCCCCTGCGCGGACGCATGCACATCGATCGGCCGAGCATGGGCTACAATCTGCCCGCACTGCAGCATCGCTTGTACCTGCAGGTATGAAATAACTGAATAACCCAGAGGCTATTGAGGCTATCGTCATCTTTGTAAATATGGACGTAGTTTAATACAATTGTTTAGCTTAAGCTTACAGTTGTTAAACTTAATTTAAGCTATACAAGTACAATATAGAAACTAATATATTCTGGCTAAAAAGAAAGAATGATCCGTAATTGGTGTAACAAGCAGAAAATCATTAGTTAAAGATGTTAATGCCATAAAAACTAGCTGTTCGTTGTTAAAGTTACAAGAAGTTCGCGTTACCCAGTTAATCTACTTATACACGTTAAGTTCCAGCTCATGTTTTCAACTTTTTACTTAAATACCAGATTTAAAAAAAATGTTTTAAAAGCGTTTGCAAAAAATTTGCCAGCAATAAGCGTACAAATACAAATTGGTTGCAGTTCCCATCATTGTGCTGATATCAGAGACGAGCTCGAGGTAGGATTTGTGGCCGCTTCCGCGCTGCTGCCCACGGACAGCTTCAACTGGGTAAGGTCATGGGTAAGGCCGCTGTTGTTGGCTCGCCAGCGTTCGTGCAGTTGATTGAGATGCATATAGGCGGCCATGGAGATGTTCAGGCTGGGCATGACAGCGCTCAAGCCCGGCTCACCGATGAAGGCGAGACCGCATAGGCCCAGGTACGTGTGGAAAGGATCTGGCGTGGACTTTGGCCATTTGGCAAAGCCGCCAATTAGTTCATCCTGTGTGCTCAGTATGTATTCACGGTTCTGAGCATAGTCGGTCAGCTCAAAGCCGTTTAAAATGCGCAACGCAGCGCCAATCCAAAAGGAATAACACGTATCCACCGGCTTGTTGGGTCGCCCCTGAAAGCCGTCCATTTGCCGAAAGACAAGCCATCGCTTAATGCGCTCCGCCGTCGTCTCGTCCAGGCGATGCAGCTGTCCGCTCAGCTCCAGTGCGGCCAGCGCACAGAATGTGGTGCCACCGTGCGACTCGCCCTCCAGCTCCTGACTGAAGCCGTAATCGTAGCGTAGGCTGCGCATTATAAACTGAAACATGGCCTCCTTGTTCACGCCATCCCAGCAGTCGAGCATGTGGCAAATGGTGGCTGCACAGTACACAAAGCGCATATCATTCTCGCTGCCATCGATGGAGGCACTGAAGCTGCCATCCGCATGCTGCACCGCCGCCACGCCCTCCACGATGCTCTGTCGATTCAATCGCGACAGATCATCGCCCAGTGTCACCAGCACTGCGATGCTGGTATATGTCATGGCAAGATGACCCCATTGATACTGCCGCATGCATTCCAGCAGCTCAGCGTCCTCCGTTTTCGGTAACATGGCGCGGCAGCCCTGTAAAAGATAGCCCACAATTAATTGTTATTGTCAATGTATGTATATGTGCTCGTAGCGCGCACAAAAGTGGTTATGCATGTTGCGCTGATAAAAGCACTTGACGTGATTAAAATGTGATAAGGTTTACGTTTCAGTCTGCCACACTCCCAGCCCATTAGATGCTGCTGGGCCAAGGCATGGCATGTAATGACCATGACCAGTTCCCGGTTTTCATTTTTGCGCGCATCAATTGGTAAATGGATATTCATTTTATAGCCTGCAGTCATACCAGCTGGTTGAGAAGGATTCAATAATACGCAACTCCTAGGATCCGACTTATATCTTTCAGATCGGACAATAAGCAAAAACTACATTGACTAGCAAAAAACACAAGTTGAATTCTTAGAATTCGAACTGTCGTGCCAAAGCTACAACTACTACGAAACTTGTGCAGCTTACTTGGCAATTGTTGTTGTTATTTAGATCTGTGTAATTTATAACCTCAGCATTTGAGATGGGAAACGGAGCGCTTGCCGCAGTGGCTACTGCAGCGCCACGTAAAAAGATAAAGCCAGAGACAGACGCGTTTGTGTTTATTTGGCATTGCCTGGCTAGTTTGTTTATCAATCGTATCTGACTGACTGACAAGTATTTATGCTCACCATAAAGCCGCCGCGTCGCTTTTCGTTTTCGCGTGGCACCACAAGGCCGCCGTAGGTCCAGTCGATGATGTCCTTGCGCAGCTGTGGGGATATCAAGTGCAGCGAGTTGAGCACATCTAGGCCACAGACGGCAAAAAATACAATGGTGCTCCTGTTTCAAAAATGTACAACAAGCATTAATAGTAATAGTTAGGTAAACAAACCTTGAACATATCCTTACCTGGTGTTATCATGCGAGGACATGCGCGCAGGCAACAAGTGAAGAAAACGCAGCAGATTCTTTGCATGCTTGGAGTGCAGCACGGGCTGTAGCTCGGAGGGATCCGTCATATCTACAACATGGTAGGACATTTTATATATTTATTTTGATTCTCTCTTGTTGTTGTTGTTTATCTTTATCAGTGTTTGTACGAGTGTGTTGGTTATGACTAAGCGTCGTCGCCTTTTCATTAAAAGTTGGTCTCCGCGCAACGGTGCGCTTGGTAATGACTGTGCACTGGCACGTGTATGCATTTAAATAGCCTAGCATTACCTTATTTTTATTATAAGCCGGTTTTTTGCATCGCTCACAGGTAAATAGCACAAGAAAAATTCCAGTGCCGATGCTTCTTTGCGTGTTTTATGGATGCGGAATATCGATAACTTTTCTGAATGATAAAATTATGCAGCGATAGTTTCTTATAAACACACCCATCTCCAATGTCGCCGAGTCACTGTGAATGTCAAAAGCCAAACATCTGTTTTGAGCCGCATTGCGTTAGTTATTTTTCTCTAAATAAATTGCTATTATAAATAAAAGAAACATGCGTATAACACAATATTTGGCTAGTAAATTAAAAAACTTTTCAAATCTGCCCAAGGAATATATTGAGCGCAGCAAAAAGCAGGCAAGTAAAATGTTTTATTTTGAATCAACAACATCTCGCAGCTCACGTAACAACTGAAGCTGCTGCGGCGAGTGCATCTCTTAATTTGCGTATAAATGTGTAAATCTTTTCAGGTATATTGGCAAACACCACGCGAAAGGAATTATCTACCACGTACCGTCGAGCGCAAGCGTTTTCGCTATACCACAAACCGGCCATGGACAGGCCAGTTCCGGCAACAGAATATGCCGGGCACGATGCGCCGAAAAGTTTTTCTGGAGCCAGTTGGTGAGTGGACTGGTGTCTCGTGGTATACTCATAATATTCATAAATTCGTGTGTGTTTGTGTGTGTGCAGAGGATTGGAGCTTCTTCCGCGGCGATCGCATTGAAGTGCTTGTCGGCAAGGATAAGGGTAAGCAGGGCATTGTCACTCAGGTAATACCCGAACGCAATTGGGTTATTGTCGAGGGCATCAATTGGCATTATAGGCGCGTGGGAGCTGAGAAGGAATTCCCCGGCATCATCATAAAGTCCGAGTCGCCTCTTAATGTTACCAAAGACATACGCCTAGTGGACCCATCCGATCTGCAGGGCACCGAATTTGAGTGGCGCTTCACGGAGGAGGGTGAAAAGGTGCGCGTATCGTTGCGTTCGGGCCGCATCATACCCATTCCTGAGACAAATAACCAAACTTATGACTATAAAACGCCAAAAGCCTACATTGAGCGCGAAAAGGATACACCAGCTGCCGTTGTGAGCGAGATTACGTTTCAGCCAAAGTTGTCCACTTTTGAAATGGATATCATGGAGGAAATGGACATAAAGGAGGAACGCACGCCGGCCAAGAGCTACTGGTATTAGACATACCTTGTTTGTTTAATAAAGTGTACAATAATATGAAATGTGTTTGCATTTAATTGACATTAACATTATGAAATTCTGTTATTAGCAGCGCGATTAATTCTGTTGCTTTGTAATCGTCTACGCTTGCCGCGATAATTCAAAAAATGTTATCGATTTAATCGGCGCGCAATTCTGAAAATACAATTTCCGTTAACATATCGATTTTGATAAAGTTTTATAACATTTTATTTTTAAACAATTTTTGGTGTAAGCAATATTAAAAAAAAAATATTTTGTAAATGTTTAAAGCTAGAAAAATAGATGGGCTTATAAAATTTGTTCATTTGCGTGCCGCACTAAAAATCTCCTCGCGATGCTCGCGCAGTGTTCGGGCCAAGCGTCGCACCGTCTCCTCCGCCTTGTCAAAGTCGCCGCGCAGTGTTTTATTAAATGTATCATAGAGCCAGGTACATGTCTTGGAAATATTCGACTCATAGCTGCTGAAGACGCGACTCGTATGCTCATAACTGTCAGGGAAATGGTATAATGGAAAAACGGATAGACATTGGCTCAAGGAACTTACCGCGCCGCATTCGCTATGTCTGTAATTAAATAGGTATTGCAATGATTAACCGCCAACACCTGGCGATGACTCATGTACTTGAGCTCCACATGCGGCAGTGCCAATTGCGCGGCCTCCAGGGACGTCAGCGAGGCATGCAACAGACTGCGACAGTCCAGAGCTGCTTGCAGCTTTTGCTTGGGATCGCTGAAAAGCAAACAACTATCAGTAATAAAACGTAACTTGCTTAATTTGAGGAGTATTTGTGTAAAAATAATATTTGTGCCAATTCCGCTTTGGACCATTAACAAATTCAAAATGGCTGCCCGCCTATCGTTTCTTTAACGGTAATCGCACTTTTTAACTATTCATCGAAGTTATCGGAACGAATGGATGTGAAACATTGACTGAATTTTAAAACATTCAATTTTAATTAAAACAGAGTCAAAAACAAAAATAATAATGCGAAATAGAAAATCAAATACGAGCCAACTCACATATGCCTGTTCAGATGCCGCCACTGCTTTAGGGCCTGCGTGGAGGAGTTAGCGGCGGCACGTAGGAGCAGCCCACAGATGCGCCACTGCTCCAGGGCGCTGCCCAGCTTGTCCCGGGTATCGCGCGCCACCTCCAGCTGCTCGTCGATGCTCTCCTCGAGGCGCGTCATATAGGTGCCGCCGCTTATGTAGGCAATAATGCCATCCTGATTCACATACAGGTCATTCAGCTCCGCATAGCTGGCGGCCAGTGTCTTGAGGCGTTGCTTGGTGTGCTCCAGGAGCTCACCATAATAACGTATGCTAAGTAAGTAGAGCGCCGATTCGCTCAAGTTGGCAAAAAAGTCCTCGTGCATGGAAGCCTTGCGTGGATCAGAAATCACGCCTAGATTATGCGCCAGCTAAGGGTCGTTCGGGTCGTAATTATAGAACGAGGTCACAGCCATTATAATATTCCAATAGCAAGCACAAATTAGGGCCTTAAGCATGTGCCAAGCGGCTAATTGTCGGCAACACTCACCTGAGCCAAGTCCTTGGTGGGCGTATTGGCCACAATTTCGTTGCCTCCACGCTCCCCGCCCACCAGCGTCAAGGGGTAGTTGCTTAATTGTGTTGCCTCCGGTTCGCCCTGTGCATTTGTTTCCGTTTCCGTTGTTCGGCGCGCCGTGTGCTCCATGCCCTCCAGACCCAGCATGGCATCGCGCCTGGCCTGCACATGCTCTATCCATGCCTCGACGGTGGCCATCCGCGGACCCGGGCAACTGCCCTCCAATTTGCTGATCTGCTCGTCCAGGCGCACGTACTGCTGCGCTACATGCTGGGCACAGAAGTTTTGTACAAAAACGGCGCGAGGTCTATTGATTGGGAAATTACCGTTAGATTGGGGCCGCCATTTTCCTGTAGACGCTGCGCGGCAGCACTTGACGGTGTCTCCATGGACGAACCGCAGCCCATCATTCAGCCCCACAACAATGATGACATTCTCGTCAGACCTTGCAATTTCATATATATATATATATACTCGACGTCGAACTTTGACGGAACGGAATATACAATGTGTTATATACTATTTACGTCCGTAACGCTCGCCTGCCACATGCCGAATGCGCGCCATTGTCCGTCCGTTTCGCCTGCTCCACTTCTGAAGGGAAACAACATTTTTGCGGACCAAATGTGGGTGCCACCCACCTGGGCAGAGGCCCAACCGCCCAACAACTGACCACCATTAATGCTGGCCCCAGTGGGAAGTAGTTGCAGGGAGAAGGAGAATGAGGAGGAGGAGGCGGAGTCAACAGCTTGTATTTGCTTTTTTGTTGGCCGTGCATGTCGGTCCGGCGTGTTGTTATTGTAAATTGGCGCATATAGAAAACTTGACAAGCTAACAAACAACAACAGACAATAATAACCATAACAAACAAATTTGTGACAGCTGCTTTAAGCTGGCCACCAAATTCATTGGGCAACCATTTAAACGGACCTATGCTGCAACAGCCTGGTCATAGCATAATCTATCAGCAGGATATGCATCTTGATAAAAATAATGTTAAATGATTGACTAGTAAATACGCTGTAATAGCACTCATAGCCCGCGTGCGTGATATCGCTCAATTAGATTTTCGTCGAAATACGTATTCATTATTTTAATATTCATATTTAATGGATAACTTAACCATTTTTGTGCACAACAATACTTTGTGCGGCTGTCAAAATGTGATTACAACAATTTTTAGAAGTTCCATCCGTTTCTTAAATTTCACTTTCGAAATCATTCCACAGAATGGAATTACATATGCCTGTTGAAATTCCCTCCGTTTTTTAAATTTCACCATCGAAATCATTCCACAGAATGGAACTACATGTGTCTGTTGAAATTCCATCCGTTTCTTAAATTTCACTTTCGAAATAATTCCACATGTGCCTGTTGAAATTCCATCCGTTTCTTAAATTTCACCATCGACATAATTCCACATCTGGTGAAATTGTACTCGCACTTAATAAAATATTGAAGAGCACTTGTTTTTTCTGTGAAGGGTTCAAGAAATTTTGAGCCCAAAAACATTTTCAGCGATTCATGTTTGATTAAACAGATGTCTGATTTTGATATGTAGTTGTGACCTTCCGCGCCATTAATTTGGCTTTTCAGCACATTGATGGGGCTCATTAAAAGCACCTGTCGTTCAGGTAGGGCAGGTAATTGCTTGATTGCGCTGCGCCAATGCCATTTGGCAAATCCCTTCGAGACATATCACATGCGTAACATTGTGCGCCCCGAATTGTGCCTTATACAGTGGAATCTAATCACTTTTTGTTTTTTTTTTTAAATGATTACAATATATTTAAGTGTTTTCTTTTTTTTGATAAGGGTAGGGCATAACGAACTGGACAATTTGATTTTTTTTTACAGTGCGTGATTGTGAAAATAAATTAGATACTTGCGGAGTTGCTTAAATTCTTAAGCTTTAACTATTTGAAAAATGAAATAAAAAACAAGTAAGAGGTTCTAGTCGGGAGCTCCCGACTAGGGGATACCCTGAACCCTCTTCTTCCAACATCAAATGCATATATATATTCTATTTTAGAAGCTATATGTCAAGTTTGGTGACTCTAGCTCTTATTATTTACCAAAATTGTCAAAAAAACAGGATATCGATATCGATTCTTATCGATTGCTTGCAAACGGATTAAGTTATCGATTATCTGAAACAAACTAGATCTGCGCGGGAGCTAGGAGCATCTACCAAGATTTGGACATGAATTTCGACAAAAAAAATCGGTGTTCTGATTTGAACGCCAGATTAATCTAGAGGGAAAACCATGAAGAAAACGCCAAACTTCGTGAAAATCGGATAAAATTTGACCGAGTTATGGGGGTGGTAAATTTTGACCCATGTCTATATACGAATTTTGGGGTAAGATTTGGACATGAATTTCGACTAAAAAATCGGTGTTCAGATTTGAATGCCAGATTAATCTAGAGGGAAAACCATGAAGAAAAAGCCAAACTTCGTGAAAATCGGATACAATTTGACCGAGTTATGGGGGTGGTAAATTTTGACCCATGTCTATATACGAATCTTGGGGTAAGATTTGGACATGAATTTCGACTAAAAAATTGGTGTTCAGATTTGAATGCCAGATTAATCTAGAGGGAAAACCATGAAGAAAAAGCCAAACTTCGTGAAAATCGGATACAATTTGACCGAGATATGGGGGTGGTAAATTTTGACCCATGTCTATATACGAATCTTGGGGTAAGATTTGGACATGAATTTCGATTAAAAAATCGGTGTTCAGATTTTAATGCCAGATTAATCTAGAGGGAAAACCATGAAGAAAAAGCCAAACTTCGTGAAAATCGGATAAAATTTGACCGAGTTATGGGGGTGGTAAATTTTGACCCATGTCTATATACGAATCTTGGGGTAAGATTTGGACATAAATTTCGACTAAAAAATCGGTGTTCAGATTTGAATGCCAGATTAATCTAGAGGGAAAACCATGAAGAAAAAGCCAAACTTCGTGAAAATCGAATGAGATTTGGCCGAGATATGGGGGTGGTAAATTTTGACCCATGTCTATATACGAATCTTGGGGTAAGATTTGGACATGAATTTCGACCAAAAAATCGATGTTCAGATTTGAATGCCAGATTAATCTAGAGGGAAAACCATGAAGAAAAAGCCAAACTTCGTGAAAATCGAATGAGATTTGGCCGAGATATGGGGGTGGTAATTTTTGACCCATGTCTATATACGAATCTTGGGGTAAGATTTGGACATGAATTTCGATTAAAAAATCGGTGTTCAGATTTTAATGCCAGATTAATCTAGAGGGAAAACCATGAAGAAAAAGCCAAACTTCGTGAAAATCGGATATAATTTGACCGAGTTATGGGGGTGGTAAATTTTGACCCATGTCTATATACGAATCTTGTAATAAGATTTGGACATGAATTTCGACTAAAAAATCGGTGTTCAGATTTGAATGCCAGATTAATCTAGAGGG